GACCTGTATCATTTAACTCTTCAAAAAATTATAAACTAATAAAGAATATAATATTACTTAATCAACATTTTGACAATGAACAAATAATTTACTATCATAAGCTTCAATAGACATTAGACTTCAATCAATTGAAGATAAAAATATGTGGTTACCAAATTCTTTTAGAAATTGTTTCATTTCTAGTTTATTCAACCATTTCCAATTATTGTGGTGTAGCCTCCCTTAAATATTTAGATATTCTTCCTGTAGTTGGACCCATTGTTTTCTATTGTTGGATTATGCGAGTCCAAGATATCCCTGCTAATTTCCTAGGGTTGGTCTTCTTCTAGGTCTCTTAATTCATCGTGGGATGCTATAATTTTTGTGGTCCATCTGTTGTCCGTTCTTCTTGCCAGGTATTCTGCCGATTACCACTAGTGGGATTTGATTCTGTGAATGACATAATTATCTGGGTCTTCTGTTCGTTTTTAGTGTCCAGGTTTCACATGTATAGGTCCATGACTGGTAGTACACATTGGTCGAATGTTTTCTTACTATGATGCTAACGTAATTCTTCTGTCGATTTCTGTTGATCCTGAGCTGTGTGTTGTAGATTGTAGAATGAGTCAGAGGGGATTGGAGGGGGTGGTATTAATGGTATTAATCCCCGTGACCTTAAAGATCTATTGTGTACCTCTTTATTGTATACTCGTAATATACTCGTATAATATACTCTTTTACTATTTCCAGTGTTGTGTTATTTATTCGGATGTTTTTTCTATCTAATAACTCGTTGTACATTACTTTGATATGATTTCTCTGAATAAAATATGCACGTTGCCTATGAAAACCTTATCCTCCCTAATTTCAACGCATAATTATACAGGGCATTTTTGTATCTAACATGTAATTTTCTATAATTATCACGGACCATGATATAACGCTTAAAAGAATTTGATAATGACGTTTAGAGTAGAACGGGCCATGGTTTTGATCTATATCAGTTCGAAAAAAACTACGACTTAGTTCAACGAACATAACGGAAGTAATTTGTATTTCAGGAATTAGAGGCATACTATCGGTGCTATTTTTATGGCACTTTCAGGTATTTTAATCTGAAAAATTGAGAAATTTTATTGATTTATGCATAGCTCCGTTCTATATTTAGTTCAAAAATAGAAGTTTATTATTGTTTTTTATTATGTGGTAAAATGTGAATGTTGCCAGAAGCATGTTTTTTTTTAAATTGTTCAGTGTTTTGAAATATTTGAAATATTGTTTTTTGGTATTCAACATTCAAAATGAATTTCACAATTTTTCACAAGCATAATAAAAAGGGGATGAGAAAAAATATAATAGAATGAAAAAACTGAAGAATCTTTAAAAAAGAAAGATCTTTTAATTTTATTAATCTGTTCCAAGTAGAAGAGCGGCCCTGTATTTGTAGATCTTTGTAAGTTACCACAAAAAAAGAAATAACAAAACTTTCGCAAAAAAACTAGACGACATTATGCTATAAGGCGTAAGAAATATAAGTTTCTTTAATAAAGTCCATTAATAATCTCGTTGGGACTTAAGCCGCAAAAAGCGAAAATAGCCAGATTAACGACATTGCTGTTAAATTATTATATAAGTCCGTATGTGTAAATTTAAACGACGGGGAAGTGGGACTTAAAAGGGTTTTATCATTTAAAAACAGCATCAATCAATGTCGTTCGGTCTGTTTGTGTGTTTTGCGACTCTTTTAGGGTGGGGCCATATCACTCATCTCGCTTATTATTAATATTAATATCATTTTTAACTCCTCCACTGTTTATCGTTACTGCTTTTTTGCTTCTTTTCGTGTCCCCGTTAACATGTAGAGGTCGCAATACAATAACTGAAATGAACAGGGTTGCGGCAATATAATTTATCCAGCAGACTTAAGTCCATATAACTAGTTTTACAAACTTTCAATGAAGTAAAATCCATAAATGTATACTCAGTGTTTTGCTCAGAAATATAAAAGAGTGATGAGGTAAAATATATAAATGTTTACTCATTATTTTCTGCCTCTATGATATGCGAGACGTTGTTGTTTGTGGGGAAGCTCCTAGTCACGTGCTAGGGCTAATTCCTTCTGGCTGGACCAGGTCAAAGGGATGCGTGGCTAGATAAAAGACTTTCCTCTACTGGTCTCAGCCTTGGAGCACCAGGGGAGCATCCCATTGTATTCTCTTCTCCCGTACTTCTACATGCGTGGCTCTATAGAAGTTGATCGACTAACCTTGCTTGCGGTGTATCGCCAGCTTTGCCAGAATTCCAATGTAAGTACATCGAGTTGGCGAGTCATCACCTCGAGGGATGAGGCTCATGATCAGGTACTCAAATAGGAACTGGGCTCAAATCCAAGGAGAGACTATGTTAAAGAGGTGGAGAAAATAGGGACAGATCCTCCATCCTTGTTAAAGAGAAGGATAGGAAATATTCTGCCCTTCCTACAACAGGAAGATCCCCATTCATGATGAGTTATAACTCAAGAAAGAGGGACACACTAGATCTTTAAGGTCGCGGTGATTAATCCCTTTCGATTCATTCTATATTCTACTCATTATTTTACCTCATCGCACTTTTAAATTGAATCATATCTAGCCTGTTCACTTTGATACTATATAGCAGCGACAACGGTATATAGACATTACTAAACTACATAAATTTGAATAAAAATGTTCCAACGAAATTCTAAGAAACTTAAATGATTAATACGCATTTTTTGTTATTGTTTTTGCGTTACTTACTTACCCCGGCAACACCCAGTATATAGCATTGAAACGAGAAGAGAGAAAAAAGGCCGATTAAAGAGAACCAATTACTTATTCATTCGTATACGAACACAAACAAAATTTGTATGAGTAATATGCCATATTCACTTACAATGACTTAATTACGGGCACTTACAATATATGGATTAAAATTTGAGGTCAAAACAATACAGAATTAGAATTTTAAATAGCGCAATTAGCAATTTTCAGCTGTAGGATGGTTTTCTTCGAAGACATTCGCTCACTACAAATTACTCATTATTTATTTCTCACTATTCGATGGGAGCATTTTGACGAAACTATTCAAAACCAGAAAGTCATATTGCGATAGTGTTTCAGATATCCTTGACTCACCTATTTCATAATTTCTCGTCGGTAACGGTACCACAAAAAAATACAGTCCCATTGATAAACTATCGCTAGTAACTAGCATGTATTACGAAAACGTATTTGCTCAAAAATAAGCAACAAATTTTCAATTGACTTGTTAAGTAATATAAAATGAGTAGGTATATTCAAATTAAGAAAATATACACATGTTCACCATACTACAATACCAATAAATTTACGTAAAATAACACCAAAAGCCAGAAAATAGAAAATACATATTTATGCAAATACAAATATTTTTGTCATAGTTTCATCTATTCATGCACAACTACTACTGTCATATGGATCCTATTTTTGGGTTTTTCAAGTTGCAAAAAATCTTTATCGTCTTCAAGTTACGCCACTGGTATACATGGACTAAACATTAAAACGAAACTGTCTGTACATATCTGGCATTCTTGCAAAGCGCATAATTCTGATTAGTTAGAGTTATTAGAAATGATTAAAACGTGCCCTACCGTATGTAGAAACAACTATTACTTCAAAGACTAATGTGAATTTTTATTGGTGTTACCGATTTTGTGGGTCACTCGTTATTTAAACGTTCCTGGAAACGCTTATTAAACGTAAGGTACGTTTCCCAATGATCATTGGATTGATAATAACATAACATATGCAGATGGATAAGAATGGCTGATAACAAAACTCCGTGAATATATTGTTTTAGTTTTTATCATCGCTATTGTTCTTTCGGAAATAAAAATCGACGTATTTGCAAAAAAAGCAATTTTATCAAGACTATTTCATGAAATATTACCATTGTTTGCCATTGTCAACCACCAATATTCATTTATTTGATATTTCCCCATGTTACAATCACAGTAATCGTCAACTGCGTCCTTTTAATATTACACATAACTTTTTTGAATGTAATTCTCTCAAATATGTATTAAAATAACAGTGAAACCACATTAATTTACCAATAACAATTTCCTGTTAATTTACAGAAACTTTATAACCACTATTGCCAAATTAAGAAATGCATGACGCGAATAGAAGTTTATTTTCTATCATGCACAACAGTGTCAAAATCTTTACCTATAGAATAGTTCTTAATAGTTATTAATTAATACATTTTTAGAACACCACCCTTGTTATGATATATGTATATCATATCAGAGACACAGATTATTAGTTCATATACTTATCTCATGTACAATTATTACAAAAATTACAATAGTTATATAGTAATTTGTAAATAAATGAGATAAAACCTGAGAATATCTGCTATTTTTAGTGTTTGACATCATTTTAGTATAATTACTTTTTTTAATGTATACGTAGCAGGAAAATTATTACTCCTAATTAAATCCTTAATACTTATTCATTGAAAATCAGGGATTATGATGTTGCATCTGAGTTGAGTCAAGTAGAGTAGTCAATTTTATTTTTTTTTTCGTAAAATGGTATAAGCTAGTTCGTGAAAACCTTGATTTATCCATAGCTTTGATACTTTTTCATGTGTGTTTTGCTGTTTCCTTTTTGATTATACAAACAATTTCTTTATATATTTTTATAATCAAACTGGGTTTAGCTCCTTAATAACGGAATATTCTGTATGTTTACAATCATATTTACCGATATTTCTAGATAATGAAGTAGACATACTTCATATTTTTCTGGCGTCAATGTTGCCATTAAAAGTATTTAATCAGTAACATAATACTACAGAAAGTACGAATTAGTTTGAAATGCATTTGATAAAAACTATCTGAAAATTAGAAGATTAATAGCAATTATTTGGAAATATATTTATTTGTGTATCGTCTTATCTCTGATGTCTAGAAAATAATTAAAGGTGCCTTTGATAGTTTTTAGTGTACAATAGAATTTTCGAATTATTTAAAACGTGTAGTGATCAAAAAGAGACGGTTTCTGTCGCGTCACATTTAAATAAGAATATTTTTGACGCTAAATTTTTTTGTCAATAAATCGATGCGAAAGAATGTCGGTATGTTTAAACAGATCGCTTAAAAAACGATTTTTGTATTGGTATCACGTCACCAACGTGAAAACCGGCCAACTGGATGTTGTTAAATATTACACGCTAAATTGAATGAAGCGTTCCGTTAGACTTTTTTTGGTAGGTGGTCTGACCATCTTGTTGATCGAATAACAGACAATGAAATCAGTTAAACCGTGAGATGTTGAAAGGGCATTTAATTGGCATAATAGTCCGGATTCTTTTAGCCTTATTAAACAATCAACAAGGTGACCAAAATCTCTAGAATGGTGGAAAAAGTCGAAAAAGTTTACAGTTTTATGGGCGGATTCACATATAATTTTCGTGAGTATATGAATGGAAAAACGTCGAAAAATTGGTCATTTTTGACTCCTTATAATAAGTAAATGACAGTAATTTAATCAAACTTCAAAATTGCCAATATTTATTATACTCATAAATATGTATGGAAAAAAGTCGAAAAATTGATCAATACTTTTCATGTTTTCAAACTTATTAAAAAAGTAGTAAAGATGGTCATAAAGTTTTGAAAATTTCAGAATTTGTAAGAAATCTTATGTAGATTTAGAGTATAGTCTGTCCAACGAGAAGATCCTTGACAGTGATAGATGTGTCTGTCATTTTAATTTCAAAGTAGTTTATTTTATTTTACAAAGAAATAAGTTGGTACAACTGGAATGCATAGCAGGAAATTAATATATGTATTTAAAATTTGACTGACAAGTAACTTCAAAATATTGTGAAAAAAACTGTATAAAACTGAAAAAATGTAATCGAGTTATTTTATTTAATAAAAACGGTATGTGTTAATACAAAACAAACAAGAAGAAGACATTACATACCAAAAAATTATAAAAAAGAACTATTATTTACTTTCAAGCTTTATGAAACTACCCGCATTTATGATTATATTTATCAATATAACTTGTGTACAAATACAAATTTGTAATATTCCGCAGGAATAAATAAAATAACATAAATAAAACAAACTATTTTATTAATAATAACACCAAATTTTATACCTCACAGGTTGATTAATTAACTTTAATCTTAATTTTTTTAAACCAGTACCTTTTGACATTATTTTTCTGCAGTACTAAAATTCATTATTTACCTATCGTGTGATGTCGATATTTTACAGCTACTCCAGTTTTTAGTATGTGTTTAGTATGGTCCTTCTATCATATTCGAGATGCACTTATCTACGACGAGATGGTATACAAACTTTATTGATAGTAACTTTATTGGTGTATCTGTATAAGACTTTCTGCCTGGGCAGCGAGTATTAACCATAAACTGTGATCTGGGTTCTACAGTTAATTTTCACTCGATTTTTCCTCCACTTGACTTCAAAAGACACAAAACACACGAAATAACACGAATCAAAATGCATCATCTTCCAAAACGCAGGGTATTTGACAAAAGTTGTCACAATATTATAACCTATAATTTGGCAAGACTTTGACAAACGTCAAAAATCTAAAGGCGAGTTCATACGCATCGGCGTCCGTTTGTCGTTCATCGTTCCGTCAAACCACTAAAATTGAAATACGATCTGTCATTTTTGAAATAAACCAATGAAACTGGTTAAAAACAACAAGTGACGACGCATGACGAATTTATATTTAAACCCATCCATAGTTAACTTAAAAATTATTAGAAACTTTTTTTAGTAAAATAAATAGATTGGTATGGGACGTCATCTGCTTTTTTTCTGTCATCGTCTGTCGAAATCTTACCTGAGAAAAAAAACAGAGTATATATAATCTTTTTAAGGCTTGAATACTTTGGTTTTGTAAGAAATTTGATTTTTGGAAACCTTGATTTTGAGGATTTTTTTATGATGGTTAAAACTTTACCTACAACTAATGCTGTACTTATAAAGCCAGAATGGACTACACTTTCCTGTTTTATGTCTTTTAGTTTTATCAAAATTGGTAACTTGGCAAAAATCGCCAATTTTCTGGGCTATATGTATGGAAAAAAGTTGAAAAATTGACAATTTTTGACATATTTTTAGAACATGAAGAAATATAGTAAACAAAGCAGTAAAATTTTCAAAAATGTAGCGATTGTAGGAAATTTTACGCAGGTTAAGAATATTTACACCCTTAGAGTGCGTCGTTGTACCAGAAAATTGGATTTTATGACCTCATATTTTATTGAATTACAAATAGTTAATAACAACTTCTATCAACTAATCATCAAAATCTATCACTATTTTTAAACCACTAAATTTGATACTTTCTGCTTTTTTTCTTAGAGAACCATGGCACACTTTGCATAAATTTCTTAATTAAGTCGTCGTAAACTAGCCTTAGGAAATGTTTCGTCCAACTATGGAGAAAAAAATGCTGATATAATTGAGCCATTTAATTGTGAGTGACAATTAGAGCCTGTTGCGGGACACGAAGAATTTTATCAAACGTGGGAATTACAGAGGCATGTACATTATTGTACACACAACCAGCAAATGTGTTAATAGAATATTTCATTTCCTATATGTTACTTAATGAGATGGAATTTACATTGTGAATTCTACCGTATGATCAAAAAAAAATGGCGTCCAGTTGGCTTGGAAACGACGATCGATGACATTTCCCATATAATTTTACATATAAAATGACAGCGATCTTCATTTCATAGCCATCGCTGACGCCTTTTTATTCGATCATACGTTATCTTTATGGTTAGTTTTCGTTTATGTTCATGCTCGCAATCTATATCTTACTAATATATAAAATCCTTAAGTGACTGACATACTGATTAATCACGACCCTGCTCAAACCACTCAACGTAAGAAGCTGAATTTTGGCATACAGGTTGATTCTAGGGTGTAGAGGTTCGATAAGAAGGGATTTTTCGAAATTTCAGTTCCAAGAGGGTGAAACCACCCCTCAAATATCACAATATTTTTTATTTAAAAAACGGTCAAGTTTCCGAAAAAACGCTTAAACACGTATATTATATTTTGTTTTTACATATTTTAAGATTTTTAAAAATGTATACAGGGTGTTTCGAAAAATCTGGTCATTGATTAATCACGATCCTGCTTAAAGCGCTTGACGTAAAAAGCTGATTTTTGGAAAACAGATTGACTTTAGGGTGTGGAGGTTCAAGAAGAAGGGATTTTTCGAAACTCGAATTCTAAGGGGGTGAAACTATCCCTCAAATATTAAAATATTTTTTATTTAAAAACCGGTGTTGTTTTACATATTTTAAGATTTTTTATAAATTTATACAGGGTGTTTCATAAAATATGACCATTGAGTAATCACGATTCTGCTTAAACTGCTTGACGTTTAAAGCTGATTTTTGGCAAACGGATTGACTGTGGGATGTAGAGGTTCGATAAGGAGGGGTTTCTCGAATCTCAAATTCCAAGAGGGTGAAAACGCCCCTCAAATATTACAATATTTGTTATTTAAAAAACGGTTAGCCTTTCGGGAAAACGCTTGGACAAGCATAATGTATTTGGTTTTTTTACATATTTTGAAATTTTTAAAAATCATACAGGGTGTTCCAAAAGATGGGTAATTCTTAACCACGATTCTGCTTAAACTGCTTGACGTATTTTTATGAACGGATTTTCGAAAGTCAAAATCCAACGAGATGAAACTACCCCTCAAATATTACCAAGTTATATAATAATATCGCCATATTGTTTTTTCTCATGCTGACATAAATGTGAGAAAATTTTATCCAGTTTGTATGTTAATGGAAATTCTTGCTTTGCTTTATCATCACCATTACAAATGATTAATTCGACGCGAACGAAGTCGCTGGTACACGCTAGTATGTTTATAAATAGTATACTTCCAATCACACATATTATATAAAACATTAAAGATTTAAATGATTGACACCTACCATGACGCTATTTTCACTCAAAATCTAAAGGTTCGCGAAGTAATAAATCAACACAATTAAAATGTGCTTATTAAGCAAACCCCAGTTTATTATACTTAAGTAATTATAAACAAAAAAGCATATAATGACTAGCATTAGATTCTAATAACAAATTAGACACCTGGGCTACTAAATGCCTGATTTTCCATACTTATATCTAGTTATAACATCACAATGTTGGCATTCTTACTGTCAGAAAAAAATACCCGCGTTAATGAAGTGAAAATTAAAAACACTAATAGCGTATAATTATAACCTATTGGCATGATTATTAAGTATGCCAAATTTGCTGGCCTGCATGACGCAATTTTTTATTTATCAATAAAGCCGGCAAGGAAGAATCTCGAGGGGCAGTTTCTTATAAAAAGGACAGTGTATTGACCCGACTGGCTACATTGGGGCCCTACTTGATTATTCCTCGACGTAAAATTCAACCTGGATGGCATATCAATGACTTTTGAAACTTGTGTATTGTATTTATAATGCTTATCGTCTCTGTTGCAGGTGCACATGAAGCAGTATGGCTGCCAGCAGGACGCGATACTATTGAAAAGATGAATTGTGCAGAAAACTACAAAGACCTGCTGCTCTATCTTGAACAAGTCCAGGTACGTACTGAATGTGATTTCGAAATTGTTCAATTATGCAACACCCCTCATAATATTCGGTTTTATATCCAAAGAAGAGCGATAAATAAATCGTTTAAGAAATACCAGAAACTGGGTCAGAATCAAATTTAAAAGAAGGTGAATAATATTTATATCATACTTGATTCGTAATGAAAATGCCAGCAGATACAGACCTGTTTTGATAAATACTTAGTTAATTTATACGACTTTTTGTGATTTGTGTTACCCAACCGACGAGTTAGATATACAGTGTGCTCAAAATATTTCAACATATCATTATATTATAATCATATACAGTCTGTTGCATCGCCAACCCAAATCATTTTATTTTACAGAAAAATATATTTGAAAATTTTTAAAGGTTTTTTTTAAATGAAGCAAATTGTTAATTTTGAATAGCTTCTACGAAACATTTTTCTAATTTTGATTTTATATGGTCATGTGACGATGCAGCACACAGTATCATCTCATACACTGTGTCAATTTTAAAACTTCCCAACCTTAATATCTTTCTAGCAGTTATTAATATGAAAAATCGGGAAGACACGTCAATTTTATTTGTAAGAGGGACAATTTAAATTAATATGTTTAGCCTTTTTCTTTCAACCCTTAATTCCGTTAATGTTCATGACATTTTCTGTTTATTAGTATTTTGACATCCCTAGAAAAATGTAATGGGTATATCCATGTTGCCACCTAACCTTCTAATCATTAGTACTACAAGGAAACCCATTGCAATAATTTTTGTGTAAACACTAGCCTGAAAACCAAAATCTCAATGCAGGAAACCTCTAGACAAAAAGCAACAAAGTAGGATACCACTGAAAAGAGAATTAAACGCCCTTTAAAACGATGTGCCACTTGATCCCCATTCCTATTTAGGATTGTAAGGGTGACAGAAACTCCTAACCTCCTAAGGGAGTGGAAGAAAAAGGCTAAAAATATTCATTTAAAGTGTAAATAAAATTGAGGTGTCTTTTCGGTTTTTCATATTTTTAACTGCAAGAAAGATATTAAAGGTGGGAAGTTTTAAATTGACATAGTGTATAACTTCATTTACTGTACGGTTTTGTCTACTTATATTATTTGTCAGACTTTGCTGACCACACTGTAAACTTTTAAAATCCATTTGTAGCGAGGTAGAATATGTAATTAGTAATTCTGGAGGATTTAACTATGAAAAAAAAGGTGTTCTCTGATAACCGTTATAGCACGTTCCAATTACCTCAATAAATTTGTTTTATAATTACTATAAGGTAAAAAATAAATTAGTAGGCGACCATGAGATGGTTTCAGTTTTTCAAAGTTATAATGAATGTTTTATGCAGCCTTATAATCGCTTTTAGTTTACTTCCCTCACAAAAACAGGTACAATTTGGTTTTAGCGATAAAATAATTAGCCGCCTCACTTTTTTGCGGTTAAATATAGAAGATAATATCCAGGCAAAACGATTAAACTTAATAATATTTAATAAAAAAAAATAATTAAGTTAATAAAGTTGGAAATAACTTCGATATTAAAAAATAACTTGTTTGCTAGGTCTGGCTGATAACCATCTGTTGGATAATATTAATCCCAAAATAACTAACAGGTATTTCTAATCACCATAAAGAAAATCATAAAACGTGATGTTTTTCTGAACTGAGACATGCATAAAAATTTATTATTATTATCTATTCAATTATAATAATACCTCTTAGCTTATCATCTTATTAGAATATCTTTATATCCATGTTAAAATTAACTGGCTTTTTTACATTTGGAGAAAAATAAATTAAATATCTTTAATGGGCATTTAAATTTTTATTTATTTTTTATTATTACTACACGTAGATCTAGATTTACTTTAGGCAAATCCCACAATATTCATACATTTTACATAATGGCGCAATTTTTCCTCTTTGTAATTACACATTTTTATCTTTTTTACTTTAACAAAAGTCTTGAATTTTGAAGTGCTTAGTGACATTTCTGCGGGATTAGCCTTTACACAGTTTTTTTAATAATATTTTAAAATTTATCGATATATTTTTTACCCCTGGCTGCAAAAAAAGCTGGATCAATATCCTCCCCTGCTGAATCACGACGATCACGTGGCTTGACATCATCAAAATAGTATGGATAAAGCTTCTTTCCTCTGGAATTAAAAAAGGGTTCATTTTCTGTGTCTTTCTTAATATAGACCCAGTGGGGTTCTGGAACTAGAAACCTATCCTGAGTGTAAGTGGGATCTTTTTTACCCCTGTTCGCCCAGAATGGGCCTAAATCTTCTTGCTTCAACGATCTTTTAAAACAATTTTTCATTGTGCATGATATTTCGTCCTTGCGATAGTCGGAAGAGTCTATCATTCTCTTCCGCGGATCTTGGCACTAAAATATTTTAAATGCTTAAAAAAAACTTTAAACTGAATAACCCTACCACTATGTTTCTCTGTTCTTTATTATTTATTATTCTGTTATTTAATATCTTTATCTTTTAGATTATAAACTAAAAAATTAATTTAATTAAAGAGAAAAAATTCATTTAATTAAAACGTGTTTGGTATGAAAAACTTGGCAAATTCAAGTTAAAAATATTAACGAAATCGGTATAGTCAAAATTATATTGCATACATAGGGTGTCCCAGAAATAAGTGCAAGTATTTTAACTGGTAGTATAGTTCAACTCCAGAAACACGCCTATGAGTTTTTTTCGCGCAAAAAAATTTTTGGAAAAAATTTTTGGATTTTTTTTTAGTTTTTAGTTAAAAAACATAATTTGTTGATAATATGGCAACATAGGTATTAGATTAAATTTACAAGAAAGAAAATCCGGAAAAGATCTAGTGGTTCTCAAAATTTTAGCAAAAAATCTTTTTTTTTTGGAAATTTTCAAAGTAAAATAACTCTACCACCCCTTAAAATACTTGCACTTATTTCTGGGACACCCTGTATTAGCTAATAGCGCTAATAGTAACAGATTTGAAAAAACAACTAAAAAAATTGTTAAATTGGTGTCCAGAATTAGGTTGATTAAATCATAGCCTTTTTGCTTTTCATAGTTTCCAATTATGGTTAAAATATTGCATATCTATTAGTTAACAGTAATAGATTTTAATGACGCATAGTTTTTTTTTTATATTGGAATTATCAAAAAAAGAAACTTTGGAAAATGTGTTATGCGTGGTGTCCAGAATTAGGTTGATTAAACATCATCCGCTTTTTTGCTTTTCGTGGTTTCCAGTTATGGTTAAACTAATATAGGTTTTTTGATTCAATTCTGAATCATGCAGAATTATAATCGAAGTTACTTAAAACGAAAAAAATTAAAATTGAAATGAAATTTAAATTACTAAAATAGTTGAATGAATTCCTCATGTAGTCTAAAGTTAAAGTCTTGATTTTGAAAAATTGACGTTTTTGAAATGAACTGCGGTTTATACTTCAAGTCCTCTATATATACTGAGTGTGTAATTAGCAATAAAAGCTTCTTGGTATCTCGCAAAAAAAATTCTAGGTTAAATCAATTTATTCTACTCTGAAAGGCTTTAACTAGAGGAATAATGAGACAAATCGAATTACATATATTTCATTCGATGTAACTGTGGATTAATGCAAGGTTTAAGTGTAGAAAAAAATGTATACATAGTAGCAGATTTGGACTTGGAAAATATTGTACTTACGTGGACAATAGTGAGCAAAAACAATACGAAAAAACTGAAAAACGGAAACATGGTCTTGTCTGAAACTTCTCTCGGACACTGGTGCCAAGAAAATTTGTACTGGCCCTTAAATACCATCGGCTATTTTCTAGAACATAACAGCTCGGGGCTTATTTGAATTAGTTTGGGAATTTGGGATTGTACTGTCAACATATCGTATTAAAGTTCAGCTTTGCAGCAAGACTTTTCTTTGTTTTTGTATTAGGCCAATCCTTGTACCTGTCTAACTTGCGTTGGCTTCTTGTGATTGCGGCCGAAGTTCCCCAGAGCCTTATTTTTGAATGTTACTGCGTTACTATTTTTGTTGGGCTGTGTTTAGAGCAGCTGGTTCTTGTGAGCTAACTACACTATGCGTATATTTCAATTTTAATTAAATCTAACCCGAAGACACACTAATTAGACACGATGTGCCACTATAGCCAGTAAATTTTTATCTGTTGTCTATTTATAAAGAGTTTTTATACCTTGATTATAATTCATCCAATATTTTGTGTAATTGTATTTAAGTGTAGATCTCAAATTTACTTCCAAACCCCGATAAGGGTAGTTTTGTGTAAATATGTGTGAGAGATGTGAGTGAATTTGAAAAATTTAATCACTTATTCTGACATTTTCTGAACACCTCAAATATTTGATATACTCAAAGTAACATACGTGTATTTTAAGAAACTTTTCTCAAAATTTACTTTCAAACCTCTACAAAGGATAGTTCTAGGGATGAATAGGAGTGGGAGATGTAAAGGAGTGCATATATTCTGGCCTTTTCTGATATGTCTATTTCTCAAAATTTAGTGTATTAGAAGTAACATACATATATTTTAAGAAACCTGTCCCATATTTACTTCCAAACCCCTACAAAGGTGTGAAAACCCCTAGGAGTGAATAGGAGCAAGATATTAAAGGAGTGCATTTGAAAAGTTGAATAAACTAACTATTCTCTGTATTCAAAATTTCGGATCTTACTTATAAACTATTTCGATAAAATTCTATTTTTATTATGCAATTTTTAGTATACTACAAATATATTATCATTTGTTTCTCTTTAAAATTCCCTGTATTTTAGGTCCAGGCTGATGCTACAAACGCAGACACTTCATCTAGTACGGTAAAAATTACTTTATATACCTACACATATTTATTGTAATGTACTAAACGCGGGGTATATTAAAAATAACACAAATTTTGGTTACTAATAAATAATTTTAGATAGTAAAATTAGAAAATATTTACTTAAGTTTAAATACATACACCTATACAAATAATATTAACTTTACTACACCCTATATGTGCTATTATAGTATAATATAAGTATGGAAACATGAATTTTTATTCTGCATTTCTTACTTTTATTCTGTATTAACATTACTACACAAAATACCGTATTACTGTGGTTGTGGTTATTAAGGTCTCTAAAAATATAAACAAAAATTAAAGTTCTTCAAACCTTTATTTTTTTTCAGAGTGAAATCAACAACACTTTTACAAAAGATGCCGAAGTATCTGTCCAAAAGAAACCTCCCAAAACTATGCCATTTCAGAACGGGTTGTCAAAAATCGAAGAAGAAAACATCAAGAACAATTCGAACCCGAACTCGAACCACGGTTCTATAACACCAACATCCGATCCTGAAGATATCGAGCTGAATTTGAAGATTTTGGTGAAGCTTAACGAAGCAATCAAGTCCGACCTATCTGAGCTTTTGGCCAATTACGATCTAAATCAGAAAACGCAAAACCTATGCAACGGCACCGCGTCGTTTAATGAATACAGACATATCAATGAATATCAGGATGATGCGTTCAGTCATTTTGAAAATCTCAGCTACGAAGATAAAAGATCTACAGATATTGAGACTTTGTCGGACTTAGGCTCCATCTCGGTAAGATTTCAAGAATATTCCTATTGTCAAGCTAAACCGACTTTAATCGAAGATACGTATATACAGGGCGTTGTTTAATAACGTTGAGAAAATTCAAGATTTTTTTTTTCAGAAATTAACTAAAATATATGAAGTACTAAGTTTATGATTATTATTAATACATTTCCATTTTTCTTTTTTTTTGTCGAGTAACTAATAATATACTTGGTCTTGGTCTTGGTCTTTGGCTTGCACAAAAAGCTATATAACAAGATCAAAGCCGACCAGTGCAAGTTATTAAAATTTTCATCAGCCAAATATTTTCAGAAAGTGCCTCTAGCAAAAATCTATTATTAAAAAATTGCAAAATTTGCCACAGTATTGCAACCAAGATCAAGAGAGTCTTGGTCTTGCTCGACAATATTTTTTTCTATTGTCAAATACAGTCGAAACAAAATGCCGATAATAAATTTAATGATTTAATTACTTTTTTACAATTATACCGATAAAAATTTCTTTAAAATTTTAAACTCAAGTAAAAAAGTCCTACCTTATGAGAGCAAGATAGTGAAGAAAATCGGCCACAAAACCATAACTAAACCACGTTTTCGCTATCTATCCTTACTAGCAGTCACTCACGAAAGTTCACCGTCAAATAAAAGCAAATATTGTATAAATAGCTTTTCCTGTTTTTTTTCACGTATGACAAAGAAAAATTCACCTTTTTGGTCGAACTTTTGTCCCGGTTGCTAGCCAGCCAATCCAGCCTAAGCCACATAGGATTGACGCCTATACAAATACTGAAAATAATATCAATTCCATAAGAAGATTCCATATTCTTAATTATATATATTTTGGAAGTTTATTATTACATTATATTCTCCTGGAATTTTATATAAACTTAAATGAAAAGGAATGAAAGAAATTGTACTGATTCGAAGAAATAGTAAAGTAGGCGTATATATACTGAGCGATTCAAAATTAATTTCTTTCAACGTTAAATATAATATGTTTTTGTGCGATTTCTCTTTAGTAAAACTTATAACATAAATTAATATGAATTGGCAAATCAAAATGCATTTGTTTATTGCATTTATTTCATTAATCATCTACATTAATTTTGTACATTTTAGTTAATGATGTAAAAGCTTTTGCCATTGCAAATACATACTTTGCGTCACATCAGATTATCCCTAAATCAATATTATATATGAATTAGATTAGGACTATGTACAGAGACCACAACATTTCGATAATAAAGGGAACCAAATATTCTTTTTAATACAATATTGATATCAATTTTAAGAATATTATTTTATTTTCTTCGTTTTATCATACTTCGCAGCTCTCAACAATTAGCAATCCTCACGTAGCTACCCAGACATCACCTTCGCCTTCAGAAAGCTCTACTAATTTAACTTGGGCATCTAGTTCTCCAGGTTCTGACACAGAATCATCAGAAAGTGATTATTTGTCTTATTCAAAACGGGTTTTTACCAATGGCAAGTCTAGTTCAGCCCCCATTTTGGAGAAGGTATCACCTTCATTACAAGTAAGTCTATCTTTTTCTATTTCCTCCTAGATTTAATTTAACCATGAGTATCAAGCACAACCTCTCTGTGCCTTTATAGTTATATATTTTATACTTATTATTACTATGGACTATAAATTACTTATTAAAAATATTGAACACTTGATTTGGACAACCCTGTATAAAAATTACTTTAATAAATACCTATGGCAGCGTTTGAAAAGACATAATAAGTATTTATTGAAAGATGTGCAGCTTGCAATAATTTGCATATTTGTTTTTCTTAAAATTGTTTATTATTCTTTAGGACAGGATTATATATAGAATATTTATAATATATTTTTAGGATTCATTAATATTTTAATGGTAATATAAAAAGGACAATCTACTATAAAACTATCTATTTTATCCAAAACTAATCGATTCATTTTTTAGCCCAGCTCAACATTCTAAATTAATAGTTGATATTATACAATTTACAGCAAAAAATGTAATTTATTTTCTAGTTGGACAATAAAAAACAAGTTTCGTGTATGTAATCAGCCATTTCCAAATAGAAACCTTAAAAAACCATGGTTAAACAAATAAAGTTGATCGACATTTTATATAAACGCTTTTAACAGTTTAACTAAATCAATAATAACAATAGGCGCTTAAATACAATTCCAATAATCACAGCAGCGACTTAACAAGAGATTAAATAAAAATAAAATCAATAGGTCAGTGATAGCCCCAAGAACAAGATAAATAAATCTATTTTTCGAATTAAATCAATACACAGAACTAATATATTATTATACTATGTACACGTATAGTGGACAGGGTTCAAAAGATCACAATGCTATTTCCGTTGGCGAATATATTGGTGAATAAGGTTGTGCAAAACGATCTCTGGGTAATTTGACGCATTTTTATTTATAATTATGTTTTAAGAAATGAATTGGCTTTAAAACGACCAACCTAATTAGCACTGATAACATGGGGGAATAGCATTATTAACTGGCGACAGAAGTGATAAGGATAACCCAAGAAATTTAGTGAAAGATTTATTACCCAAACAAAATCGATTATAATAAACTTATTTTTAATACAAAATGCTCTTAAATTTATTAAGTAATTACATAAGATAATTTAAGAATATGAAAGATTCATTTTTATAGAAGCAAAATTATTTTAATAGGATGTGATTCAGTGAAAACCAAAAGCGTGAAGCACAGACCCGTAAAAGTAGTTGTTAAAAAGCCTTTTTTTATATATTAAACAAAATTAATTTTAATTTTATCATCAGGAAAACAACAATATAGTATTTATTAGTCAATTAGCAACATAATGATAAAAGCAACTAATAAAATTTAAAATAGACCTTATGATATTTTATTTTTTATTCAGAGTTTTATTCTTTGAATCGTGTCTATACATTATTTTATTTATTTAATTTTGTAAAAATTAATTATTTAATTCATGAATTAATGAACCGTTTGCCATGAATTTATACCTTACGAAATGAATTTTAGCAAAAGTTTATATTTTAAATTATAGCATAGTATATAATTTTGTCAAGAATTAATTACTTAATTCACGAATAAATGTACTGCAACGAAGATATTTATTACAAAACCACCTTTAGCAAAAAGTTCACCAATTGTGTCCTTCGACTTTTTATACTTTATAATATTGCATACAGGATTATATATGTATATTTGGTTATATGACAGAAGGAGCTTTATCAAAACGTATACCATTCATTTTGTCAAGATTTTAAGTTATTTCACACTTATTTTTGTTTTGAATTACGTAACTCGTAAACTAATTGCAATTAATAAAATTTGCAAAATGAGTCATTTTACTATTCTATATTTTAAAATATTGCATACTGGTTTTTGTCACGAACTGAGTGATTATTCTTCACAAAATGAGATTTAGCAAAAAGTGTATTAACAAAGTATACCTACCCAGATATTTTCTTTAAATTTTTAATTATTGTATATCTATTTTTGTCACGAATTAATTACTTAATTCGTGAATTAAGGAAGTGTAAGATGTCTTGCGAGATGAGCTTTAGCAAAAAGCTCTCACGCACGTATAGAACACGTCGCCTTTGAACTTAAACTTGTTAATATCGGATGGGCGACCAAGCATAATTGATCTGGTATAATTTCAGGTGAGCAGGCAGTCCCGTTCACAGTCCGACCGACACCTGGCCGGTGAGTAGTCTATAGCAGCTTTTTTATTAATAAAAATCGTCGGCATGTCTATCCGGGTCAAAGAGTACAAATTTTTTCGCAGTCTCAGTGTTAAAGTTAACGATAACTGGCCCGTACGTAAGGCCGAACAACTATGGAAATTAATGCGGAATACCAAAATTGCAGGTTCGCAATTTTACCCCAATCACACAATTAATAAAATCCCAAAACCTTCCATTTTTATATCTATTAGTTCACAGAATATGTCTAAATGTATTAAACATAACCATACATATAAAAAAATATAAAATATTCTTTATAAAAATCACCTACAATGTTTTCTTCTAAATATGTATAGCATCATTTTACTTTAGGACCAACTATTAAGAACATTAAATATTCGAACACAATAGTATCATTACATGATGACCTTAATCCAAAAAATTTAATGGATAAATTAAATACAAACAATACATTTTCAAAATTGTAAAAATCTCTTTCATATTAAATAGTTTAACTTTTTTGAACTTATTCCATCCAACAATATTTTTTTAAACCATCGTCTATAAAAAATGTTTAAAATCGAAAAATATCGTTCTTATTAATATTTTAATTTTAAAACTTTATAAAAAAATGTATGAAAGAAAAATCAACTTCCACATTGTGATCAACATATAAATTGATGGTCGTTTTTTTTCCAAAATTAAAGATCAAAAATTAGCGTAAATGACAGCATGGCCATCTGTTTGGAAATATGTGATTTCATACAGATTATGTACCCTGGGTGTAATAAAACCATAAAAATTAGTCAGTGTTCCTGCTTAAAATAAACAAAAGCCAAATGTAGTAGTTTCCTAGCGTTTCACTACTTGAAAATCACGTCGCGCGGCTTTGAAGAAGCCGAACAATCGGTATCTTTTTTAAATAGAACATGCGATAAGAGGCTGTATTAAAATTTCAACACATGCCTCATCTGGTAGGAAAGTATACCAGATGCTAGAATGTGACATAAACGATTCAGCTTCCGATGCTAAAGTATATTTTAATTTATTAAAAAACGATATCTAAAAATACAGTTTTAAACACAAATCATCATCAATATTCCAATCAATTGACGAGGAAAAATAAGCCCAAAACATCTAAAATGATTTGCTCATAAAAATATCGTAAATATTTTTTTTCAACAAGCATAAACCTTTTTTATTAATTCACGGGTCACATTACAGTAAAACTGATTAACAATATGAATAAGCTAAAGTATTAAAAGTTAATTTTGGTGTGATTTACGGTCAATGATTTTTACGACTTTTTTAAACGAAGTTAAAAATTATTTTTTAATTTGTTTTACAACTTGTAACTAAAAACATAAACACTCAATCTTTATTTGCTTATTATTTCAAGTATCGTTACTAACGAATTTAAATGTTTTATCATTCAATAATTTTTAGGGTTTCATATCAAATTAGAAATAATTATTTAATTATTACTACGCCAATGGGTATATATCTATGACACAATGGAATTTAACTATTATAAATCTAAAATATTACCAGGAAAACTTGCCCTAGGCGTTTCAATAATGATTTAATAGTGACTCAAAGTGTTTACTGACTGCTTCAAATTAATAATAGTTCCACTGATTTGTTATCGTCTTGTTTATAATTAGTCTCTTAAGAAATCAAAGAAAGCTTGTATGGTTTTCTCAGGACATGATAGCACGAAGATTAGAACTATTTTAAACATGATTTTTTTTTCTGTTGTTCATTGAAAAATTGCTCTAGGCATTTTGTTAATGATTTAAACCGACTCCGAGTATTTACTAAATACTTCAAATTTTTTTTGGTTAATAATCTCTAAACAGTTCTCCCAAGACCGGATTGTGTTAAACTGATTTGTGTATTATTTTTGGCAATGACAGAATGGCTAATTTAAATGGACATTAGAAAGTTGTTTTAAAACTATTTTGCCGGCACAAAAACGGTAAATAACGTGTTGTTGTTTTCAGAAATCGAGGCAGCTGAAGCATGCAAATGGCTCCGAGCTACTGGCTTCCCTCAATATGCCCAAATGTACGAAGGTAATAGCTGTGTTTTTTTTTCTGGTTAAATAAAACTCATTAGTTGCCCTTAAAAGTTACTTGACTTTCGGCTTTCTATGCGCATTCGGTTTTGAAGCCAGTGCCGTTTTCGGAAATATCTTAATTAACGTTTGATTTTCGTTATGACAAGCCATATTCAAATTTACCTTTTACATGAAAGGATTTTTTCTTAGATATGCAATTTCCCATCGACCTTTCCCAAGCCGAACAAGACCACACTTTTTTGGAACCTGACGATTTAAATTCTTTATTTCGCCGACTTCAAATCTTAAATAGCTGCGCTAATTTGCATCAGCAACGAGTCACGCATACTGATGAGTCGGATGACGAATACTGTGCGTTGAGCGATAAGTGGACTTTCCAATCAGATACAAGAAGATGGTCTAGGACATGCTCCAAAGGACCATATCGTAAGTTCAAATCGACTTATTTGCTGAAAATGTCTTAAAATAAACAAATTACAGCAAACCTCGAAGAAATTAATAAGCGCATTGAAAGTGGCAGTTTTTCCAGTCAGGAAAAAGATGACGTTTTCGAAAAATGTACACAGAGTCCTAAAGAACGCCTACGTAGAGCTGGTTCAAGTAAATTTAGACGGAGAAGGCAGGGTGTGTTTCTTAGCGAAAGAGAACCTACCTTAGAAAATATATCCCCTATAAATAGTTTAAAAATACTAGAAATAAACCATATATCCGATTCGGAAATAACACCAAGACACCAACGAAAGGTTCGGACAAAAAGCTTTGACAAAACAGACACTTGGCTTCATTCTCCTCACGAAGTTGATCGGTAAATCTTTTTTTTCCTGTATCACTTCTATCTCTCTAATCATAAAATATTCATTTTCGTGTAGTGTCATTTGGCAGAATCTTCCTGAAACCGGGGCGACGCAGCTAGAAGAATCAGAAGACGACCATAAACCAACAGGAGAAGAAATACCACTAAACCAACTTTCAGCCACGCAACTACAGATGCTGAGGAAGTTAGCTTTGCTCAAGTTGACAGCTCACATGGAGAAGCACTGTCCTTCACACCGGAGCGGATGGAATTGGGACTTACCTAAGTTCATTAGGAAAATGAAAGCTCCAGTTTACAAAGGTAAGTGAGCTTTTTTCAAATTTGTATATGTATCCTGAGTGGAATTATTACTTAATCTGTCCTTCGCATAAGAGGAAATGTGCTCGAGATTTGTCCAAGTTCATTAAGAAAATGAAAGTTCCTGCCTAGACAAAGGTAGAACTTCTAAGAAAATGATTTTCGCAGAACTGTTTTTATTCAGACTGTGCAGGGGCTGGCTTTGTTTCGCGTATATCGCGTGTTTGTCGAATATAAAAAGAACAAACTCTCTGTATTAAATTAAATATCCTTTCTACAAACGTTTTATTTGTGCGATGTTTCCTATTGAGTTTGTCCATCAACAGCTCATAACTCGCCGATTGTGTGGTTGTTCAGTCGACATTCCTACACAGGAAAAAAAACTTGTCTGCTCTTGCTGGTCTTTGTTAGCACAAACGTATCCAGAAACTTCTCTTGGTCTATTAAGATCAAGTTAATGTCGATCACAATTGCTATTAGCAAGTAATTTGTCTACCTACGATAAGGATGACGTTTCAGAAGGTTTACACGATGATAATTGGAAAACTAACAATCGAGCCTATCAGGTTTCGCCAAAATATATTAAAAAATGTGGCTTACTTTTAAACACCGATATCTCAAAAACGAATAGAATTAATATTTTAACATAAAGCTGTAAAGAGAGAGTAATAAAAGCTTCACAAAGTTTCCTGAAAATAATTCTGCCATTTTTCACCACTGAAAGAAAATCTACAAAATAAAATAGTTACTTTTTGTAAACACCACTACGTTAAATCCGAACGAAAATCTAGCTTGTGAGTGGTATTTTAGCAGTAAAACAAATTTGCCTAACTGACATAAAATGCTTAACATTTCAGGAGGTATCTCCTTCTGGTAAGAAGTAAAAAAAAACACACAAAGAACAGACTATCCAAGAACACTTTAGTTTTTAGCAGATACGTATGTTATAAACTGTGTCGTTTAAAAGGAGATATACTTCCTGAAATGTTAAGCAATTTTTGCAGGTTAGGCAAATTTGTTTTACTAGTAAAATACCACTGAAAACATGGTTTCCGTTTGGCTTCGATGTAGTGGTGCTTACAAAAAATAACTATTTTAGATTTTCTTCAAATGAAGACTCTAGAATTATTTTCAAGAAATAAACCGCACTCCACAAAGATATAGATGTTCTTCACAAAATTAATTGTGCTTGGAATAAAAAATGGAGTGGCTACCATTTAAGGAGGGAAGTATGAAGTACCGTATTCTGATTTCCTTCTGCAATACTTGAATTTTTTTCACAGATAGGCCAATATGTCCAATTTTTGTTCAAATTTTTTTCTTAAAATAGTTTTTTTTTTGACTGTAGTTGACTGATTGTAAAATAAATCAGTTTCAGCTTTGCCTTGTGATGTTTTATTGAAAAAGGCGGTATTTCTTCCAGTGTAGCGGACATTCCTAGGAGCTATCGCGATAAGAGCACGTACCGAGCTGTATCTCTCTATTATTTTCAGATAAAAACGTATTTGGCGTACCTCTAACAATAACACTGCAAAGAACGGGCCAAGTACTACCGAGAAATATTGAAGAGGCGTTGCGTTGGCTCCAGCAGAACGCCACGGATCAAGTCGGGATTTTTCGAAAACCCGGAGTCAAGTCGAGAATTCAGGCTCTGAGGAATCTGGTGGAATCTAACGTATGCGTCGACTATTCCGATCAGCAATCGTACGATGTGGCCGACATGGTGAAGCAGTACTTCAGGGAACTACCCGAGACCTTACTCACGAACAAGCTCTCAGAAACTTTCATCTTAATATTTCAATGTAAGTTTTATTTTTCTATTACATATACAGGGTGTCCCAAACTATAGACATGAAGAAGGTCAAATTATGGTAAAGATTCGCAATTTTATGCCGAATATAATCAACAGATACTCCTCAATAAGTGCACATGTACACGTGAACCCTCAAAAAGAGGCATTATATTTACTCTGTTTCCAAAAATGTTCTTTTTTTTTAATTCATCATAGACTTGAAATCGATACACAAAAACTTTGGCGAATTTCTTATCTGACATAAATAGGCTTAAACCTATCTATTATAATTTCTAAATAAAATCTCCATCGCTATATGAAGAGCATAACTACGTAATCTAAGAATGCAACGGGCTATTGTCATTTTTCATCAGATTTTTCCTGCAATTTTATTGAGTATTTCTTTATCCCGGGATTTCAAAACGGAATCCCGAAATGTTTTTACAAGCCAAAATGTAATTTTTATGACCAGAACTGTCATTCGGTGGTTTCTTTCCATCAATTTTTATTTTAAGTGCTAATTAATATTAATTGAAAAGTAAACTTCCAAATTGTTTATACACAGCTGATTCCTTATTATAAACCATAAGTAAACACTGTCGGCCATTCTAAAAGTGAAAATAGCAGAGGATTAATATTTTTAATTTGACTTGCGTAGTAAAAGTAATTAAAAAATACTTAGACCTTTCGAACGGACTTTCAAACCGATTTTCCATTGAACAAATTTAAGAATTTTTAAATATTTCGTCGGTGTTTTATTTAATAAAAAATAAAAGGAAGTGACTACAAGGCAAAGCCATTAGTGAGGCGAGAAGATTAATTTTTGTTCAGATGTTTATCTGATGTCATCATCATTGTTCAGTTATTTCTTAATATCATAATAATCCTCCTGAGCAGGGCTTCACAAAATTAAAAAAAAAATATGCTTCTACATTTCAAATCGTCGAGAATAAATCCCGTTAGAGTATATATTGATTTTAGTGGTTTGTAAACAGGCCAACAAGTGTTTCTATTTTAATATTTCCAGGTTATTTTTTATTGATTTATCTCGCCAGTCTCCGCTTACATACAGCATCATCCATAACCGACAGCCCCCCCCCCCCGTCTAATATTATACAATTTTATTTCTAGAAAAACAAATAATTAGTCATATTTCTATGAATCAAATGGCTATAAGTCCGGTAGAACAGCAGGACGAAAAATGTTCTACCCATAAAATTAAGCTGACTTACAACTAAAAAGAAATTAAGTCAATTATTAATTAAATTGTTACCGTCAAAAACCGAAAAAGGAATATATTTTGTTGCTTTTAATCCTTTATTTCGGTAAATTATTTTTTTTTAATTTAAATTCGATTTGGTTCAAGTTATTTTTGACGCTAAGTAAAAAAATCCATTTAGCACAGATAAGCCTGCTTATATTGGTTTTTAATCGCCAAAGTTATATTAAAATCACCAGTTCAGTGGATATTATTATTAGCGGAAATTTAACTGAATATAAAAATATACAGGGGCTCGCATAAAGTCCCCATATTTAATTGGTAGTTTCATAGATGTTTGGTTTGTTTAAAGTTTGGAGAGCAAAAAAAATTAAATTATTTTTTTTAAATTTCACTTTTAACTTAATATTTGGTTAACTGGAATATTTTTATAAGATATTTAATTAATAAAAATAAAGATATCGCTTTGAAGAAGAGTAATATAAATTAAAGCCCTATCTATACAGAAGGTTTTACCTGTCAGTCTTGCCTATTCAGTCAAAACGTATTCTTGTATTTAATGGAATAATGATTAGTTTTATCCTTGATTATGGTATAGACGAGGGTTTTATACAATTAAGATGGAAGGCTGTCCAGAAAACTGACTGGATCATTCAATTTTATAAAAAAGCTATCGTAAATAACATTGATATATATTACAGCATCTTTAATAAGCGACTTTATTTGCAGACGTGCCAGTGACGGTCTTCCGTTTTACCTGACACGCAAAACTGACTGGTAAAACGTTACGTATAGACGGAGCTTTAAGAGCGTAATAATAAAGATATACAGGGTGAGTCTTAAATAAATGCAAATATTTTTAGGGGTAGCTAGTATATTTCGACACCAGAAACACGCGTATGAGTTTTTTTTCGCGAGATCTACCGCGAATCGAGATCTACCAGTCCTGAAAATATTTGCACTAATTTAAGACTCACCCTGTATAAGGTAATTAATGAAATGTTACATTACGTTTGGTTCGCCCCAAAAAAAATTAAAACCATACAAAAGTCAGAGGTAAAAAAATGTTCCGATTGAATGGGAACTTTTTGCGTGGCACTGTATGAACCAAAACAATCTTAACGAAAACAGCTCGAGTGGTTTTCGAAGCTGAAAACCAGTCGATAAAATTCCGAAATGGTTTATTTGCAGACGTGCCCGTTTATTTGAGACGGGAGTCCGTCCTTTGTGCGCTACTTTTGATGCCTGACGAGCACATCGAGGTGTTGCAAGCACTTCTGCATTTTCTACTTCTGATCGCCAAGCACTCGGAGATCAATCAGATGAACGAGAGCAATCTGGCGATGTGTTTCGCACCATCCTTGTTCCACTATTCACAGACCTACAAGCAAAACGTCGGATCGCCACATCCTAAGGAGCTAGCCGAAAATAAAGCAGGATACGACTGCTTGTACTACTTCCTCAAGAACTTCAACAGGCTGTTTAAAGTGAGTTACAGTAACTTATTTTTAAATTCCTTTTTTTTTCCAAAATGTACAAGTATGTGAATAAGTATGAAAAATAGGAATAGGGGGGTAACGTCGTCGTAACTTCAATTGAGATATAACACCGTGTGTTATTAAAAAGATTAAAAAAAATATTTTCCGTTCTAAATGAAAAGTAAAAACACCTTATCTTGTTTTATTTTTTAATTATAATGAATTATAGTTTCACCTCAAGCAAAGTCTACACAGGGTGGTCTGAATTGTATTCGGGAATCTTCGGCAACACATTCTGTAGATAAAAATAAGTAAAAAAGTTTGTATAAATGTGTGTCCTAAAATGCTTAGTGTCGGAGACACAGGGTGTAGAAGTTTCAATTTGATTTGGATTTTTTTCAAATAATTTCTGAACTAACATCGATATTTCGGTGAAAATTGGTGTCTGATTGTTTTTTTATATGAGAAATTTGATTTTGATGTCAATAATGACTCCTACTTGCAGAGGGCGCCACCTACGTATTTTTAACTGGTTTGAGGAGTAATAACTTTTCGTCCGTAATTGTATAAAACTACTGAGTAAAAAATATACATTTACGATATTTTTTAAGTAAAACATGTCTGGTAAAAGTCGCTGCAAGCAATGGTTCTCAAGATATTTGAAATCAAAATTATCAATACCTCTCATCATTGACAGAAATTAAACATGTGTTGACTAAATAGTTATTAGACTGAAATAATAAATTTGAAATGTTTTTGTGTCAAAAGTTCAATAGAAACTGTTTTATCATAATTTTTGGAAAGAAAATTTATGATTAATTCAAAAAATATAAACTTCCCAAATTTATCAATTCAGTCAAATAACTATCTACTCAAAAATATCTTCGGAACGGTTGCTCGTAGCGATTTTTACCAAGGAACACTTTTTACGTAAAAAATTACGGAAATGTATATTTTTCTACACACTAGTTTTATACAGGTACGGGCGAAAAGTTATTACACTTCAAATTAGTTATAAAAACTTTAGATGGCCAGCCCTACAAGTAGTAGTCATATTGACATCGAAATCAAATTTCTCATGTCCAAAAACACCCAGACACCAATTTTTATCCACAAATATCAACGTTAGTTCACAAATTATTTGGAAAAGACTTAAATAAAAATGAAAGTTCTACACTCTGTATCTCCGAAATGAAGTATTTAGGACATAACTTTTTTACTTATTTTTATGTGTAGAATACACTGCCGAAGTTTCCCGAATATAATTCGGACTACCCTGTATGTCCAGAAAATTTCTTAATTTGTTGAACATATCAGATAAGGGATTTTCTATTAACACGGCAGTTATTATATGGCATTTTTGGTCAAAGTTTATACAGGATGTACGAGAAATACATGGCAAAATTTCAGAGAGTGATTTCTCATCAAGAATATGGGAAAGTGTTCATATAAATAAACATGGGTCCGGAAATGTCTTAAATTTTCGTGACAAAAATCGTCAAATTATTAAAAAAATAATTTCTACAAGAAAAACATACTTCAATTATAAGTATTACAAGTGCAATTATTTAATTTTTGACTTAGTTATATTAATTAACTAGATTTATCCAGGATATAGAGCTAGCTATATTGTGTAAAACTCTACTTACTACTAAGTCTTCTAAGAACTATTAGTTGCCTTTTTAAATTATCTTCTATTCATTAAGTCCATAATATAGTGTTATATTTGTTTGTATTAGTTTGTATTTTTTTGTACTAGTAGACCGACCATAAGATAAAATAAAAGCATTGAGTATGAAATCGAATTTCCTTAAAAGAAATATTTCTTTTTAAAGAAGTTTTCCGTTATGCTCTATACCCTGTATACCCGGTACATTTTATTGATCCTCGTCGGTTTTATAAATTTGCAGGACCGAAAACGCTCACAGATAATTCGTACTGTAAATAAAAAGGTTTACTCAAACATAACGACAATGATTTCGTTCACGTAACGGAGATATGATTTTTTTAATAGCTTATCACCGTTACGTCATTATATTGTAGTTAAAATTGCATCAGATGCACTTGGGCGTGATGCGTTACAGCCATTGTATTTCATTTTGTTTTCTCCTTTTCCAAAACCTTTTCCCATTCTATACGCTATTTGATTTTCTGTCGTTCCCCGTTATAAGCCCGTATTGAAATAATTTTTCAGGTGCCCCAAGAGTTCATCAAACAATGCAAGTCAAGCGAGCTGAAAGACTGCAAAGCCAAGCTGTTAAGCGACCTGGGAAGCAAAAACGGCGGCTGGAAGGAATATCTGAAAGAATGCGAATCCAATCTACTAAAAGAGGCAAAAGAAAAACAAAGAGGATGGATCAGTGTGTCATCTTTTCACCCTCGAGTCGAAATAGCTTACAAGAAAGTAGCCGATGGAATCCCACTGCGCTTATGGAAGGTTACAGCAGAAATAGAGGCTCCTCCTTCAGAAGTACTGCACAGACTTCTCAGAGAAAAACACGTATGGGATCCGGAACTGCGCTCAGCGAAAATTGTAGCTCAGCTGGAACAAAAAAGCGAAATTTTTCAATACGTCCGTGCCAGTATAACTCCCCGTCCCGCTGAAGAATACTGCATAGTACGAACATGGCGAACAAATCTACCCAAAGACGGTTGTTTGCTCATCGAGACGTCTGTGGAGCATCCAGAGGCACTTCCTGTGCCTCACTCGACCAGAGGATTAATTTTGGCCTCCAGGTATCTTATCGAACCCTGTGGATCCGGGAAATCCCGACTTCTTCATTTATCCAGAGTAGATACGATGGGGAGATCTCCCGAATGGTACCAGAAGCACTTTGGTCATTTGCAGGCGTCGTTTGTAGCGAATGTTCAAAGTTCATTCTCGAGTCACCAGAATACGTTAGGGCCAGAAAGCAAAGTATAGAACTGAGCCATAAATATGGGTTTATACCGAACCAAAGATTGTACATAAAATTAGCGCGAGGACTTATCTGTATACATTAAAATCATTTTGTAATGACGGTGTACCTTCGGACATTATGTTGTAAATATTTTCCATATTTCGGTACAAAAGAGAGCATCACAAAAAAAATCTATTTATTTTAAGTTCCATTTTATATAAATATTAAAATTCCAATAACGTTACCATAACTTGTCAGAATATACCTAGTATATAGCTAAGCGTATATTTTTAGTCATATATTTTTTTATAATTTATATTTTATAAAACTGACTATTAATAAAATCTCAAATAACTGGGTACTAAGACGTTGAGGTACCCACTTGTCACGTGTCATACTAGTCATTGCATAACATTATTTCTAAATAGATTATTATACATTTTTAAAATTCAAACATTTACTTAAATTACCATTTAGAGAAGAAAAAGATGATTACGGGCCAGTATTGTATAAAACTTGTATATTATTGTTAACATATTAATAAAAGAGCTATTTCTTATTAAAGTTGCTTTATTTCATCTTATATACAAGGCAAAATTCTACATAATGAAATTCTCTTAAACCCTTGTTTATATAAACTAAACAAATAAAAAAGTACCACAATATTTAAATTCAGTTGTATTTTAGCGCATTCGCCATTTTGTTAAATTTCATTTCATTTGCGCAATAAAAGCCCCCAATGTTAAATCTCAAAAAAATATCTATGCTAAATTTTATTTTGTGGAAGTTACTGATTGAGAAAGAAAAACAACTAACGCCTTTTTTGTAAATAAAGTAGTATTTATTAATTGGTTAGGCAAGAAAATCATAATTAATACCGTAAGTAGCCATCTATGTATTCCTATTGGAACTTTTTTTAATACTGGGTCTGCCTCGATGGCACCTGGATGGCACCACATTCCCTTTAAAACAGTAATCTGCGAAACTATAATTTTTTGTGGTCTACTAGAATCTAGTATGTTCTGTGTTCTGTGGTATCAAAATATATTTGTAAACAAACATTGGACTTCAAATTTTTAAATTGAAATTATTATTAAAGTTATTAAACTCTTAACACTTTATTGTAAATAACTATGGGTAATAAATACAAAAGCTTAATTATCTTTTTATGTAAGTATAACTGCGCTTCTACGAGTACCTAGAAATTAAAATAATGCTCTTTTTTTTCAGTCCTAATTATTTTTCCTTACAAAACACTACAACAGGGAAAAAATGGTTATTTTAAAGAGACTATTCAAGCTGGTATGTATTATTTTAAACACTGTTTTGTTTCCTTTTTGATAAATAGGGGTATAACATTTTTAGATGACAAACAGGAAGCTCATCCAATTATCAACCTGAAAACTATTGCGGTGATTACTTCAGGAGTTTTACTATTAGGGGTTGTATTTTATGGCAAGAAATGTTATTATTTATGTCAAATGACTATATGTAGTGGTGCTGAAAGACATTATATGGATTTAGCATCACAGGTTTGATTATGAAACTTTTAATTTCTACTAGATTTAAGATTGGTATGGATTTAAGACTTATATTTTCAATTTAAAATGTAATTCCTTCAAACACAAAGTTGCTATGAGGCATCTATTTTTAAGTGAAATGTTGACTGTTCAAAAAAAGCTCAAATATTTAGTGTTTTTCAAATGTTCAAATATGTGATATTTTATTTTTGTATTGCCTTTTACAATTTTTCATATAAAACTTATTCTTGTAATAAAATAATGTTTCATTTATCCTGAACTTCTGGAAAAGTACTATACTTTCAAACAGCATATTAGATTTCTTAAAAATAGTTTATTAACAAATAAATTTTACAAATTTTATATTACTGACTAAAAGAAACATCTTACAAAATATTAAAGTAGTCTTTTTGTTTCATTTAATACACAAACATTTCATACACAAACAAGTTTAAGGGCTGTTATATGAGGGGAGATAATAAGTCTTATAAGTTTCTTTACAATTCATCTTTGTCATCTAAATCTACATCTGAAAGATCTATGTCTTCTTCTGGAGGCAGTTCTCCATCTTTTCCATCCCAAGATTCTGTCGTTACAATATTGGGAATAGCTTGACCTTTCACTGGAGCTGTATTACCTTTCCCATAAGAAAGATCTCTGAAATAATATAGATTACATAAACAAACTGTATAAACATAAGCAAATTGTACTACCTTAAAAATTCATATATGCCACTTTCAGAAAAGGAACCTCTTAGTATTGAATACTTCATTTTTTTTACATTTATAACAGCCATTGCAGGATATCCAAAGCCTCCAATATCGACAGCATTCTCCATTTCAGGCTGTACACCAGCCTCTGACCAAATCCATCCCCACATTTTGTTCTTGAATTTATCTCCCAGTTTTGTTAACATTTTTATATAGTTATTTCTACATTCAGCTTGGCAGTCTAAAATATGTGGAAGCACGGTAATAACACAAAGCGGTTTTTGCTCGCATTGTTCCTGGAAAATATCTGAAGAAACAACTTGAACTATCTCAGGTGCAGGTACACTTTCGACAAGTTTCTCCAGTGCCCAATTTACAATGTCACTGGAAGTACGACCTCCATCATAATCTTCAGCAGAAGAAGATGACTTAGACCCAGGTGCAAAGAATTTAATAGTAGGATATCCTTGGATACCATATTGACTAGATTTCACAGTATTTACAGTAGCATCCAGAGCACCAAGTTTTACTTTGCCTTTCAGTTCAGCAGCTGCTTTGGCCCAATGAGGAGCAAGATTTTTGCAGTGGCCACACCAAGGTGCAAAAAATTCAACTAGCCACAAATCATCAGATTGTAGAACAAGTTTATCAAAGTTACTATCAGTCAATTCAATAACATCATCACTTCCCTTCTGAAAAAAAAATCATAAATTATACTTATGTAAAATCTCAATTACACAATTTTTCTTACATCCGAGGAACTTCCAGAACTACTTCCTAAACCTAACGAGTTCTTCACTTTGGCTTTGACTGCTGACAATGCAGCATTCACAATTCCTTCAGCTGTTCTAGCTCCCTGATAATCTTCTGGCTTGTTTTTGTTCCCTCCAAAAATTTTTATTGTTGGAAAACTTCGAACACCATATCTACCACCCAATTCTTTATTTTCATCGGCATTAACTGCTCCCACTTTTACTACTCCCTATTAATAGAAGTTTTATTTTGGTATTAATCAAAATAAACATGTTGTACGTACCTTTAAAGCATTTGCTGCTTTGGTGTAATCTGGGACAAGATTTTGACAATGTCCACACCATGGGGCAAAGAATTCAACTATCCATACTTCATCCCCTTTTATTACTAAATTATCAAAATTAGCAGGTGTTAGTTCAATAACATTTCCTCGTGAGGTATAAAGAGCCAAAGATGAACCAACCAATAATGTGAGAACTACAAAATATAAAAATGCTTATAGTACTCAACATAAATGTATATTACACTGCTCAAATAGCTTACCTAAAACGTTCAGCATTGTGATTAATTATCTCGGTACGCCCCTACCCCGGTAAACCCTCTACTGATATTCTAATATGCAATATAACTACAGGTGTGAAAATAATATTTTAACCGACATTAAAAACCTCTTGACACCAACACAAAAGTTTCTTGGATCGTGGTTGTTTTTTATTGGTTAGACTGAATAGACACCACAGAACAAGCATACTGCCAATACCACATTGAATTTGAAGGCTTGTTTCAGTGTAACAATTACAATACAAATATTTGAGTTTTACATGAGTAAATATAATAAATTTCTTGTAAAACTAAAAAATTCTATTGTAGATATAAACCTAATGCACTTAGGACTTGTTTTCTTAGCTAATCCTAATAGACATAGACCGATTTAGGAATAAATCGTCCTATTGCTGCCAAAAGTCACTAACTAACATTTTTCCGAACAACCAAATTCAATCACTAACTATGTTTTGGAGCGGAGAATCGATTGCAAAAGTCATTAACTACGATTTCTGGCTATTTGTTTTATTTTAATATCGAATAGTTACTAACAATAACATCTTTATGCAATGCAGCAATGGGACGAAATATAGTCTATATATCTTATTCTTCTTTAATTTTCAGTACCATTAATGTAGCTTCAAGCTTCTAGAATAGAAAAAAAGATATATAACAATTTGATATTTAAATAATTATTTATAACTAAAGGCAAACTTTTGTAAATTTTGTATAGCCCTCCATATTTTGTATACTCTTTTGCTTTCGTCTTGATTTCTTCAACTTCCAACCCACTGTACAGGCTACATGTTCTACATATTTAATCTATGGTATAATAACCTCCAGTTTTAACCAGGGGGTGACAGTGAAATAGGAAAATTGGAAACAGTCATTAGTGTCATTCCTGTCATTCTCCTCACGACAAGTATGGCCGCCGAGACAAGGACAGCAATGTTTCTGTCTAACTATTGTCTAACTTCACAGTGTTTAGAATTGACAAATTTCAGTTTCAGAGACAACTTCAGATTTGTTCTAGAACAATTAGAAAATATTCGACGCCATATTAATTCATTCCGTTTAGTTTCGTTTTGGAAGTTCAATTTAATATTTCGGCTGAAATTTATAAATATAAAGGTAATAAAGTATATAAAATATATATTACATGAAGAATCCCGGAGAAAATGACGTTTCTGCAGTAGTAGGTATGTCCCATGTATATGAAAAATAGGTAGTAAATAAACACGGTTTTTACATTTTTTAGATGCAAGAAAATGGTGTTATAATCTCTTTGATCGGCGATTTTTTTGAAAATGGAAACAATTTACAGCAAGGTAAGATCATTTTTAACTATAGCCAACATTTAGCATTTATTGTCAATAATGCAATAAATCGGACTGATGAATCTGATTATGTTATTCGACTAAAAGTCTCTTTTTGCTTCTTTTTGATTTATAAGCCAGGTCTCTTTGGGAATAATGGACGCTTTTTTAAACAGTATATTTATATTTTATACCTATTGATATTTTTACATTGTTAATTTTAGTATAAAAAAATTTGTTTTTCTGTTTTCAGGTTTTTGTATAAGCCTCCCGTTTTCATGTTCCTGTGTCCGTTTTCTGTCCTTGAAGTCTGCGAATACGTGTGTTTATTTACAAATTACTGTAAGTCATGCTTATACCTTAACTAATTATTTACGTTAAAAGTGCATATAATTAACTAATTGGTATTGAAGCAATACAATCCTCTATATTTTTATATTTATTTAGTCACGTTGTTCCATATTTCAAATAAATATATGTGAATAAATTATTTTTTTGGTTTTATTTATGAAAAGAAAAAATACAAAATACATTTGAACTGAAAGAGGGCCCGCCATTGAATAACCGGAAACGGAAATGAAATTGAAGCCATCATGTCCTTATCATGTCAACCTGTCAATTGGAAAATTAGTTCTCCAGACGACAATGAAGGCTTTCGGTGGCGTATCGCGTTTCCACGATTTAACACAGAGTTGACACTTCTTTCTAGTTAATTATTTTATGGTTTTAACATGAGAGGTCATTGCCATAGCAACGGTGACAACAAATATTTGAAGTTTTACAAAAATGTTTCTTTATTTAAGTAAAAAAGTAAAATGCAAAAATTATTTAATTTAATATCACTAAACTTTAACTTCTTTGCATTTTAGATAGCAATTCCAAACAATACAAAAATCCACTCACTTGATTGGAACAAGCAAGATGGATATATAGCAGTCGGCGGAGACAACGGACTTTTAAAAGTGTTAAAACTTGACTTAGGTAATTCCTTTCGATATTCTAGCAGCTGAAGCAGCTATTATCTTACCTAAAACTAATACTGCAGGTAACGAAGCAACGATAAAAAATAGAAAATTAACAACTACAAGTAATCTCTCAATGAATCAAACGCTTGAGGGGCATAGTGATACTATTAAAGTATTAACTTGGAATGAGCCACATAAGAAACTTACAACAAGCGATTCTAATGGGGTTATTATAGTATGGATGCTTTATAAGGTATAATAAGAGCTAGAATATATATATTATATCAATTTAAAATATTCCTAGGGTGCTTGGTATGAGGAAATGATAAATAATAGAAAAAAATCGACAGTAGTAGGTATGGCATGGAGTAGTGATGGCCAAAAAATTTGTATTATTTACGAAGACGGAGCAGTAATAGTAGGATGTGTAGGAGGCAATAGAATTTGGGGCAAAGAACTAAAACATACTCCACTCTGTGGAGTACAGTGGTCACCAGATGGAAAACTTCTTTTGTTTGCTTTAAAAAATGGGCAGTTACATTTATATGATAATCAAGGGAATTTTGTGGTAATAAAATAGACTTTAATACAAAATTCATATTATTAATTCAATTGGTACAATATTCCAGATGAGATTAGCAGTTTTTTGTCATGATACAAATTATGATCCAATACCAATTGTAGGCTTAGCTTGGTATAACGGTTCCGGTGGCATTATGAATTCTTCTTGTCCATCTTTAGCTATTTGTTTTGAAAATGGAAAAGCCCAGTTAATGAGGAATGAAAGTGACACATGTAGGAATTTGGAATTATGATCTTTATAATATAAAACTATATTTTTAATATAAGTTTATTTCAGCTCCAATATCCCTAGATACAAAAATGTTTTCTGTGCATTGTAGCTGGAATCACAACGGATCATTACTAGCAATTTCTGGAAAACAATTCGCCAACGAGAAGGAGATTAATCTTGTTCAATTTTATAATCCATTTGGAGAAGTCAGTTTTATTAATAATATTTTTAAAATTAATAATTAATTTTTTTGTAGCACTTGCGGACATTGAAAGTTCCTGGATCATCAATATCAAGCTGTGTTTGGGAAGGCGGTTCTTTAAGAGTTGCACTAGCTGTGGACTCTTTTGTGTATTTTGCCAATATTCGGCCCGATTATAAATGGTGCTATTTTAAGAAAACAGTCGTATTTACGTCATGTAGACCAGGAAGAACTGGAATATCTCTGACATTTTGGGATACTACAAATAATTTGGTAATATTTTTTGTATTTATACAAAAATAAAACAAAAATTAAAATCCCTGTTTCAGTGTCATACAAGATGGTTAAGCACAGTACTATCTATATCGTCTTGCGGAGACTACTGTGTTATTGCTACTTTATCAGAGACAGATATGATTGGTAAATATGGTTTATTGTTATATAATACTTTAGGTACACCAGTTGATGGAAAATATATTAATATAGAACCAGTAGCCCTGGCTATGAATTCATACCAGATATTTGCAGCTTCTAAAAGTAATTTTATTGTATGGCACTACAAAACTCCTAAGTCCATGATGGGTAGGTTTTAAGCTAACATAAGGGTCTTATATCCTTCATTGCTGTATCTTTGAAAACATTTTTTTTTTCTTAGTTGGTACAGCACGCTCAAAAATGTTTCATATAGATGATAATCCTTCTGGAGCAGTTGAAATATTGCAAGATTTAGATAATTCCACTCAGATACCTGTTAGCACTCACCAAACTGTAGACCCTATCTGTTGTCTAGTTGTTACAGATACGTGTCTGGCCATAGGTAGAGAATCAGGATTAATTCACTATTACATTTTACCCCACGTTGTACTCACTAATCGTTACAAGATTCCAAATCGACCACACAAACTTGCAATAAACTGCAATTCAACGTAAGAAATTAATATCTTTTAACTTGTTTCCCACCTGGATAAGTTTTATTGTTCTAGGAGGTTGTCAGTAATCGATATATCTGGTATTATGACAGTGTTGGACATATCAGAAGGCCATGGTAGGCCTTCCACAGGTCTGGAAGGCAATAAACTGGAAAGAAAAGATGTTTGGGCCATGTGTTGGGCTTCGGATAATCCGCAACTTCTGGCGATAATGGAGAAGACGCGAATGTATATATTTAAAGGAATTTATCCTGAGGAACCAATAGCTTGTTCAGGCTATATTTGTAGTTTTAAGGTAGATAAGTTATGTGTAAACGGGGCTACTGAAACAAAATACCCCATCAGCCCCATCACAGTTAACTGATTCTTAAAACAATTTTTTTTTAAACGCAGGATTTGGAAGTTGAAGCGGTATTATTGGACGAGATAATGGACAACCCAGAAAAGCCCAGTAAGGACTATTTAATAAAACTTGAAATCAAAAGTCTTAGAGATACTAGACAGTTGCTTGAAAAGGTTGGAATAAACGAAGCCGCTCAATTCGTAGAAGATAACAGGCACCCGCGGTTATGGTGATATAACATCTAATTTATAATTGCTTGACTTTTTAAAATATTCTTATATTAGGAGACTCATAGCCGAAGCAGCGCTAAAAGAAAAGAACCTTAACATGGCCGATGCTTGTTTTGTTAGAGCAAAAGATTACGCTAACGTCCAGTTCGTCAAAAAACTTCGAGACATAAATAACGAGTCCATTAAAAGTGCCCGAATATCGACTTATTTTAAGAACTTTGACGAAGCCGAAAAAATTTATATTGAAGCTGATAGAAGGTATAGATAGCATCAAATCTAATAAGATTAGATTAGGTATGTTATGTTTTATCATATTGCAAAATATTTCAGCGACTTGGCTTTAAATCTACGTCAAACCCTAGGAGATTGGTTTAGGGTTATTCAGATATTAAAAAATGGCGTAACAGCTCCGGACTATCTCTTAAAAACTGCATACAACTCTACCGCCGATTATTTTTATCACTTCAACAATTGGTAGCTGTCAAAAATATTAATCACTATAAAGTTCAACAGATATGGGATTTTTTTTTATTATTGAATCATTTTCGTTCAAAGTTAGGAGGAGTCTCTAAAACGTCCAATAATAAAAAAATCCCAATAATTGTTGCGAACTTTTTAGGACACCCTGTAATATCAATATTTTAGGGCTTCTGCAATTGAATATTACGAAATGGCTAAAAATACTTCGAAAATTATTGACTGTTATTATCATTTGGAAAACTGGAAAAGTTTAGAATTAATGATAGATCAGCTTGCTGAAGGTGATAATTTGTTAGAAAAGATTGCAGATATGTTTGCCTCAAATGCCGTCCACCAAGAAGCCATCAAGGCTTACACTAAAGTAATTAAATTTCCTCCAGCAAAAAAACCTATAGCCCCGTCTACACATAACGTTTTACCTGTTCAGTCAAAACAAACCTTGTGCTTAGACGCAAAAACGGTCCCTTCACATGAGCTGAATTAAAACGGAAGACAATCTTCCGTTTTGACTGACACGTAAAACGGTATGTGTAGACGGAGCTTTAATTAAAGTTTTTTTAGGTGGGAAAAATTAAATCGGCCATAGACTTGTGCATTTTGAATAACAGGTGGGACGCAGCCATTGATTTAGCTAAGAAATATAACATTACAAAAATATCTGACTTGTTACTTAAATATACTAATCACTTGATTGGACAGAATCAAGTTATGACTGCTATCGAAATAAATGTGCAAGCTAAGTTTTATATCCAGGCAGCAGAACATGCATTTAAAGTAAGAGATAAAGAATTTATCAAATACTTTCTGTTGTAAATATCGTCTACTATTGTAGCTGGCAGAAAGTGAAGTAAAAAAACCAATAAAAAACTTGGTAGCGATAAAAAAACATTATGTATATGCGGCGAGATTAGTGGAAATGTCTAAAACTTTACCCAAAGCAGGTATTAAAAAAAAACTTTATATAATGGCACTGACGAAATAAATCAAAATGTATGCTTTCCTTTCTATATAAGTAGATGGTGAAACATTTGATCCGATGATTTTTGAGAATGCATGGAAAGGAGCTGAAGCTTACCATTATTATATGTTAGCGCAAAATCAGCTTTACCAAGGAAAATTACACGACGCTCTTCGCATTTCTTACAAACTGCAAGAATATGGCGATTATATACCGGAATGTGAAATTTATTCTCTTCTCTCACTTACTTCCTGTCTTGACAGATCCTTTGCTATTTGTTCCAAAGCTTTAATGAGATTAAAGTCGTTGGATAATGTAAGATTAAACCCTTGTTTATATATTCTTATTAAACGTACAAAAACAATCTTGTCCGATGATTGATTATGTTTATTTTTAGATCACTTCTGAAGATAAGACTCAGTTTAGTAAATTGGCTTGGGATATTTTCAGGCAAAATGAACCCATTAATGTAAAAATAAAATCGGTTAAATGCGACAATTGCAATAACAATATACAAGATTGGTATACTAATTTATAATACATATTTATAGATTTATTTAGAAATATTTTTCTTTTATATAGGAACACAGTATGCCCTCATTGCAAAATACATTTCCCTACATGTGTGGCAACAGGTACGTCGATAGTTGAAGGCCCAATGTGGTTTTGCAAAATCTGCAAGCACCCAGCACTTCAAAGGAAAATGGAGTTTTTAAATTCATGTCCTCTTTGCCACACAAAAATCGACAGGCAATAATATTATTAAAGTAAAAAATAAAGTATTTATTTGTTCATATTTAAAGATTTGTTTTTATTGAAGTAACAATACAAAAATATTCATTAAATTATTTAAAAACAATGATATTTAGGAACAATGAAGAAAAAATAGTTCCACATGCAGAACTTCCTCAATTTAAATGCTGACACATATTTAACATACTCTGAAAAGATGAAGAGGTATTCAATAATACATAAAATAACAGAACTAACCAAAATGCAACCATTTAAGAAAAGCTACGCTTTATAACCTGGAAAAGGATCTGCTTTGAAGTTTCCTCAGGAAAATTTCATCAATATTCTTAAAGACATTGGCAGCAGCCTGAGAAGCATCAATACGATAATGAATACCTCTAATTTGATAATAGTCAACTAATGGTTTTGTCTGATTATGATATGTTAATAACCTTTTTCTTAGAGCATCCACATTATCATCGGATCGTTTAATTAACGGCTCCCCTGTAATATCATCTGTCATGGGTTTCTTTGGAGGCGCAAACTCCTCATGGTATGACCTGCCGCTATTTGGGTGAATTAAACGCCCAGTAATACGACGGAAAAGTAGACTGTCATCGATAGCAAACTCCACTACGGCATCCAATTTTGTGTGTCTTTTCTCCAATAAGTCATCAAGCTAAAAATACGTATAAAATATATGTTTGTAATAAATATCTATTGTCAATACTAACTTTTTCAGCTTGTACAACAGTTCTCGGAAAACCGTCAAGTAAAAATCCTCTTTTACATTCTGGCTTGTCCAGGTTTTGGTCAATCATTTTAACCACTAAATCGTCGCTAACAAGTTTGCCCTCGTCCATGACTTTCTTGAGCTTCGAACCTAATTCGGAACCCGAAGAGATCTCTGCCCTTAACATATCTCCAGTTGATAGATGGCAAAGACAAAATTTGTCTTTAAGCCATGCAGCCTACGGTTACATAAAAATAAATAACAATAAAAGGTGCAAAGGTAAAAGTACGTACCATTGTTCCTTTACCGGAACCTGGTGGCCCTAAAAGCACAGCCTTCACTCCTTTCTCTGAACTTCCCCCTTCGGGTAGCGGTGCGACTTTTTCAGCGGCCAAAGGAGCCATTTCTGGTTTACTACGTTTACTAGAAAGCTAGGTTTCAACTTAAATACGCCAAGTTGTTATGTAAATGACCTCCAAATGTAATGATAACTAACTGGAAGACCGATTAGTGAAAAGTGAAATAAAAAAATATATTGACAACGACACTTCTTATCTCCTAACCTAACAAATTTTAACCATAGACAAGACAAGACAAGATAACGAGCGATATATATTGCTGGTTGCCTACCTATTCATTTAACATCATATTAAGGATATTATTATAAACGGTACTAAAAAAAAAAAATAAAAAATAGATAATGGATCAGATTATCTTCATCAATAGTCACGTTAAAAAACTTGTATTTCACAATGGCAATTTTACATTAAAAAAATTATATATAGATAACCGAATATACGCCGTGTGGCCTACTTTTTTTACGTTTTAAACTAAATATGGGATAAATGGTCCACATCTCATGTTTAATTTAAAAAATAACATTTTTTACCACAGTTTTACACAAATAATACGTTAATTACATTAACATATTATTATGTACCTATCCATAATGGTAACATATAACTATCTAGTAATTCCTGCTTTTTATATTTTTAAAAAAATATATAATATAGTGTGAGTGACTATAGACCTACTCTTAACTCTTAAGCATAACTCTTAAGCAAGATGAAACACCTTCCAGTGTGCTTCCAGCTTCGACATAGAAAATGATTATAAATATAGATTATAAATTTTAACAGCATTTTATGAGGACTTTTATTCTATTTTAAATAAATTGTCGTGCTTAAATATGACAATATAGGTACTTTAGACATTATGTTGTTAGAAATTTTGCAATATGAGTATGAATAACATAAAATGACTTATTTGTAGTGTATTATTAAAATTTAATGCATCGCTAAGTCCATTTAGTCCTTATGTTTGGCCAATTTAATAATGTCAGTGACCCTGCTAGTTTTAGTCAAGGTTAGAGGACAACGCTCTCTTCGAAAAATCTGAAAATTTAACAATACCCGCCCATTTTTAAACTCAATTATGACGTCAAGAGATTCAACCAATCACCATTACTATAATTCTAGCGCAGTACCGTAATTAAACATTTTATCTCATATGCTATTCTGTAACTCAATATATTACCATCAGATGGCGGTTGAATTTTTTGTTACTAATTTGTTACTTTGCTGCCATTCGGTTATAATAGAAGATAGAAGTAGGAAGTAGGTATCTAGTAAGACGATGGTAGGACACTTAATTTTTATTTAAGAATTTTTGAATTATCAAAGTAATTAGTTAATAAATATAATATACTCTTAAATTTTAGTATTAGGACAAAATAAATACTCAAGTTTCAGAAAACATTTGTTACTCTAATAAAAGTTTATTGAAATCTATTGTGTTTCTTTTTAAAATATTGCCTATTTTATGTAAGGTGTGATATGGTTTATGTTTTAGATTATAATATAATACTCTGAGGTTTATGTTCAGATGTTCCAATATCTGTCTATAAAATAATAATTTGATCCATCAGCTTAGTACGGCTCTGAACCACGGCGGAAGTTTCCGAAATGACTCGAATAATTACGATATTTTCTGACATGCGTCACTGATTTAGATTTGACAGTTCCTTTGGCTTGAAAAATATGGCTGTAAAATAACCCAAAGCCTTTGTTTGAAATTTAATGTTTTCAAACTGAAATGTAATGAAATACACCTCTACGTATGTAAAAGGGTTATTAAGGAAGCAGTTTAAAAAATGTTTAGGATGCTGTGTCGATAGAATAATCTAAATCAGCAGGAAAAGTGCCCTAGTGTTCCAGTGATATGACAGTCAGGACGGAAGGGTGATATATTGTGGAGTCGTGTTATGGTCCCCTTAAGGGTGCAATCGTGGCAAACGGAAGCAGAGAAAGAGTATCTGGATCCGATGGTGGGTATTTGAGAATGTCTAGTGTTGTGGCCGCCAATTCCTTCAAGATGCCCATGTCGCGGACTCAGCTATTTCCCTCTCATACACAGTACATCCAAGAAGGTGGCGGAGGTAATTTACCCCCTTTAAAGCAAGGGCCCGCCAAAGAACAGAGCCCCCCAACAGCCTCAACGGCCAGTTCGGCAAATTCAGCCATTCTTCCAGAGTTAAATGTGTCGAGTTTAGGCCTACAGTGTCTTGGTAGAAGCAACATTTCAACTCCGCTAAAGTCTTCGCAAACAAGTCTTGTAAGTCTCACTGGCAGCGAGTGCAAACCTCGTACTATGGTAACTACTCCTGATCAAGTAATGAAACTTTATATAAATAAATTGACTCCATATGAGCATCATGAAATTTTCAACTATCCACAAATTTACTTTATTGGTGCTAACGCTAAAAAACGCCCAGGTATAATAGGAAACCCTAATAATTGTGACTATGATAATGACCAAGGATCTTATATTCACATTCCACATGATCATGTGGCCTATAGGTATGAAGTACTCAAAGTAATAGGTAAAGGGTCATTTGGCCAGGTAGTAAAAGCATATGATCATGCAAATCATATGCATGTAGCACTAAAAATGGTTCGTAATGAGAAAAGATTTCATCGCCAAGCTCAAGAAGAAGTGAGAATTCTGGAACACCTACGTAAACAAGATAAGGACAACACTATGAATATAATTCACATGCTAGACTCTTTTACTTTTCGAAATCACATGTGCATCACTTTTGAACTGCTCTCCATAAACCTTTATGAACTGATCAAAAAGAACAAATTTCAAGGCTTTAGTTTACAACTTGTCAGAAAGTTCTGTCATTCGTTGTTGTTATGCCTAGATGCCTTAAACAGAAACAAAATTATTCATTGCGATATGAAACCAGAAAATGTACTTTTAAAGCAACAGGGCCGGAGTGGCTTGAAAGTAAGTAATTTTTTAGGTTATTTTAAAGTTACTTTTTTATGTGATGCCAAATTTTCTACTTGCAAATAGGTCATCTTGTTTAAATTTAGTTCTATTATAGAAATCAAACCTGTTACATCACAGTTTGATTTGATTCCTCCTTCTATTTTTAGCCAGATATTTAAGGTTTTATTTTAAAAATCTAAGTTATTTTAAGCACTGCAGAATATCTTTATATTTCTAGAAAACATTCAATTTTTAATTTTGGATATAAACACAGGTCCACAGGTCTATTATTTTTAACACAATGAAATAATTTTTTTTTATGAGATGTTATGAGATGTTATTATTTTTTTAGGTGATAGATTTTGGATCATCATGTTATGAACAAAACAGAGTGTACACATATATACAGTCCAGATTTTATAGGGCACCGGAAGTTATATTAGGTGCTAGATATGGTATGCCCATTGATATGTGGTCATTAGGTTGCATTTTGGCTGAACTATTAACTGGTTTTCCTTTACTGCCTGGTGAAGACGAAGGAGACCAACTAGCTTGCATTATGGAATTGTTGGGAATGCCTCCTCAGAAACTTTTGGACCAATCAAAACGAGCCAAAAATTTTATCAACTCCAAAGGATTTCCAAGATACTGCCATTGTTCAACATTAAGCGACGGTATGTTGGAAATATTCTTAAACTTTCAAATTCAAATTTTCTTTTTAGGAACACTTCTTATGGCAGCTGGTATAAGTCGGAGGGGAAAATTAAGGGGCCCACCGGGAAGTATGGACCTTAAAAGAGCACTAAAAGGCTGTGATGATCCTTTGTTTTTGGATTTTATTCAGCGTTGTCTTGAATGGGATCCTGAAGCAAGGATGACGCCTGTTCAAGCTCTGAGGCATGCATGGCTTAGGAGAAGATTACCTAGACCTCCTGGTGAAAAAGTAAGTAATTTAATAAAACTGCGAAGATATTTCTCCAACTGTTTCTTACGTCAATATTTATATGCTAAACCCCATAAGCAAGTTATCTATTGAAAAAATTCAGAAATTATATCAGTTTTTTTGAAGATTTATTTTTTTCTATAATAATCTTTAAGTAAAAACCTGAACTTAACATAATATAAATCCACTCTTTTACTGATAGTGTTAATTACCATCTACACATAACGTTTTACCTGTCTGTTTTACATTAACTGAAGAGATCATTCAGTTCTACAACAAAACTCGTTTTACATTGATAGAAATATAAGAAATAATATGGATATATTACAGCATCTTTAATAAGCAACAAAATTATTTGGAGGCAAACAATAGTGTTTTTATAACTAGCTCTGAGTGTATACAAATGATCTTTTATGATAAAATCCCATATTCTTTTCAACTTCATTAAACAAAATGCTATAACTGACAAAACCGCGGGTCTTAAGGTGCGTTCACAAAAGGTGCCGCGCAAATAATTTTTTTAACATATGCTTTTGTGCGCGCTAAAAAAATACACTTCAAAACTACATGTTAAAAAAATGTTTTTTGCGGCGTGGCGCGGAGCGGCGCAGCCGGTATGAACGCACCTTTACATGACAGGCCAAAGGTCTATAAACACATAGACGGGATTAAGACGGACGAGCGTCTTGAGAACTGTCGTCAGTTTCATAGACGGTCTTCCGTTTTACCTGACAGGTAAAACGTTATGTGTAGTCGGGGCTTTAAGATTTTTTTTTTTGTTTAGAGCGATCAAAGTAGCGCAGGGATATCCAGAACCGGATCGACGGGTGGTCCGAGAACACCTAAAGCCCAACCGCAACAGCAGAGTTCTTTTGGTGAGGGCAATGCATGACGTGGTAGATACTACTTGCTGTATCGTTGTTGCACTGAAAGTCAAATTAATGCTCTGCGGTGCCGAATCGTGGCGCTGTGAGTGACACACATACCGTTGGGTGGTAACGCGTGAACTTTTTTATATTACATTTTCATTTAAGTTCATTGAAATGTTACAGGGTTAATGTTTAAAAAGGAAAATATCGTATCATCTGTAGGGCAGTCCTGTAAGAGTATTTCTGCTGATGGAAGTTGAGGCTAAAACCTTTATTTTTTGACGTTTTTAGCTGCAACTCTTAAAAATGTATGAGCTTTCATCTGAAATATTTTTTTACTATGGCTGTGTCAGATCTTTTTATTGGTTTAGTAGCTTTATTTGCATTTTCAATTCTGAACCAGTTCAGAGGCTTCTTATTAATTAAATAAAAAGAAAGTAAAATTTCTTTTTTACTTTTTTAATTTTTTTTTGTAAAGGAAGAAATGTTTTTATCGTATATTTATAATTTTTGAATTCTGATCCTTTTTTCTAGTCAAAGATTTATTTAAACCCTGACGTTTTCACTCGTTGTGCACATTGTCTAGCATGGCTGTAGAATTTTACTTATTTTATTGAAGTAATGTCAGCCGTTTGTGGATGTTGTTACTATGTAATAAATAAACCTGTAAATATTACAGACTCTTTTCTGTAAGTTATATTATAGTCTCAAAACATTTTATATACAATTACAGGGTATGCCTAAAGGTTTTTTTATTCTTTTTTATTTGGCACACCCTGTATTATACCAAAATTAATATAAGTTAGATAGATGTTGGGAAATGTATTAACTGTAATTTGTCATTAAGTTTTAAATATGTTTCATAGAAATTATGAAGTCTATGAGGTATAACTGAACTGAAAATATCAGCTTTTAGACAGTCCTGAACTGGTTCAGTTTTAGTACAGATTGTTTTCTTAAACGGAGCTCAAGTAGCATCTGAGGAAAATATAAGACATGATTGTTAACATATCTATATTATGTATGTAAAATAGTTTCGATTAAATAGAAAGTAATGCGAGGACAACGTGTTAAATTATGAAACTCCCACTCACAAACCATCAATTTTTTTACTGTCTTCCATATCCCCATTTATTCTCCTTCCATCTTTAAATACAATTTCGTGTCTCTTTGAAAAAATGCTTCTCTAAAGCATAGCCCTTTTCACAAAGAACGAATTAGCGTTTACAAATCCCCTTTATATTGTATCTTCTTTTTGTTCAGATTTATTATTCAGAGTTATGTAAAATTAATAATCTTTTAATCTGCAAGTTATTTGTGTTTTGGTGGTTTGTGGCTTTAAGTTTGACTATAATACATTGAATAAAAAAGGCTAGGGAAGGAGCACATCAACAACGTGTAACAGTAAGGTTGAAAATCCTCACATAATGTCTTTCCATATTTGTACACTTTGCATAAAACTAATTATAATAAAAAATAAATTCAATAGTCGATAGTATTAAACTGCTTTCTTAGCCTATTTGATCAGTGGTATATGTGGAATTTTATTCCTGTGTTACGATGCGGGCATTACATGTTTACATATTTTAACACAAACTTTTCTTCTGGATTTATATTGATTATGTTAATTAAGACTTAATACAACTCGACGCAATTCTTTATTATTTGCTCATTTTTAGCTTTAAGAATAATCAATATAGCCAAGAAAAAATGACACATTTTGTAGTAAAGGAATGTAATTCATAGCTGCCTGCCCTATTTTACTAGGTTCTTAAGTGTCCCAAGGGGTTGTTTGCTTTGCATGTCAAAAGGGAACTGGGATCTATGTTATCGTTAAGGTCACGAGATTTTTTATGTTTTTTTTCTTCTTATTTTTTAGGCTCTTGCAAAGTAAAATTTTATGCATTTAACGAAACGAAGGGTAAAGTATGCCAATGATTTTCTTATTTAAAAATGGCCGGCGTATAGTACAGATGGAGTTGTACCATTGGATTATTTTTATTATGCCAAGTTTATTTTTAATTCGATTTTCTAAATATCCGATTCTATAATTAGAATTTATATTTGTAATTTTTTTTCTTTGTTTTCACGTACTAGTTAGGTAGGGTAAGCAGAAAAATAAAATATATATATAAATTTATATTCTGTGTCTTATGAAGGGTGTTCACGCACTTTTCATGTAATAATGTTTGAGCGTTCTATCATTTTATCACTAATTTCATCATATTTATTTCATATTCATTTTAATTTAAAGGAAAGGTTGTGCAATAGATCTGTGTTTTTGTTTGATGTCTCGAAGGAATACAAGTGGTATTTTCATTAAAATTTAATGGAATTTAATGCATTTGATAAAGTTTATTAGACGGTATTACTTGCCCTGTAAATACAATATACTGAATGTCAACTTATATTTCATGAAAGCTAGCAGCTGTCAAATAGTTCAATATTATAGCTAGATGCAGGGAAGAGTCTCTCGTATTAAGATACTTGTAATATAGAAGAAAACTCAATAGCAAGGAGTTTAAGGGGTGGTAGATCTGATCAAAAGATTAACATCTTTTCTATTTACCATTTTTAAAATAAATCGAAAATAGCCGAGATATTTAACTTTTAAAAAAATAATGCTAACATTTTGACAACCGCTGACAACAATTGGATATCAACATTAGCAATTACCCCAATCTCTGCTTCTTCGACGCCCTGTGTACCCACATCGACAGAAAGCAAGTAAATTCCTGAATACTACTACTACTATTTTTTTAAGAGCATATTCGCCAGTATCGCCAGTATACTGGGTATTATCCCACAAAATAAATTAGAAGAAACACCTTACCTAGCATTAAAATAGTGGTGGCAAAACTCCTATGGCAGGCTGATGTAACGCTCAGCCACAGCCTATACAATAATTAGTGTTGTTCTTGAAAATTTAAAAAAAAATCAACATTTTTTTTTTCGGTAAGAAACCTCATGGGCGTGTTTCTGGAGTCAAACTATACTATCAGTTAAAATACTTGCACTCACTCTGTGACACCCTGTATATTAGTTATTTTTTAAACCAATTATCTAATACTGAATTATTGAAATTATGTTATTATATATAAGGGTGAGTCTTAAATAAGTGCAAATATTTTTAGGAGTAGTATATTTCAACCTCAGAAAACACGTCTATAAGATTTTTTACGCGAAAAAAAAATTGATAATTATAAATGTTTTGAAAAAGATTTTATAAAAAATTTTAATTATAAGTTAAAAATTATATCTTCGTAATATGGCAACGTAGGTAGTAGATAAATTTAAAAGAAGACAAAAACAGAAATGATACAGTGGTTTTCAATATTTAACCAAAAAAGTAAATTTTTCCTGAAATTTTCAAAATAAAAGTTATTTGAAAAACGGTAAAGAGAAAACTGTTACTTTTATCGAGATCTACCAGCCCTGAAAATATTTGCACTTATTTAAGACTAACCCTGTATATCTTAAAATGTTTCCTTTCCCTGCAATATTGGGCAATATTAGAATCTTAATTCGACTTCGCAATCAACTGATTACAAGTAAAAGCAGACTTTGTGATAGCAATCCGATATAAAATAAAACACCACTTTTGTCAACTTGGGGCATTTTAATTTACCTATTTGGTTTTATTTTTTTCGTGATTTTTAATATGCTAACCAAATATCAAATTCTAGTTCTTATTAAAACGATAGAAAAGAATATTATAACATATATGTACTTGCTCAAAATGACTAAATTACTAAACATGAGATTTTCTTGATGTAGTTGGTCAGTAAATTGTTTGTCATGGTTATATTTAACCGTTGAGTGGGTATTGTTTTAATTTTTTGGACCTGTATTAATGCTACCCCACAGTAGCAAGATTTTGTGATAACTTTTTCGTTATTTTTTTGTTTCTATTTGTATACAGGGGCCTTTGTAAAAGTCACTTGTCGCATTGATCCTGTATTGGTTTTTGTCAATCTCATGTACATATTCGTAGTATAAGTGTGTACAAGGTGTCTTAGAACAAAACAAGATAGTTGTAGTTGTACGCTACCTTTTTTATCGCCCTGTATAAGAGTTCTTATCCTTTCTTGTCGTTTCAGTTATACAGTAAGTGGTGCAAATTTTCGCACTGGCTTCGTTTATCTTAGTAAAATGTAAATGTGTATCATAGGAAACTATATTTTGCTTTAAAAGCATTTTGCATTATTGTATATATTAGCTACCTTTTTCTAAAACGAAGTGGTTGAACAAATTTGTCGTACTTACTAAATAACCGTGTTTTATGCAACGATGGTTGGCCTGAACAAAGTTTTATTGAAAATAATGGATGTAATATTTACATAAGTTTCAGAGATTGTGTTCGTTATATCATTGCCATTAATGTTTTTGTTTTTGACAGATACATGCTTTAAAAACAATAATATTACGGGAAAATGGAAATAGTAGTAGCCTGTTATTAGTGTCAGCAAAGTGTCATTATCAAATAAATACGTGTATAGAAAATAGTGGTAAATATTTAAAATGAATTTATTAAATTACAAATAGACGTCCCGAGAGCTATAAGTATATAACAGAAACTTAGTAAATAAACTGTAGTGATAATAAAATATACTTTGCTTTATTTATCATTCTTATAAAAGTATGTTTATCCTGTCGTACTTATATCTTATTTGTTTATACAGGGTGGATATAAATTTTTCTCCTTTGGCGATTCAATTTAATATCAAATGTTTTGCTCTACCTTATTATTTTATTATTTTTTATACAAAAATATCATGAAATTCGTATGTATACACCATGGTATTTGAGTATAATTATGTGTCTATTACTAATTAATATCTTATCCGCTTTTTTCTTCTGGCTGTGTAAGTAGAGTGCCTAACAACGCAATTAATCAATGTTCTAAGTTGCCCAATTGTAATTATTAATAAATTTCATTATGTAAATATATGTTTAGGGAATAATTAAATTACAGTTGATATAATTAAGCTCGCGGCACTCGTAATTTTTTGGCTTTACATTTCAAACATTGCATCTCTGTGGTCTAGGATAAATTCGTGTACATGTGTTTTATTTTTCATTAGTTTGAGGTTTGCAAATAGCCCGCTGTTTTTTCATGTATTTTTTACACGAGAAAGACTTCCTTAACTGCTTTCATATGATCAGGTTTTGCTTAAAAAATATGGAGTACATAAAACACTGTGGGTTATTTAGTACCTTGGCATTGTTTTTTATTAGATTGTAAGTTATTGACTGAAGTAGTGTATTTCCTTTGCGCACATATTTTGTAAAACTTCCTTTCCTAATTTTAGATACAATATCACAAAGACCTTCACATTTGATAAGGATTGTGACCAAATAATCACAAGTATATGCACTGATTTTTTTTGTATTTTTACATTTGGGTTTTAGTGTTCATTATTTTTACCTGTGTATATTTTGACTATTTGAAATATTTGTTTTTTTTTATCAAATAGTATACTCAGAAAGAAGTATCTATATCAGTTATACTTTAACAGTCTTGTAGGTGTTGTCATATGTTTTCTTTTGTATTAAATTTAAATACCAAAGGTCTCTATTTATATTCAAGATGTCTATAAAAGTCTGCCTCAGTAATAAATAAGTACTATCGACGTTATACGGTAGTGTATTTTCCGGTTTAATTTTTATTTGTCTCCATTTGTGCGTTTAGAAATTTCAAATATATGTACTTAATTAAATAAATTGGGAGGAAAATTAAAAAAGTTGAGGTGTGAGGCAAGCTTTTATGAACATGTTATATGACAGACTACAAGGATCATTTTAGTAGTTACAACTATGTTTTACCTATTAGTTAATAATGTTTAGCTTAATTTCTTTTAGTCAGAGGAGCTAAAGTACATGCACTATTGGAAGAGATGTTTGTCTTTATTTTTTTTTGTTTACTTTTTTTGGTAGATGGGAATACATGAAGAATGTCCAATCGTATGGTTTAGCTCCAAATACTGCCGACTGCTGAGAAAGGGCTTGATCTCTTATTATTTCTAAGCTGCGCGTATTTTTTTTTAATTTGTATTTTGTACTATAAAACATATTTTAGTAGTTTACCTATAATTTTAAAACATACAGAAGTCAGCTAGAGTGTCGCTTTGGACGTGGCGAACGAATAACGAAGCACATTTTTTATTCTTAAGTATTTGAATGTATTTTTTTCCTTTCCTGTATGTATTAGGTTTGATTTGACAAATCTTGGTGGTAAATCACTGTTGTGTTCAGTTCGAATGAAATACAACTTAACCCGCAAGTTTATAAACTAACTGTTAAAATCTAGCGAAGATGTGATTGTATTGAATGTTAAGTCATGTTTATAATATCATACTAATAGGATTTAAATACATCTCTCTTTATTAAAAAAAAGTGTTTTATTTGAATAGCATAAGTGACTGGACTATTAAAAAAAATGAGGCCTTGGACTGAAATGTTTAATAATAAATATTAAGTTAAATACCATAAATAGGAGCCATCTTTCCTGGCGCATTTGCCATTTTCTCGAGAGGTATAATTTTATTTGCTTTAAGTTTTTGGAATGATAGAACTCTTATAAATTTAGTGTATTTAATGTAATTAAATATAATTTGGCAATGGTAAATTAATTATAATAGTCATTATTTTAAATAGTACCACGAAAATACAAAGGAAATATTTATATTCTTGCTTTATTTCAACTTAAAAAATATACATATTTTTTGGTAGTGCGCACAGAGTAATGGATTTTTCTTTTAAGTTCTAATGCACTTTTACATTTTAAAAACATTATAAAAAATAAGTATGAAAAAATAATATATAGAGAAAACAGAGAGTAGAAAAAAAACAAGATAAGTTAACAATATTGCCTATTTTTTTTAAAATCTGATGCTTCACTGCTGCCTCTCATCTTCAAATTCTGGCAAGAAGGAACGTCTATTGTTATAGATTACACTGAAACATATACAATAAAACGTTTGTTCTTTGAATAGTTTAATAGATAATGATCTAGTTTTAAGAATAGGTAACAGATCGAAAAAATATAATATAAATATTAAATGTGCTTACTGAATGGTAAATAATTATTATACTTACTATATTCACTCCTTTTATTTAATTTTCCAAAATGTTCCTGGTTTTATGGCGTTTTATCAACCAATTCGGTCCTGTTAAAATTTAAGATGACTGGAAAGCCATGATAAACTTATCTAAGTTCGACATGACTGTAAGCCCTTGCCTTAATGTTCACACCTAGCCGCGACGCGTCTGAAATATACAGCAAATATAGCGATTTTCGAGACTCTTAACTTAATCACTTTATGTAGATTAATGATTAATTTTTGCTTTTCTATCGAATTTTAAACTTTTAAGCATATTTTAACACTAAAATTTCGCATAATAATTAAACTTTAGAGACGCGTTTGTTCGAAAGGGCGCTCAATATGGCGGACCCTAGTGGTAGACATAGAAACATCTCGTCCAGCGCCATCTGTAAATAGCAGCTTCAAATTTTAGAATTATTAATTGATATTGTTTCTAATTACTTTTTAAATCTTAAATAAATTGTTATAGCACAATTTTTTTCATTAGCCTATTTATATAAATTAAATATAATATTTTAAAGATATTGAATAAAACAAGAAAAATAATTAAAAATAAACCAATAGTTACGTAACCAGTAATACACCTCCCGTATTCAAATAAAATGTACGTTATTTAACCTATATTAATATAAATAAACAATTAATAAAACACTTACCAAACACTGTAATTAGATTAGGTTTAAAATTCAGTAAGTATGCTTTGGAAAAAAATCTCTTGATTAAAAGAGAAATATCATCAGTCAATGTTGTAGATGTTCATTTGTCTCCCGGTAGGTCGCCATATTGGGCATTTTTTCAAATAAACGGGTAACTAAAGTGTAATTATTATTTGATATTTTAGTGTTAAAACGTAATTAAAACTTCAAAATTTAATTGAAAAGCAAATATTAATTACTACTCTACGCTTCGTACTATACAGAGTTTCGAGTATCGCTATATTTTTCACGGACGCGTCGCGGCTATGTATGAACGTTAGGGCAAGGACTTCCAGTTATGCTGGATTTATTCCAGGACTTCATCATAATTCCAGGAGCTTATCACGACCAAAGAATGTACACCCTGACCTGTTTTACCCCAAATATTTGGCAGCCTCTGTGTATATAGACTCTCTTGTTAGACTCATCCTCGCAAACTCGGTGTATCGGATCGCGTTTTTCTTGATCGGTATAATATAGTATGGACAACTAATACTGGGTAAAGGACAACTAAAACATATTATATTTCTGATGAAAATGGAAGTTAACTTGATTGAACTTAATTACTTAAATACTATTTACTTTTTTGTCCCACTTGTAATCATTTATGTCCCAAACAATTTCAGTATGAAGATGAAGAGATAATCTAAAAGCAGCATTATTAAAGCATGACTCTAAGGAAGGAAATTTTTGTGGACATTGGCAGGAGAATGGGGCATGGAACGAGATACTGTCAGGTTTGTAATAATATTTTGCTAAAAAAAAAAGAAAAAAATAGGAGAAATTAACAAAAAAAAATAACTCTAATATAATTTTTTTAACATTATTTTTATCTGTAAGCGTTATTTTTAACTAAAGTATATATTGTCTGTTGTTTCAGGTTAGTGAGCGTAGAAGCAGTACTTCTGCAAGGGATGCACATCGTCGGGAGTGATATAACGAAAAAACTTGGAGCCCTCCAAAAACACGCAACATATATCTACAGTAACTATTTTTATTCAGCGGTTTATTGACTTGTTCGTTTATTCCCTGGCATGGGTGGAGCTCTGCAGGAGCTAAAGTCACCTGTGGAGTCTCCCCCAGAGAAGCAAAGAACAATGTTGAGTCGACCTCTGCAGGGGCTAATGTCCCCTGCATGAGCATCCTCACCGAAGCACGTTGGGTCGAGTTCTGCAGAGGCTAACGTCCTCTGAGAGTCTCCTCACAGAAGCAATGAAGAAGCTTTCCTCTCGAAAGCAGAAGATGTCCCTATAAGGTTGTTATGTCTAAACGTTCGTTTTATGGGTCTCTATTTCTCTCAAAAAAATGTCGAGTTTATTTTTCGATGAACCAGAGCAGCTATAGTGTGATTCCACGCTTTTAGAAAATTTTTGGTTCTTGTGTCTTTATAATGGTTCACATGATTTCAAGTTCTATTTTGGCGCAGTATGTATACAACGGGAGGGGATCTTGTCGAAGCCTTGCCGATCTGTTGAAATGTACACAATTTCTGCGTATATGGTATTCCCTTTTTTGATTTTCAATTTTTCTTACAGAATCAGTACGACGTTCTTTGTATATGAACCTCCAAGAAACCATGCACAGCAGTCAGTTTGAGTCGATACTTTGTCAGGTTCTTATGTCTTATAGATTCACGTTGATTAAAGTTCTTCCTTACGCTACGTCGAATTTTCGGGAGTGTAGTGATGAGGGCTCTGAAGACAGGCAGATACAGCAAACTAATAAGTAGGTATTTAAAAAATAGTGATAGATTAGACAGGTAAAGAAAGTATTTGATGTTACAGCTTCAATATTTTATCAATTCTAATACGTCCATTTTTCTACCATACATCTAGGGAATATTTCTCCATAAACAGGATGCAAATCTTTGATAAAACACCATAAAGCCAGTGGAAAACTTTAAACAGACACATATAGGCATGGAAAGGAATTTAGAAGAATTTTAAGATATTAGTAGCAGCTGCTAAATTTTTTTGATTTTTGACATCAGCTACGGTAAGCAAATTTAATATTCATATTATATTTTTTCGATCTGCTACCTATTCTTAAAACTAGATCATTATCTATTAAACTATTCAAAGAACAAACGTTTTAATGTATATGTTTCAGTGTAATCTATAACAAGAGACGTTCCTTCTTGTAAGAATTTGAAGATCAGCAGTGAAGCGTCATATTTACGGAAACAGGTAATATTATTAACTTTTATCTTGTTTTTTCTTCTACTCTCTGTTTTCTCTTTATATTATTTTTTTTTCATTTTAGATAATCTTTTTGGAAAGATACACTGAAACGTAGAGGAAAAATCAATTATTCTGTGCTATTATAAAACCTGCCATCTGCCATCACAGAAAAGTTGACCATAATTACTCATTTTTAATGAGGACAAGAACTATATTTTTTTAATTATTCATAATAGATTTATGAATAAAGCTAGAATATATTTTTTTGGTATTTTCTGTAGTACTATTTAAAATAACGATTACTGTAATAATTAATCTAACATTACCAAAAACTTCATTATATCAAATACTGTGTGGCTGGCCACCTTTAGAAAGAAAAAAAACACCTAATTAAAATTGTTACTTTAGCAATAAAATGTTTTTGTGCTGCGCTAATTTATATGTATTTAATATAGTCGTACAAACTCAGTTGGTGAATGCCTAAGAGGATAAACCAAATGAAAAAAAAAATATTGAAATTGAATATATCTCATTTTATTTTGGTACATGTTTTTACATTTTACAATGGATAAAATTAGTGCAAAGTAATAAACGAGTTGCTAAACTCTGGCGCACTTTCTCAAGAAATACTGTACAAATCTAAGACGAGTCGTTATATATAAGTCGAATCACTATTACGTCCTTGTTTTCTATACATGCGGGGTTCAGAAATAATACCATATGTTTTCCTAATTTTTCTATATTTCAATTAGCCATAAAGGAAATACGTTGGCATAGCAGAAGTACAGTTGATAGTTGTTATTTCCGCGATTTGATACATACAAAAATTGAAAGGAAACGAAAGCAGTCGATCAGTTAACTTGAGATCAACGACAAAGCAAATTTTACAATGCTTAAATCACAAGATTTCTTGTTAAATACTCAGTTTTGTTTTAATTAGAAATACATATTCTCTTTTGTTAATATTTATTAAAATTAATATGGAGTACGCTGATAATATACATGACAATAAATATGATATCTATATGTAAACACCAATAAGTCGATCATTCTTTTTTTAACAATAAATAAAGTTATTGTCGCTTGTGTGTAAAATGTAGAAATAGAGTATAAATATGCCGTTAAGTAAAAGAAATCAATGGTAAAAATATTTAAATACATGATGTTTCATTGTTATGCTTCTTCATGTCCATTCTTTAAAATGTTTGGAAGCAGACAGCCTTCTAAGTACAAAATATGAGTGTGGCTTATTGGAGCTTGCATCTAGCGAACTCAAAAAATGTAAAAATAATTTATACTATTTGAGTTAAAATACGTAGGATAACAAGCTAAGTAACATAAACGTTTATCAATGAAATTGATGACATATAAAAGTAAGCTTTCTTTTATCTAAATATAAAAAACGTAATAATGGAAAATTTTCCTTCATATTCAAATGAAGTTAGCATCTTATTTACATGTTCTGTTTTTTACAAATTTCATAAAACTCTGCCTTACTCAAGAAAAACGTCCGCGTTAACTGAATCTCAGACTGAGCCGCTACAAACCGATAACAAACAATATGTATACTACAACACACACTAAAACCTATAAAAAATCATTAATATTTCTATAAAATACAATATTTGGTAAATAAATAGTGTCGAAGCAGCAGATAAAATAATACATACAAATTGTGAAATAACCAATATTAAAAAGTACAGAAATAACGAGTAAGGCTTGTGTCGACATTCACAGATATGGTATGACTTAAATTATACTTTTTATATTTTAATTAAGGCTAACCTATATAGTAATTAGCTAGTAAAAGTTCAATAACAACAATCTCAAAAAAATAGGTTTTAATTCATCAAGTTAATGTTGCGGCACTGCTGTGAGCGCACGGCAACAGCGTGAGGTGTTGGTCTGTTTCACTGTATTGTAGTCATTTCGATCGTGGGTTTTTTTTCTTCTTTCTTTTAAAGAAACAGCAACACCTGCGGAAACACATTTCTCCATGTAAAACTAATACCATATCATCATCAGCATTAAATCAATATACCTCATGATCGAAAAAAAAAACCTGCGTTCAGCTGGCTTAGAAATGAACATCGACGACATTTCCCATATAATTTTACACATAAAATGACAACGATCTTCATTTCATAGCCATCGCTGACGCCGTTTTTTTCGATCACGTTGTACTAATGTCACAGCCTATACAGCCGGTCGACTGGCTGTGAAATACATAGGCTGAGCTAGTACAGGGATGCATTGGCGTAAATCACTTCAGAAATCAACCACTTTCTCAAAACAATCTGTATAATATATCAGACCCATTAAGAGCTCAAACGCACTGACGACCAGGTCGCTGCGACCAGTAATACCATTAAATCAAATGCTGGTCGCTTCGACCTGGTCGTCAGTGCGTTTGGGCTCTTATTGAATCGAAAAATGATACATCAAAAAGTCCTCTCTTCGAATTACGCCAACACATATATACAATGTACATGTGGACATGTCATGTCCAAGAATAAAAATTAGATTAAAAAACTTATGGCTAGAAATAAGAACATAAAAAAATAATTAGGTTATTTATTATAGTAAGGGTGTCCCAGAAATAAGTGCAAGTGTTTTAACTGGTAGTAGAAGTAGTAGAAAATGTCACTCTGAATCTGAATAGCATGAGACATCATATGTCAACTTTTGACATTTTCGCATATGGTTTATTTGAAATTATAACATGCGGTTAAATCGAAAATTTGACTCGAAATACCAAGTGTGTGATATCAAATTATTCATAATAAAATGCTTTTTCCAAATATGCTAATGAGCCACCCTCGTTCCATTTAAAAAAATTGAGATATGATTAATAATACGATTTGGGCATCTATTAACTGGACAGGACAAGACACTAAAAACATTAGACGATCAAACCTATTTCTCCAAGGCCCCTTGATTAAAAATTAGTGTTTTTTAACATAGCCGTGGCACTCTAGATTGAAATTTAAAATACGATTTTTTATTAGGCGAGCATGTCAAAACTTGACATATGCTATGTCATTCTATTCAGAATGTCATTTTCTATCGAATAAAGTAAAAAAATACCGAGAGTGCCATTTAAAAATCAAAAGTTGTAGTCACTTATTCTTAACTACTTTATACGTTTTGACTGAACAAGTAAAACGTTGTGTATACGGGGCGGGGCTTAATACATGTAAATCATGCTCATTATGATCTATAGATATTTGATATTATATTCTAGAGATTTGTTTGTCATAAACAGATGTAGAACATACAGATTTATATTAATTACTTACTTTATTAATTTATAGATTTTTAAAAATGTTTTTATTTATAGCCATAGATATTCAACGGAATAAAAAATAAATAGTAAAATATAAGCCAGTCTTCTGGCCAAACGTACTCAACATACTTCACATACTTGGTTTCATCCAGAAGCTCAATTTCTTGAGGTTGTGTGATGGGTGTATTGCTGTGTCCAGCCGTCGGGTCGTCCGTATTCAGTTCGCCGTTGGTTGAACTGACCACCTGAACAGAACCATGGCGATCAGCGGGGTCAAGTTACCCAAAGTGCTTTGCTTGGAAGCTTCAGGCCATGCGTTAGTTTTGTTAGTCTAGAAAATAGGCAGTGTCATTAATATATTTATTCGTCAAAATCTCTTTCCAAAATGTACCTTTGGCGCAGCGTGTCGCTCACGGTTTGGAGATATCACAACGTCGTGAGTGGTAGTCTGGAGTGATCCCACCGGCGTGCTCTGCAAATAATTCTTTTTAGGGTTCTTTGTATTTAAAAGGGAATATTTTAGCCGGTAATAAAGGATTTCTAACTACAATAGTTTCTACTTGGGGCTCTCAAAAGGGAAAGCTCTATTAAAAGTTATTTTACGAGAGTCCTGTAAGTCTCTTATCGTTTTTATCAACAAAAAGAAGAAACACACAAGTATCATATAGCGCCTGACAGACAACATTGATTCAAAAGCCCAGGAAGGGCACAGTAGTTAGAAAACAGAAGGAAAGAGAATATTTGGAGCAACCATATATATTCAATTTAATACACTTTAATTTGGCACAGTGATGTATACAGTAGGAGGGGAGAATAGCAAATTTAGAGAAAAGTGGAAACAAAGCTAAATATATGAAAATGAATGTAGCAACCATACCGCCACCTACTGTACACATAAGCAAACTAAACTGCACTGGAAAACTGTCAGGTAGAGTAACGATGATACAACAAAAAACAACCTTAAACACTAACTATACAATTATGGTTCCTAGCAAAAGAAATACCTTTTCCGATTTGGTTTTCATTTTATTTGAAGGAGGAGCCTTACGCACTTGCTGAAGTACATAGAGATTAGAAGGCTAATAAAAACGTGTCTTTTTAAAAATGTAAACAATATTTTCTCTTGGCAAAATATTAACAATCTCAAAGTTTGGTTTACTTACCATCGTCTTACCGGTCCAGTCGAATTCCCCATCGTCCACGTAACCTTTCTTTTTGAATAAATTAGTAAACAAATTCCGCAAATACTCGTAATCAGGCATTTCAAAAAAGTCTAACCTTCGAACGTATCTAAGATAAGTCGCCATTTCTTCCGGGTGATTCTCACACAGAGTGTCTATAGGGGTGGCCCTTTTCGTGTCCCCGATTTTCTGGTACCGCTCTTTGAGCGTGTCGGCCTTGAGGCCCTGCCAAGGCAACGAGCCCCTCAAAAAATACATAAACATATGTCCAAGGGCCTCCAAGTCGTCCCTTCGAGATTGCTCTTTACCTAAATGGGTATTAATAGACATATATCTAGCTGTTCCCGTTAGAGACTTGTGCTCTCTATACGGAATATGTTTATTAGTTTCCAATTCGATATATTCCTTAGCTAATCCAAAATCTGGAAAAAAAAATCAAGATTTAATCTGGCTTCGGATGTTTCTCACTTAAGCTTACCTATTATGTGGATAATTTTCTCTCGCTTTGTACTCTGCCTGCCGATGAGAAAATTTTCAGGTTTTACATCTCTGTAGATGAGATGCCGCGAATGCACGTACTCGATTCGATGCAGCTGAAAAAAGAACATTTAAAACAGATCGAAATACTATTTTAAAATTGTTATTTCCACTCACCAACTGTATTGCAATCATTAAGACAGTCTTAAGAGAAAACCTTCGTTCGCACAAGTCAAACAGATCTTCAAGGCTTGGACCGAGGAGTTCCATCACCAGCGCATTGTATTTGCCGCAAGGGCCGAAGTAATACACCTCGGGGATTCCCTCTGAAAGAAATGGAGAGGGTCAAGTGACGCGTTGCAAAAATTCAAAGCTGGTCCTTACCGTGGCTGCCAAGAAGTTTATAAAACCGATACTCCAAATGAAGTTGTGGAGCCTTCGACTTCATCGGCTCCATTTTAATGGCGACATGCTCATTGTTGTACAAATTCTTGCCCAGCCTGAGCTCGCCAAAATTGCCACAGCCGATTTTTTTGCCGACCCGGAAGTTCGGTCCCACCATTAGCACACCAGAACTCAAATTAACACTGTGTCTGGTGTTGTGGGAGTCACCAGCACCTAAAGCAAATTTTCAAAAAATTCAGACAATTTCTTTTTATCAATCAATATTTTTAATTTATCAAAAAATAACATATATAAAAATAACTAGCTTATTTCAATGCTAAATAACTTTACAAATATTCATGGATTTTCATATATAGAAGAATTGTGTCAGATTTCGGCATATTTTAGTCTAGAATCATGTTTTACTTTAAGTTAATCTGATTTTCTCACATTGTTACATTATTTATTGCCAGGAAAATTACATGATATTTGCCGTTAACCCCCCTCTCCCCTACGTGATATTTACTGAGATTCGGCTTAACCTCTTCCCCCTCCTGATCCCCTCAGGTAATTATTGGACACCCCTTGGTTTATTTAAAAAAAAATAATTGAATTTTTTCTCTAAACTTGCACTTGTAAGTCCTCCCCGGTTAGTAAAATATATAGAGAACTTATGCACATAATTTTATTAGTTAATAAGATTGATATTGTAAAGTCTAGAAGGGCATAATTTACTTATTTTTGTAAACAAACTCACCACGATGCTTTGAGTTTTTCTTCTGGTCCTTATCCATCCTTATTTAATATAGGTAGTCCTATAAAAGAAACAAAATCTTTATAAAAAATATAATCATTGTTTTGTATTATAATAGATACATTGTTTCCACTATATACCTAGGTACATAGAATTCGTAATATTTTTTAGATAACATGATATAACAATTTAAATAACTGTTTCAATCCATACTTATTTCTATAAATATTGATAAGAACGTAAGAAAAAAAAATTAACTCCAAGATTAAATATAATCTTTGATAACTAAGGATATACGAATAATACTTTTGCCTATCAGATGTATTGAGAATTTAAATGATATTTTTTTCCCTTGGTTTTCCTGATGGGTTCAAAATTTTAATGGGGCTGTATTTTGAGATTTTTCCGTAAAGTTCGTTGAAATTTTACGAGTTAAAGTCAAGGTTGTAAACGTGACGTTGAAGATATGAAGAAAAAGAGGAATTAATCTACGTCATGCCAACAATTGATAAATTTAAATGTGTTTCTTTCAGAACGTTGATTACTGTTTATTAATTGATAAGTTTTTATTATCACAATTTATAATGGTACAATGAATAATTTTTTATCCATTGTTGTGTTTCACTATGGCATATCGAACGAAAATGTAATTAAACACAAAAAATAATAAATTGTTAATACCCTTACTACAATAGTAAAGCTCACCTCCTTAGTTCAATATCCAAAATCTTATCTACATTTTTAAAGCATCCGAGTAATTCCAAACTTATTATATCTATTGCTGACTCAGCATGTTCAAGGCTTGTTGCCACCAAACTATTTTATTAAAAATTGAAGAAGAAAAAGCTTGTTCCAACTTGTATGTCATGAAACATGAGACTCTTGAGAGTGCATACAATGCATGAAACATTACTGTATTAGTTATTCTCAGACATGTCATCCAAATTGGACACAATCAATTTTTCCTATCAAAACACCAACAAATATACACATCTATAGTAGATAATAATTATAGGAGTAACAACATGACTTTAGACAGATAAAAAGTTTAATGATATTTAAGCAAATGTATCTGGTCTAGAATTTCTAGATTCATACATTTTATATAAATATTTTTTCTGTTAAATCAATCTCCCAATTAAATTTGATAAATAAAAGATAATAAACGAGTTAATACAATTAAGATAAAAGAAAACAAATACAATTATCAGCCTACAAAAACTGCGTTAACGGTAAAAAGATCAAGATGAGTTCTGAGACAAAAAGTTAATAAAACATAAAATTAAATCACTCAAATAAATATTATACACTTTCCAAAAAAGAAAAACCGTTCTGTTTCACTGTTACATATTTTATACCTCATATTTATTGGTTATGATTGTCGTCATATGAAAGAATGTCTATATAATTTTAAGGCTTAAATTGTAAAATACAGACTTACCCTGCTGTTCCTGAAAAATGCTATAAGCATTGGACAGTCTGATAAAAACAAAACATATACAAGTTCTTTGCAGCTGTGTTTATCATCAATACTAACTTTTTGGATAGGTATATCACATTTTGTACTATCACAGTTATTTCACGAATATCAGAAACTTATAATTGTTTATGACACTGAATGGTTGCCGCACGAGTACGCAAAATGTTCCAAACAAGAAAAGGGTACATTAATGGGAACTTGTCTTAGGTTGATATCGTTTCTTCAAGTGTCATTTCAATTCCATATTCTGTGATTAGATTGCGAAAACGGCTGAACGCCATTAGAGAGTAAGGCCGGGCAACATGGTTCCTTGCACTATTATCCATCAAATTTTACCATAAAATGAGTTAAACCGAAAACAGCTAATTCAAAAGGCGTTTTACTACACAAATCTAGCCTAAAAACGATATTCTACGCTAAGAATACACCATATTCATACACTATTCTTCGTAGATAATGTGCCGTACAATTGACTTTTAGGTCAAATTAGGTTTGCGCATGGGCGAAATCAGGTTGACCCTCTAGATGTCACTTATAAAATAAAAGTTCAAATTTTTATAAATATCTCCACATATTCTAACATTTTCATTGTTAATTTTAGCTAATTATCAATTATGATTAGCTAGAGATCGCAACTTTTTCTAACTGTGTCCGAGCGAAAGTATAAAATCTGATATATTACCAAAAATAAGGTGTGGTGAATCATATGTTGCGTTGCCATGGTAACGACAACCACAATAGATATAAATTTTTCCCGCACTATCCAATATTACACGAAAATACATTTCTGCCAATTAAAAACCACTTTAATTCAAAATTATCATAAACGAAATATTATATATCACATTTTGAAAAAAGAAATATTGTTATTGTATAGCTGTTTATCTGTACTATCCAAAAACCATAATTATTTAAGTATTACTTTCTCTCTTTATAGAGTGAAACGGTACGCAACCCAATATACACTTTTAAGATTTAAAAGAAAAGATCCAGTTAAATAAATTTGATATATCAAGTGATTATATCAATACATCAATTTTACATTATATTCTACATTGAAAAAAAAATACATTTTATTGACACAAATATTTTAAGTTTTATTTTTGTCTTATAAGTAAAAACAAAAACTCTCATTAGATGGGTACAGCCCTGGATCAATGACAAGGACAAAACCATAGGACAAAACCATAGGACAAAACCGTGTAGTTCTGTCTGGTCTGTCTGGTTCTGTGTTCTGTGTTATGGTTCTGTGGAACTGTCATTAATATTTTTTGGAAAAATAAAGATTATTTAAATCATTAATTATATTAGTCATAAATTGTTTGAGAAATGACAAAGGCAATTAGGGGCTGTGCCCAATTACCATTTCCAAAATTCACTCTCTACCCACTCCGTTGAACAGCAGAGGGAAAGAAGAGATTTCCTTTCACCCAGGGAAAAATAGTTCTTTCTTTGCGATCAAGCCTTTAGATGACGTAGGTAGATTCCACGTCGGCTTAGATCGTAAATCAGCGTAGCAAAGTTAAAGTAAAGTTAATATCCGGAAAAACAGGTGAAAAATAATAGAAAAAAAACATTTTATAGTAAATTGGGTGTGTGGCCTCCCTTAAAATGAAAGGATAATGTTTACACATTAGCAGAAAGATGAATATAACCGATTTGTTAAGTTCTACTACTGAACAAAATCATAACAATATGGATAACATGGACGTTTCAATGAATTACGATAACTCTGAACTTTTGGTTAGTATATATTTAATTATTGGCTCTTTAATATTTTCTACATTTCTCTTGTCCCCAAGTTGCAACTGTTTATTAGAAATTCTGCTCTGATGTTATACAAATTTAATATGTGTATGTTTTGGTCCCTTATCTTTGTTAAATATCCTTTCAAAAGGGATATAAAAATCGGTATACTTTAAATAAGAACAAGCCAAGTACTATAAATAACGGATCTATAATAAATACATGAAACTATTTACATATTTTCATCATATGGAAGCACATGCATCATGTTCTTTGGGACTACCATATGTCTTCTCCCATACAAGTTTTAGCATTTTATTGCAGAACTTATATCAAATATTCATTTATAGAGTTCAGAGTTTTTTGACTCGGTTCTTTGTATGGAAAACAATTTAATGGATTTAATGGATGATACAGGATTTCTATCAAATTTCGAAGATGAAGTTAATATGTCTAGTGATGCTAGCCATAGTGATGAAGTTTTATCACCAGAAAGTTACTATTCAGAAAGCGATAAAAACAGTACCTATAGCACAGAGAATACTGATGATTCGTAAGCATTTTTATCTTTGTGTAAATCCAAATAATGACTAAATAAAATAATTTAGGACTTCAGTGCTTAATGGGATAGATGGACTTGATGATACCATTTTGTTGTCTATTTGTAATCCAGTGACAAGTTCAAATGATGCCAAACAAATGCCAGTGGTAGCCACTCCTGTTCCTGTTGCCACAGCTCCTCCCCAAAAACCCACTAAAATTTTAATCCAGAATCCCTCCAACAAGAAATTTATTGCAAAACCCATTTTAAATGCAAGTAAGAGGGTTAATACAGTATTTTTTCTATGATTATTCAACAACTTTCTTACATTGTAGCCCATTTAAAGAAAGCACCCTCCAAAACAAAAACGCAAATACTAAAAGTGCATCAGGTTTCAAATAACGGCCGTCAGATACTTTTGCCTTTAAGTGTAAAAAGTATAAAAATTCTGAATGCTTCAACTGATGTTGCTACACTGGCCAGCACCATAAAACAACGCAGAATTGAGTCTGTTGATTCAGTTCTTTCAGATGAAGGTAACAATAGAGAGATATACATATTTTGGAGTTTTAAGTTGATTTTTTTCAAGATGACACCAACTTTGTGTCTTCAACAAATAATCAATATCCTGCTTTGAATTTGACCAATGAAGAGAAAAGATTACTTTCCAAAGAAGGTATACAACTCCCAAGTCATCATCCCTTAACTAAGAATGAAGAAAGAGAACTTAAAAGAATCAGGAGGAAAATACGGAACAAAATTTCTGCTCAGGATTCAAGAAAACGAAAAAAGGAATATGTTGATGGTTTAGAGGAAAGGTAAGGCAGCTGGTCTGTCAGCCTTTTAATTATGTAACTGTTTTAAGAATATTCAAAGTTACATATTTATTATCATTATTTAATTATTAAATATTTTTTTAGAGTTAAGAGAGGCTCAGAAGAAAATAAGAACTTATTGCAGAGAGTGAAAGAATTACAGAGGGAAAATAAAACCCTTATCGCCCACGTGAACAGACTTCAAGCTCTAATCTGCAAATCTACTACATCCAAGGCGACCCCATCCACTTGCCTGATGGTCGTTTTGCTATCGGCATTACTGGTGTCCATACCAAACATGCGTTTGTTCGAAAACAAGCAAATGCCTGTCGAAAACGAACAGGTCAGTATTCGGAGGTCTTTGCTCAGCAGCCCCCAAACAACCGAAGACGATTTGAACATGGAGGAGTTCTTGGTATTCAAAGATGAAGAACTTGGCGATCTAGAAAACAAGTTCGCCGAAGACGCTGTCGATATTGAAAACTCCACAGACAAGGAGTTCGCTAAGATGCTGGACATTGGCAAAAAATACGAAAATTTCGTCATGGAGAACAACAGTTCTGATAAGAGTATTTTCGGAAAATTATTCGAAACAATGAAAAATGTCTTGGAAAATAAGTCGGAATTTCTGGAGAAAAAGCCGCCAGATTTTGGGGGATCTTACAATAACAAAGGATTCATTGAGCCAGATATAGACGAATATAAAGCGGCAGATGATGGGCCTCCGTTAAAAAGGGCCAAATACGTTCATGATTATCCCAATATAAAAAGCGAGTCAGTGGTGTCCAGCACCACAATTCAAATTTCAAAAGATAAATAGTCGTAAATTATATCATTTTAAATCTATAAAAGTTCTTTGTTATCTTTTTGCAAGTTTATGTAAATCGTTCCTGTTATATTTTTCTATTTATGTTAAGTATATTTGTTGCATTCCAAATAAAATATAAGACCACTTATAGTTAGAAACCCCAGTAGAATGGTAACATTCTTTGGTGATTTTTACTATAGAGCCTTTTATGCTGATTGCACCATTTTACTATTTCTTTATTAGAGACTGTTAGATTTTGACATATTTAAGTATTCATTTTAATCAATTGTTCATATAACAGAATTTATTTATATAAGATATTGTAGATAAATATGTATGTACACCCTCATAGAATTGAGTTGTATTTGTAACGTATGAAACTAATAAATTTAATAACACATTCGCTTATTTAAAGTTGCGTTAACGTATAACTTTAGAAACTGAAAGAATTTCAGACTTCCAGTGTTTTTATTTATTTTACTTACACAACATTTCGGTCAGAAGTATCCCTTGCTGTTATAAAATGTGAACTCTTGATAAAGGTCGATGATACTTATGATCGAAACGCTGTATAAGCATAAAAAATAAAGAAAATGGAAGTCCGAAATTCTTTTAATTTTAATACTGAATTTAGACTACTCGCTAACATGCAATTTTTAGGCGACCGATTGTTTTATTGCATGTGACCCCGATCCATCAAAATACATTGGTTACAAATCTGCAACTAAATAATCAGCCGATTAAAAATTGCCTGTCAGTGTATAGCGTTACACACTGGATTTTTTGCCTGCCGTTTTATCATTATAGCATTGTGCTTAGTGAAGTTGAATAAAAAAACATGGAATTTTACTACAAAATTGTATTTATGGGTTAAATTATAGGGTTAATTTTTATTTGTAAACACGCGAAGCTAATTATGAAAATAGTTTCCTTTGGTAATCATCAGATATCTCTAAACAATTTTGTAAAGTTACACCAGGTTACACTATCACATCGCCTTTTAAAAATCTATACGGGCTAGTACCATATGATCGAATAAAAACGGCGTCAGCGTAGGGTTCCCAACCGTCCCGGTTTAGCCGGGATTAACCAGGAATCAGAAAGTTTGTCCCGGCGAAAGTTTTGCCTTGGCCGGGATCTTAAAAAATTAAAAAGTGTGTACTACACACATAATATATTTTAGTTTCTAATATTTAATATTTTGTTTCAATTATTTAAAATCTTAAAAATAATTGTCCCGGAATCGCCGGTGCTCAAGTTGGGAACCCTACGTCAGCGATGGCTATGAAATGACAATCATATAAATTTACATACAAAATGACAGCGATCTTCATTTCATAACCATCGCTGACGCAGTTTTTATTCGATCTATGGAGGCTAGCCTCCATAATTCGATCATACGGTATAATTGGACCCCAGAAACCCGCACGAGATTTTTTCCAAAAAAATGAAGTTGAAAATTTTCTACTTTTCCCGAAAATCTTTAAAAACTTTTGAGTGCCACTGTTCATTCTCCGGAAATTTGTAATGTTACTAATGTTACAATACAATGGAGAATATAATGTTATTTTTGGCCAGATCTACCACCCCTTAAAATACTTGCACTTATTTTTGTGACACCCTGTATATTAGATCTTTAACATGCGAATATTAAAGATGTTATAATATATCCATTTTTTAGTAAACTTTTTTATACTATACGGCCTACAGTAGTAAAACGGACCGTTTTTTCGTCTACGCTCAAGATTTTACTTGATACGTTTTGATTGAACCGATAAACCGTTATGTAGACGGGGCTTAAGACGCGTGGTTGAATAAAAGCAACTACTGAAACAATTTGTGGCTTTATTAGAACTTGAGTGATTAAAGATTACCACTAAAATATAAAAGAAAATTGACTCTCACATTCAAATAATATACCGTATGATCGAATAAAAACGGCCTCAGCGATGGCTATGAAATGAAGATCGCTGTCATTTTATATGTAAATTTATATGGGAAATGTCATCGATTGTCATTTCATAGCCATCGCTGACGCCGGTTTTATTCGATCATACGGTACTTCTTTCTCGGTATAACACATGATATAACAATTTAAATTACAAAATATTAGAATCACATTTTTTTTGAATAATTATGAAATGGTATTTATTAAGTACAAATAAAAAAAGTATCTCACTCGAGTCGCATTTTTTTCAATCTTTGACTAGTATTTTTATTTAACCATATAAATGTATGTAGTACGGCAAAAGCTGGGGTTTGATAGAAAAAATAATCTCAAAAGTATCGTTGGTTTTCTCATGTGAGATACTTTACGGGAACAATACTACAACAGAAAAAACATGCTTTTACTTCAAAGAAAGAAACTCTGTAAGACTGAAATATATTGCAAATATTTAAACTTGAGATCGAATAATTCAGGTAAGCAATCCATATATTTAAAAAAAAAACTAATACTAATCTATTCTATGTAAGACAAATAAAAATATAAAAATTGCAAGAATTGAAACTTTTTATAACAATGAGAAATTGTTAAATACAGCCTTTTGAAAGTGAAAGTGAGGCTTACATTATACGTTAATTACATCTAACATCACATCTGACTTATATTAATATCCACAACAATTCTTATGTGGAGTATTTGAAAGTAAAACAAAGATAATGGGCGTTTTGAGCAGCAATTTTGCATATTCAAAGAAATAATCTGGAGGAAGCGGGTGGGCTAAAATATTAGCAAAAGCAAAACGTCGGGTTAATTGAAAAATAAACGAGGAATGGGGCAAGGGGAGGAAAGTACTGAAAATACATTTTGAACTAAACCAAAATTCAGTCTTTCTCTAACCGAAAAAAACCTTAAAAAAATTCTTAAAACAAACAGAAAATGTAGACGGCACATAACAATAACATAGTCGCCTAAGGAGCACATGTATTTTTTTATTTAATCACGACACAAAACAAATATGAGATGATCTCAACGTTAACACCAAACTACTTTCTGAGAGATTTAGACGGTTTACTTTCTTTTTCATCTCCTTTCGTAAGAGACTTGTCCTTTTGTTTGGCATCGGTTTTAGCCCTAGAAACGTCGCTGCTCTGCTGACCAGTGTCCGCCTTATCCTTGTCTTTCTGTTGCGCTTTGCAGGACAACTTCTTATCCTTATATTCGATTCTCTGTAAATCTTTGTTTTTTTCGGCGTCGCCAGCACTTTTCGCTAGAGCTAACGCCTTATCACATTCGACTTTTTTTGCTGGTTCAACTTTCTTTGAACTTTCGTCAGTCGCATTCAATATAGAATTAGTTTTAATTTCGGCGGATCTAGTATCACATTTTTGATTTTTCGCTGTTTGTGCTTTATCTACTTTTGTCTTGGGTTCGTTACTATCGCTAGAGGGTCCCTGATTTTTATCGGGAATACGGTCTGCTTGATCTTTTACAGCCGGTGGTTCCTGACTTTTACTTTTTACCTCTTGACCGTTTGTTGGAGAGTCTTTCTCTTCGGCTATTCTGGGCAGAATTTCTCCTGGTCCAGAGAGTGTTAAGGACAGACGATTTTCTGACGTCGAAGCTGAGAAGACAAAAACCAAATCTTAAGCAAACAGTATAGGTATAATCTTTATAATTTAAAAAACGTGCAATTAGAAACCAGATCTTCTTGAAAACACAAACCAAAAACTAGATCTGTATTAAGAAAATAACAAGTTTAAATAAGAAACTCGATTAAAAGAAAAAAGTGCAAAGTAGCAAAAATAAAGTCTGTATATAAAAAAAGTTACCTGAGTCACAAGACTGCGAGCTGTCGACTTCAGACTCTTTGTCCTTGTCCAGCGGAGCGCTAGGCCTCCATACCGAAGGCGTGATCACAGTTCTAGCCTGACTCTTGACCGCTGGCGTGGCCGTCCCGGATGAACACAACGGAGATATGGAACACTTGGTTTCGGCACTCCGAGGGTGCAGCCGGTCGGGGGACAGGGCTCTCCTGAGCAGAGGCGAACCTGGCTCGCCTCCCTTGGGCCTGGCGAAGCCTTTCTTCGACTGCGAGGACACAGTAATGGGCTGCCGTGCCCGCGCTGGGGCTGTAGGACTGTGTGGTATTGGAACTACCAGGCTGGTGGCCTATAGGGAAGGCCAGAGGGCTCGGGGACCTGGTTGGCGATGCGGGGAGCGGAGATGGGGAGGGGGTGCGCGCCAACGGGGAAAGAGGTATGTGGCCGACGGATTTCCTTCGATTGGGAACGACTGCCGAAGGACAGGAGGGCCCGCTAGCGTGGAGGGCTTTGGGACAACCTGTAGAATGAAGTTTATGTTTTAAGCCGTGTAAAGTGGAGGGGCGCTGGTAGTGCTGTTTACTGTTTCTTCCGTTGGGAGCGGTGGTGGGTGAGGGGGTGCCCGAGGCTGTCGTAACTGGAGAGGAGTTAGTGGAATGCTGGCCGAAAGAGTCCGACGGTGAAAGGCTGGTCCTGTTCGCGCCCACAGGTCGTATGTTGGTCGAGGCGAAGTTACTCTCGCTACGAGGAAATGACTGGAAGCTCCTGCTCGGTGTCACGCTTACAGGAGACTGAATATTAGCCGCGATCTAAAGAAACCTCTTTAAAAGACTGCCAAAACGAAACAAAGTCTTACCTGTTGCATTTCCACGCTGGCTCTCTTCGAACTGATCCTCCGGAACAACGAAGTCTTTCTCCGCTTGTCGCTGTCCCTTTTCTGTTTCTTCTGCCTGTTCAAGCTCCTCTTGGCCAATTTACTCTGCCCAGGCTCCCTTTTTCTGCCTCCGGTCTTGATAGACGTTTGTTCTAAAGGTGTGGCGCGCAAACTGACGTGCTCGGCGCCACCCAACAGTAGCTGCAATACCTGAGTGTGGTACAGACCCTGCACGGCTTCTCCGTTGATGTGAGTGATCAAATCGGCGGGCCTTAGTCCCGCTTCGAACGCTGGACTTCCTTCGTCTACCGCCTGCAAAAAAAAAATTAGACGTTATACCGTTTTAGACGGCGATTAATTAATTGTCCATGTAACTCACCATTACTAAATGATGCATGGTGTAGATATCTGTATCTCCATAATACACTCTGATGGTGTGCACAGTAAATCCAAACCCTTTCGGTCCTCTCCTGATGATTATAGGCGGTTTCAAGCTGGTAACCAAGGGAGATAACTCACGACAGGGCGAGGTGTCTCTTGAGCTGGCTGTGCTGGAACCGCCGCCGCCACTGGGCGAATGAATGTTGCAGGGCGGTGCTTGGAAATCGTCTAATGGATACCATAAGGAAATTGATAATGCCTAAATAAACAGGTCCAGTTCTTACCTGAAGGTATCATTAATGATAACCCTGAAGCGGAGGCGCTCTTCACCACGGACCTGGACTTGTGCTTGGACGGCTGAGGCGTCGGCAACTGGACTCTTCCCAAGGGAGACAATTCCCGGGTCTCTGAGGAAGATGTTCCTGCTTCCAGGCTGCTCGCCTCGTCTTCGACCGATATGGAGAATTTCGGCAGGATGTCTCGCCCGTGAGCCACTTTTCTGCGTCGCTGAATTTGCGGTGACACATCATCACTGTCGGTTTGTGAAGATTCAGGCGTGGTAATGGCGCACAGAGAAAGGTCCAGTGATATCTAAAACCCTCGATTAAAGACAATCTGAAAAGTTATCATTATTTATTAGGCTTACCTTTCTCGAATCGGCTGATTTTTGCGATACTTTTAAATCTTTTTCCGGCGCTGGTAGAGCGAGGGTAATCGAAGCCCTAGGTCTAATCTTGGTAGTTTCCACCACCGGCAATTCGTTGCTCGCCAACGAACTGGTTTTTGCGCCGGCATCGGAACTAAGACTCAGTTTCGAACCGTGAGTCCTTCTGTACTGCGGGGAACAAGAAGAGAATAACCCAAACACAGGAGAATCGTCTGTATCGTCAGTGTCGTCTTCCACCTCATGATTATACCTATCCATGCGACCTAAAACAGATAAAATCAAAATAAATTATATAAATGCTATGTTAGACTTACTGTCAAAGTAACTCGTGTCTTCATCATGTTCAAGCTGAGGCACAAACTCAGCTTTTTGTCTCAACAGTGAGTTCCAATCCAATCCCTGGAAGTAGATATGCTCCTTCACTTCCTGTGCCCCTCCAGTACCAAGTCTATCTCTAGGGGAATGCTGTAAAAGAACTGTTATAAGATCCTTTGCCTCCTCCTGTATTGACCAATCTTCATTTTCAGGCCATTCAATGTCATCTGAAATAAAAATATACTTCAAAATTCAAATACTTTACACTGCAATGGAGATTGTACCTTGAACCGTATGAGCAAATAGTTCTTCAGGAGTGTCCCCAAAAAACGGCACACAGCCAATTAAAAATTCGTACAGGATAATACCCATGGACCACCAATCTACAGGTTTTCCATAGCCTTGTCTTAAAATCACCTCTGGGGCAATATACTCGGGCGTACCAAAGACATGCTTGTCTGAGAACTGATGCGCTTCAGTATCTATGTATCCTTCATAAAGATTTGTTGCCACTAAAAAAAGTCAAATATTAAAATTTTAGCACAAAAGTATAACTGGAAACTTACACGACATAAGGCCCATTTTACTGAGACCAAAATCTGTAAGTTTTATGTGTCCCAAGGCAGTGATAAGGAGGCTGGAAGAAAAAGAAAACTTTTAAAAAATATTAAACCAATTTCAGAATACATACTTGTCAGGCTTAAGATCTCTGTGGACAATTCCATAGGAATGCAGATATTCAACAGCCAGAACAGTTTCTGCAAAGTAAAATCTTGCCATATCTGGTGGCAAAGGACCAATATTTTTTAATAAGCTGGCACAATCTCCTCCCTCGACATATTCCATAACCAAGCATAAATGTTTCTTGGTTTCAAAGCTACAGTACATGCTGACCACAAAAGGATTATCAGCAAAACTAAGAATATCCCTTTCAGCAAACACCTGTTCGACTTGATTCCTCAACATAAGATTATTCTTATTTATTTTCTTCATTGCAAACCTTTGTCTTGTTTGTTTGTGCTTAACTAAGTACACGGCCCCATAAGCACCATTAGAAATAAGTTTGACCACTTCAAAGTCTTGTTCGTTTGGATTATTTAGATTTTTCTTTGTGGGAGTGGATGTTAAGCAAAGAGAAGATCTTGAGGAATTATTAGACCAAGTGCAATCTTTTAGTTCTTGCTGAAGTTCAGCTATTGGGTCGCGGTTTAAACCCAACTTCTGAATAATGTATTGAGGTATGTCAGCTTTTATGCCTTGTACACCTTTCACTTGACCCTCAGCTGCTTCAAGAAAGTGATAAAATTCTTCTGGATCAAACTCCAGACATTCCAAAAGTCTAGCTGGGCGAGATATTATTAAAAGAAGTTTTTTAATAAAGCCTGTCACCATATTAGCAGCTTCTTCAGATTTCTCTTTCGTCTGAAATTATTTATTTTTAATTAGAAAAAAAACTTATATATATACAGGGTCCGGCCATAGTGCGTCGGGCATCTGTAACTCCTAGAATAAAAAACTTAAGAATTTTGTTTAAGTGCAAATTTAAAGTATGTTTTAGGATGTATTCCAAGAAAATATTTTAACTTCTATATGGTGGCTCAAAAAAGTATGAGTGGATCGGGATAATTTTTTTTAAATGGAACACCCTGTATATTATTGCATTTTTGGCTTCCTTTCAGATCACTTTACATAATCCTACGATATGAGTAAATACATTTCGATAGTTTCAGAGATATTAATAAATAAATAAAAAATTAATATTTTTCAGCCTTTCTTAAAAAAATTATTAAAAATACAAGAACGGTTCTGAAATCAAAACTATATTAGACATTTATTTTAGATGGTCTGTACTTACTTTACTATAAATATGGTAATCGAAATATCATACAGGATGTTCAAAATTCTACGGCAAACTTTCTAAAATATAAAATAATTTTTCTTCGTTTTTTTAAATAGAACACCCCGTATATTATTTTTTAAATAGTTGGAGAATTAAAAAATGAACATTTTTTGTATTTAGAGTATTTCAAACTTTTTAACGGTTTAGCAGATATTCGCGGTTTTATATTTCATATGGCATTTTCCACAGTAAGTTTTTATCAAAGCCACCCAATGATTTTTCTCTGGTATTTTACCGTTGAAAGAGCCATATGAAATAATACTGCGTGTATCTGCGAAACCATTAAAAATTTTGAAATACTTTAAATACAAAAAATGTTAATTTTTTAATTCTCCATCTAATAAAATAATAATATACAGGGTGTTCCATTTAAAAAAACAAAGAAAAATTATTTTATATTTTAGAAAGTTTGGCGTAGAATTTTAAACATGCTGTATAAGTTAAGATTACGATATTTATACCAAAGTTAAGTATAGACCATCTAAAGTAAATACCTGATATAGTTTTGATTTCAGCACAGTTCTTGTATTTGTAATATGTGTTTTGAATGAAGCTTGAAAAATATAATTTTTTTATTTATTTATTAATATCTCTGAAACTATATAAATATATTTATTCATATCTTAGGATTATGTAAAGTGATCTGAAAGGAAGCCAAAAATGCAATAATATACAGGGTGTTCCATTTAAAAAAAATCATCTCGATCCACTCACACTTTTATGAGCCACCCTATAGATGTTAAAATATTTTCCTGAAATACATCCTTGTACATACTTTAGGTTTACGCTTAAACAAAATTTCCAAGTTTTTTATTCTAGGAGCTACAGATGCCCGACGCACTATTGCCGGACCCTGTATATATATGTAACTTACTTCTGTTAGTAATCTTTCCAAAGTTTCTGACATTTCATAAAAATACCGACTGGTAATCAGGCGATGTTGGGACTTATGCAAGCAATCTCTAGCCATTTCAAGCACTTGATGGTGGACAAATCTCACTATAGGCAAATAATCACAATCTTCTCCGAAATCAAATACCTTATTTTCTTCAATAAAGTTTGTTAATCTCTCTTCCATTTGCTGGGTTGCTTTTGGAAACCGTTCTTTATACAAAACATTCATCATACAAATTTCGTTGTCTATTACTGGTGATCTGCTGGGACTACTACAAACACAATCTTATTAGTAATAAGGGTAATATTATTTAAGAAAACGTCAAAATACCTGAGACTTCTTGATCTAGGTCTATGCAAAGGTGATTTGTGAGTAATAGAAGTGTCATCATAACTGCCTGGTAAAGAAGGATTACTCTCATTGCTAGAAAAATGATGGGTTAACATTCTGATGTCGTCTGAAGTAGGGATATGTGGTAACTGATGAAGCCTTTCTTGACTAGAACACTTTGACTACAAAATATGTCACATATTTGGTGTGTCTAAACTATTTAATATTTTCAAAAATCCACTTACTGACATGGTTGAACTTCCTGGAGTGGTTCCATAGCCAGAAGATGGCAAAGAAGCAACAGACCATCTTCTACCATCGCCTCGGTACCCAGCAACGATCCTATAAATTCTAAGTAAAAACTACATTCTTTGTATTTAGTCAAGCACTTACCTCTTGATCGGAGCAAATGAAAAATTGATAAAACTTTGTTGAGTTCTTGGACTATCTATCGGACTTCCACATATTGGCGAATGAGATCTTGGTAAAATGGGCGACGTATTAGCAATAAGACTCAGCCGATGGATGCGACTGTTTCGCCGGCTGGTATTAATATCTTTCTGTTAACAAAATAGAAAAACATCCATACAAAGGATATTCGTCCCGGTTTTTTCTTCACAAGAGAAAAAAACTTACCATACTTACAGAGAGGGAAGGTGCAGACTTTCCAAGAGTAGAATTCCGGAATTTGACCAAGTTTGAAGATACATTTTGCAAATCTACGAAAACATTTAAATTGATGACTTTCTTACAGGTTCTCTTTAAGCCCCGTCTCCACATAACGTTCTACTCGTATAATTTTTTGTGGGTATGTAAATTATAAGGTTGCCATTGGTGGATACTTTAATTTGAATCTGTTTGACAATACTGTACCAAAAAATGTATTTATGGATTTGATACATAGTTATAATTTTGAACAGTGTATATTTGAGGCCACTAGAGTAACCAATCTCTCTGCGACCTCTGATAGACAACATATTCTAAAATAACAATTTTAATAGTTATGTGTTGAATATAGCTTTATCAGACCATGAAGCACACATTCTGATGGTTAATGATATAAAGACTAATAAAGAAATATAAGTAACTCCTAAATCAAGATGTTGGATTACAAGAGGAATAAAGACACAAGCCTGTCTACTTAAAAAAAAAGTACACGGCCCGCGTCTTATACTTTAAAAAACTTACAGGACAAGTTCGCATTCGATATTACAATAAGTATTGTTATATTAAAAAACGTTATTAAAGAAGCAAAAATAATGTCGAATCGAAATCATATTTACAAATTTGTAAATAAAACCAGAGCAACTTGGCAAATAGTTAATAATATTGTTAATAATAATAATGTGAGTAGTAACATATATATTTGACAGTTTTTCAGACAAATATGATAGCCCAACAAACAGGTATTTTGTCAATTTGTGTCCCGATGTTGATGTTCATGTTGAAAATCTGTTACATAACAATAAACTATCACCACAGCTATCACAATCATTTTTCTTAATCTCTACTAATAAACAGGAAGTATTTACTATTCAAAATTTAAAAAACAAAAAATGTGTTGGTGAGTTTGGTGACGATGAAATACCTATATCGGTTTTAAAAAAGTGGCAGATATTGTTTCAGAACCTATGGCGCACATTATTATTAATGCGTGTTTTGATTCCGGGGGTTTTTCCGACTGAATTGAAAAACGCTTCAGACCGATTTTTAAAAGAGGTGAAAAAGAAGAAATGAAAAACTATAGACCCATCTCTCTATTAATACCGGCTGCGCCGCTCCGCGCCACGCCGCGCAAAACATTTTTTTAACATGTACTTTTGTGCGCGCTTAAAATAATCTAAAATAATACACTTCAAAAGTACATGTTAAAAAAATGTTTTGCGCGGCGGAGCCGGTGTAAACGCACCTCTAGAAGGGTTTGAATATGTTCACATAAATAAATTTTTTAGAGAGGAATGCAGTATTATCTGATCAGCAGTATGGTTTCAGGAAGGGAATGTCGACAATTCAGGGTTTGTATAAAGCACTCTCTTTTGCCGTTGACTCGTTTAACAATAAGACATTTGTAATGTGCCTGGAACTTTCCAGGACTTTCAACAGTGTGGATCAGAATATTTTGATGAATATTATGTTGGATGGGTATGGTATTCGAGGAAGGGCTTTAGAACTGATTAACTCATACTTGTGTGGGCGAACACAGAAGGTTATTGATTTTGATTTGAATGGCAGAAAAATAACTTCTAACAAGGTAGTTATTAGAAATGGGGTACCACAAGGTTCAATTATTCTGTCTTGGCAAACTGGAATTTATTTGACACCGTAAATGATACTAGACACAGATTACAACTGGTTTCAGATAGATATAATTTTAGTTATCTTCAAAAAATCTAGATTTCTATCTAATAAAAATATTCAATTAGCTTCCGGAAAAGGTTACCGTGTCTGTGTCTATGCCTAAAAACAAAGTTAAAAAATTCTTCAAGATCTTTTTATGCAAAGGTTTTATATCCTAATTATATATTATTGTAAAAACAACCATATCCGTATGTTTTAATTTTATTTTGTATCATGTTTTATTTCTATTTTATATTGTTTGATCTAAATTGGTTACCATTATTATCAATATTATTTTCATAATTTATATTTAATTTTACTATTATTATTGTTAATAATGTTAATATTCTTTCGTTGAAAAATGCAGTTATTTTTCTTTATAATTTTTACTGACATTGTTTCCATGCCCTTTTTTGTTTTTTTATTGTACAATAACGAAATAAAAAATAAAGCATTATCTATCTATCTACGTCAGGTAAGATGGATTAAAAACTAGCATATATACTGCAAGTTTTATCTAAGTATCTATATTTCATTTGAAAACAGGTTTGCATATTGAGTTATATTCTTTTCAGTGTAGGCTTGTAGGTTAAACGACAGTTCTGTTGTACAAACCCAATGTTTTAGTTGAACAATTTGACTGGACAGGTAAACGTTATGTGTAGATGGTGCTTTAGTTTAGAATTTCTGTAGCATTATTTTTCAAAACAAGGAATAATAAAAAATGACAATTTATTTTTTTGGGCGTTTAAAAAGAACATTACTGTAATTTTATTTACTTAGATCATAAATAAATCAAAAATTAATTCATCATAGAAGTGAGTCATTAAATAAAGATGTAAATCAATAACAGGATGTAAATAAACACAATAGTATATTCCTTGTATGTCGATTTGGTCAGATTTGGTAGATATATGATTTTATTAGGAGGTGAAGGTAATTACTAATGATTTCTTAAAGACACTGAGTATTGTTAATAGCGCTTACCTGAAGGTGGTCGTTTTTGAATACATCCAGATTCTGGGGCAGATAATGGTATAACGTTACCCCTTTGTTTTTGTTCAATGTAGGCTTTTGGTTCTTCAAACACTAACACTCTCGCTGAATTTGAACGTGCCCGTGATTTCGCCCCGTTATTGTCAGTGTTGTCCTCCATCTATCACCACCCGTATGAGCAGGTCAGTCTTCCGAACATTTACCTCGACCCAACCACCACACTGTATTCCTCGTAATTTAAATCTCTCAGAGTTCCAGAACGCGCGTATTTCGGGGCCATTATTACCAAATAATTTTGATATCGAAATCCCACATTAACTTAACATTTTGCAACGTAGGACTACTAAAATAAAGACATTTTAAGACCGAAAACAGCTGCGGGCCTTGCGTGCGCACTACCTCCTACTGTATTTGAATCATATTTGAATACTCGTTTTGCTAACAATAAATCATCATTTTCTTGTTCTAATAATCGCTACAAATTTCCACTAGAAAGCTTCGAGATTAAATGACAAATATTAACAGATGTACCGGAAAGAAACTTACTTTAAATTGCCTTTTGGCTTTATTATTGATCCATAAAGGCTTTGAATAATATGTTGTTTTTTATTTACTTTCGGATATGATGATTGACAAAAGTGCCAACTTCGTAGCATGTCAATGTCAAAAGTGGTCAAAAGTGACATTTATATATGATGAAAGATTGATTGGTTTAGTAGTATTGACAGCACCACAGACAGTGTTTACTGCAGCTGTAACTTAATGTTGTAGTCTGTGGTTTACCGAATTAGAATGCTAGTTTGCAAGTACAATACGTGCGTAATAACATAAAAATTCAGAATTCGTGAAAACAATGAATGCTATCAATAAATTTCTAATTTAAGACATCGTTATTGAAACGGGATTGTGATTTTAGTGCTGCAAGAATGCCTAATATATTGTGTTTATCTTTAAATTATTGTGACAGATAGAGATATATTTTGTGGATCATCGTATTTTGACATATTTTTATATTTAAAATACAACATGCCCAGTTTAATCGGAGTTTCCGAATTTGTTGATGAAACCAGAGATGATTATAATTCGCCAATTACTTCAACATTTGTTTCGCGAATGCAACAATGTAGAAACACAATTACAACATTAGAAGAGGTAGGTACTAATATATACAAGTACAAACAAGCAATATAGGCTAGTTTCGATAGAAAAATAAATTTTATTTGCAAAATAAGTTATGTATTCTGCTTTGGCTTACATTCAAATGAGCTGTTTACATATTCTGTGCACTTATTTTTAGATTAGCTCTACCAGTATAATCTAAAAATTCTACTAGGTACAGTTTTTTAGTACAGGACATTTGTTGATTGTTTAGATTTAATTTATCTGACTTCCCTACGTTACATCTAACGCAATATCCGGTATTATTTAAATTACTTTATAGACCCATTTCATTTTTTAAATGTATATATTTGTTTATTTTGGATCCTATTTTTGTACTAGTTGCATGTGTTTATGTAACTTTTTTGTATATTAATAAATATTTATTTACCTTTGGGATATTTTTCTTTTAAATGGGGATATGAGAAGGAAGAATATGAATTTATATGTATTTTATTTATTTATTAGTATTGTTTGAATTGTCTATAACTAATTTTTGTAGACTCTCGATTATGACAGAGATGGGCTGAATAAAATGAAAAAAGCTATTAAAGCTATCCATACTTCAGGAATTTGTAAGTTATAGTACAGTATGCGAGTACATATCAGAGGATAAATAAATAAATATTTTTTAGGCCATGTTGATAATGAATCATGTTTAGTTAAAGCATTGGAAAAAATTGGCCAGAATGCTATATCGAAGGAACACGAAGAAATTATTGGCAATGCCTTTATAAAATTTGCAGTAGTTACACAGGAGTTATCTGCTTTAATGAAAACCTTAATGCAAAATCTGAACAATATTGTGATGTTTCCATTAGACAGTCTCTTAAAAGGCGATTTGAGAGGTATGAAGGGTGATCTGAAACGGCCTTTTGATAAAGCCTGGAAAGATTATGAGAGTAAGTTTGCAAAGATAGAGAAAGAGAAGAAACAACAAGCCAAGGATGCTGGTTTGATACGGCAAGAGATCACTGCAGCAGAAGTAGCGGATGAGATGGAAAAAGAAAGAAGATTGTTTCAGTTACAAATGTGTGAAGTAAGATCATTGTCATTTGTACTTTCTGTTTAAATAATAATTATTTTTTTAGTATCTTATTAAGTATAATGAGATCAAAACTAAGAAGGGTATTGACTTGTTACAAAGTCTGGTTGAATATTATCATGCTCAAACTAAGTATGATCCTGGTACATTTTAGTTAACAGCCATAATTACTATGTCTATTTTTGTTTAGCTACTTTCAAGATGGACTTAAAACAATTGAGCACTTTGGGAGCTATGTAGCTGATCTCAGTATTAAATTGCAAAGGATTAGACAAAATCAGGATGAAGAAAAACGCAAGCTAACAGATTTAAAAAATTTAATAAAATCAACACTAAGCTTGGAAAAGGAAGTAAGCATACTCCCTCTGCTTTTGAATACAATTACATATTTGCTGTTGTTTTACAGACATGCTCACAAATGGATAAAGGGGCTGCAGGGTATTCTTTACACCAGCTGCAGGGAGACAAGCACCATGGAGTTACCAGAACTGGCTATTTACTTAAAAAATCTGAAGGGAAGATGCGTCGCGTGTGGCAAAAACGCAAATGCAAGGTGCAGGCTGAAGGCTACTTGGACATTTGTCATGGGGATGAAAGTAAACAACCCACAAGAATAAATCTGCTAACTTGCCAAATAAAAATTGTCCCTGACGATAAGAGATGTTTTGATTTGATATCTTGTAGGTTCTTTTTCTTTATTTTTCTGAGACTTCTATATTTTCAATATTGTAGATAATCGGACGTACCATTTCCAAACTGAGGATGAGGCGGACCAGCGGGCTTGGATGTCAGTGTTGATTAATTGCAAGGACATGGCGTTAATGAAGGCCTTCGATGACAGTAGCAAGACAGGAAGCGACAAAGTAAACCATAGCTTCATTGAATTACAACAAGCTATCATTAAGTATATTCAAAAAATACCGGGAAACGATAGGTGCTGCGATTGTAATTCTCAAAATGGTAAAAGTGTCGATTTTTAATTTTTTTTCTCAACTCATTTTTTACGTATTTTTTCCAGATGCTACATGGCTATCGACAAATTTTGGAATCATTGTGTGTATCGAGTGCTCAGGGATTCACAGGGACCTAGGTGTACATATTTCTCGAATACAATCGTTAACTTTAGATAACGTGGGAACTAGTCAGTTAGTACTCGCCAGGTTTATGACCAATAACGGTTTTAATGATATTATGGAAGCCCAGCTCACAGCCAATGAGAAACTGGAGCCTTCTAGCTCAATGTATGATCGTGCTCTATTATGTAATAAATACTTCTATTTATCATGATTTTTTTCTAAAGGGACCAGAGACTTAATTATATTAGAGCCAAATATGTTGAAAAACGATTTGTTAGAACTACCTGCTCCTCTGAAATCGAGAAGCTCCACGACCTGGAGGACGCAGTTAATACTGGAGACCTTTCGCTGCTGTTGCAGGCCTTCGCGGAAAACGTAGACTTAAGAGCTTGTCTACCATCATCAGTAAGTCCTAAGAATCTCAAATTACTATGTACATATATAATACCCGAATGTTATTTTTATTGCAGAAAATAGGCGAGACGGCGCTGCATCGGGCTGTCATTAACGAATCGGGCCGCACCTTGTATGTGGTCGATTTCCTCATCCAGAACATGTCGAATGCGGCCCTGGACAAGACCACCAATCCTGCGAGCATGCCTGAAATGATCGGCTCGAACACGGCCCTCCATCTTTGCGCTATCTACGACAAAGTCGAGTGCATGAAGCTGCTGTTGCGAAGCGGGGCCGATGCTACTGTGAGAAATTCACAGAACAAGACCCCCATGGACATCGCGCAGGAGCTGGGGAACCACACCTGCCAGGAATTGGTAGGGCTCATAAATTTAATGTCATTTGGAGAGGGTGCTTAATTTTTTATATTGTTCAGCTTCAGAACGCCGCCAATAGACTGAAAAATTACTTCGATAATATCAACATAGACTGGAACTTGTCTCACGACGATGGTTCGACTGACTTTTCGGACGACGAGACCATTATCGAAGATCGGGTAGGTTTCTGTTTGGAAATAAAGTCTCGCCTACACGTCTCGTTTTACTTATCAGGTAAAACGGTAGTTTTCACAAGAGGTTCTTCTGTCATAATTCAGTTCAAGTAAAACGGATCGTTTTTTCGTATACACACAACCTTTTGCTTTATATGTTTTGATTGAACAGGTAAAACGTTGTGTGTAGACGGGGTTTTGAGCGATTCAAAGGACTAAATGCGTGTTTTTTTCAGAATGGTTCGTTAACTCCGGAAAAGAAAAACAGGTCTCGTCCGCCCAGTTACTCAGGTATTTTTTTAATCTTATATTTTTTTACATTTTTTCTTCTGTTCATTCGTCCAAACCATGCTTACCAGTTACCAGATGTAGAGGGACATAATTTTAAGGGACTCACTGAGTTTACAACTTTCCTATATTCTACTTGAAGATAGTTACAGTATTTTTAAATATAATTTTACTCGAAAATGCATATTTAATACCTGAATTTTTTTTAAAACATCAATATTATTTTTAGCCCCCTGTAAGTATAAGATGTACTAAACTTTGTATATATTTTTGAGCACATGATGATGCTAAAATATCTGGATGTTTTCATTTAATTGCGTCGTATCTGTGAAATTTGATGTTTAAAAAAGATTCAGGTAGAAAATCCTCGTTAAATTACGTTGAAAAATCTTTTTGCTAAGTTCAAATAGGTTATAGGAAAATTGTAAATTGAGTGAGTCACTTAACACGACGTCCCTGTACAGGGTGGCGCCTTTCATATGACGCGGAGGCTCCAAGGAGAACGGTAGGTTGTATTGCAAATGGAATTTTGGGAGCATATGTAGGTTAACTGAAAGCATTTTATAAAAATATATGGAGTTCTACAGGTTGTTCCCAAAAAAACTTCATCAAAGTTGTGTTAATCTCATCAAAGTTGTGTTTTTTGAACACTCTATATATTAATAAATTTTCAGATTTTAAATATCAAGGTGACTTTTAATTTTCGATAACAACTACCTAAATTGTAATTTATCCTGTACATTTAGCCCAATATTGAGTTAAAATATTTTCTGTTAAACCAAATTAAAATTTGACGCGAAAAGTTATACAGGTTGAGACAAAATCTTTTCTCTCATGTTGTCAAACAATAGTTGGTCGATTTTTGCAAACACTGTCTTTAATATATCCCATTAAAAAAGTCTACACTGAATAATCAGGAGCATTTAGACATTTTATTAATTGGTGAATGCGCTGCGCATTCACCAATTAATAAAATCATATATATTCTCTCTGCTGTAGGATAAGTTTCCATTTTCTGTGAATGTTTTGTTTTAACTGATACAATGTAACTAGTTGTTAAATTAAAATTGAATTAATTTGACGGCTTTGTTGAGGTGAGATCACAGCCACCCAGATTTTATCAAATAATAAAGATCTACTGCCACTAAACCATAAAAATATTTTTTTAGGTATATCATTGTTTGAGGGGTACAAATATACCATTAAGGTTGCCTACTTAATGGTATTTTGAAGAGACATTAATTCCCCATTGAATATCGGAATAATATACCGGGTGTTCTATTTAAAATAAAAAGTAATTAAATATTTAATATTATTAGTTCTATTTAAAATAAAAAAAAATTGTTCAATATTAATTTTGTCTCACCCTGTACAACTTTTTAGGTCAAGTTTTAATTTGATTTAAAGTACAATGGTTTTTTAACTACATATTAAGGTATACTGGGTAAATTCTAATTTATGTGGCTTTTATTAAAATTTTAAATTTGTTTTTCATTTTTAGAAAATTAATGTTAAATATGTCAAATATTACATTTTAGAGCTCAAACAGCACTGATGACCAGGTCGATTTATTATATACATACGTATACAGGGTGTCCCAGAAATAAGTGCAAGTATTTTAAGGGGTGATAGATCTCGATAAAAGAAACATTTTCTCTTTATCGTTTTTCAAATAAGTCCAAAATAACGGAGTTATTTTACTTTTCAAAAAATTTAGAATTTTCAAAAAAAATTTTCGCATAAAAACCTCATAGGCGTGTGTCTGGGGTTGAACTATACTACCACTTAAAATACTTGCACTTATTTCTGGGACACCCAGTATATACAGCGACCAGCATTTGATTTAATGGTAATTACGGTATGCTTTCCTAATTAAACTCACCTTTATTTTTCACGTAGAATCCGAAAATCATTGAATATACAAGGTGTTCCATTACAAAAAATACAACTTTGATGTGTATTTTTTTGGGGACACCCTGTAGAACTCTATATTTTTAACTGTTTTTAAATTAATCTGAAATTAACTCTGAAAACTTCATTTCAATACAAACTGTCGTTCGGCTTGGAGCTTCTGCGTCGTATTAGAGGCGCCACCTTATACATATTGTTTTATTCATTTAAGCTTCGAACGTTCACGGGAGCTTGAAAAAGAGAGTGGCACCTCTCCCTCCCCCACCCAACCTGGGTCAGTACCAGTACGGTACTTTGCCCAGCAGCCATAGTAGAACCCCATCAGACCCCATTACGGCGGGTTATCACACTCTAAGTCATACTCATAAACGTTCACCCAGCAGCGACTCCAGCTCTGGAAGATCTGTGATACCAATTGGTAAGGGTCCGTCCTTCATAAAGCCTATGTAGAAAATCAGACGGCACTTTATAGCCAAATACTGACTGAATAAATGATTTATTTCAGGAAGTAAACTAGTCATACCGGATTGCAAGAACAGCGATAAAGTGTCGATGTTGAGGAGGCCCCAGAATCCGCCGCCGCCTGCGCCTAATCCGTCCCTGAGTCGCCTGTCAAACGGCCGGTCCAATGAGAGCATTTCCTCGATGGCCTCTGACGTGGATATCCTCAATCCAGTACCCCCGCCTCGCAGGGTGAGTTCACAATTATTTTCCTTTATTACTGCTTGACATATCATTTATTTTAACTGTTATTATATCAAGTTTCAGAAATATTTCAGTTTTTCTTTTATTGTCTTTTTTTAAGAAATATTTTGGGTAAAATACCTTTTTCTTTTAACTAACATTTAAGGTACGGTTCCTTCCACTGTGAGTTTATATGCATCCGTAAGGCGTCGTCCGTCGTTTCGCCACTCGAATCATATTTAAGTAAGAGCTGTCAATTTTAAATACCCTAGTAAATACGCATAAAATCAACGATCTACACTAACGGTCACCGTATGCTCATCTTTCTTTATGTATCTGGTTCTTTCCAAGCGACAGTCGCATGCGTCTGGCACGACTGTACTACTTAATAAGCAGTCTAGTCGCAGCCGCAAGGTGGTTTCTTGAACTTTCGTGAATTTTATTTTATTAAATTATTGGTATACCGTGCTGGCAACTGTTACTTTTGGGTCGGCATTTACATGTATGGAAGTAAATCGCATAGGGATTTTATTAAGTCGGAGTGAGAGAAATGCGACCGACCGACGCGACGCGCGACGGTGTGCTGTTGCGGCGTTGCCGATACGCCTTTCCCTATCAAGTAAAGCAAAATCACGATCGCAAACTGCTTATTTTTAAAATACTTTTTTTTCAAGAGATAACTAGATAAAATCATTAGACATGTTTCTGAGCATCTGAAATGGAATTATAAGGATATCGTTAGGGTGTCATTTTTTTATAACGAGAAAACGCCAGTAATCGCGATGATTTAAAAACTCAACTTTTTAACACATAACAGGCCATAACTCAAGAACCACTTTAGATATTGAAACTTTTTTTATTTTTAGGATCCGATATTTTACAATATGTTTACATAAGAAAAATTCGATAAGATTGTTTTTTTCCATTCAAAAATTGTAAACAATCCATCTATTTACTTTTAGAGCATAGCAATTTTCAGCAATCGTGTAATTTTTTTATTGATAAAGATTTTCACATACTGTCTTCAAAGAAAATACAGCAGAAATATTAACAAAGTTCTTGAAAAAACTAAAACCTATTATTTCTAATAGATTTCGAGATATTGATTTTTGAATTCAGAGTTATAATAGCGCGACCACTATCGAACACCCACTCAATTCCACTTATTTTTACCAAAAATGCAAGTGTTTCTAGCTTGCACTTACAAAAATTCAAGCTATAGGGAAAATTACAACGACTCGGACAGCTTCTTAAGAAAACGTTGTTTGATAAATACGCGTCCCTCGCACCGCCCTTTGTCTCCCACGTAGGACGCAGCGTAAGGAGCCATGCAAAACGATTGCGACTGGGTACGTCAGCCGCATCCGTCGAAAGCGTGGAAGGAACCGTACCTTTAGTTATGTAAGATACTGTTATCAGACTTGGTTTGCAGAAGCGGAAATATTGGTTGGATAGTTTTGCTGGGGCGAATGATTTTCATCTGGTAAAAATTGATTTTGTGTTAGACTGTCGTCTAATCTCACTCGAGTTAATGATTTTTGCATGTCGTGTGAAGTGTTTTACAGAACTGGTGTGCTAATACCTTAAGCAAAAACTCTTTTATTTTTATCGGGACAATGGGGGAAAAACTGTTTTTAAATAATACACTTTCTCAGGACTTACAATACAACAATACAACAATAATCTTCACTATGGGTAGATGGCTTTATTCTTTTTGGCTTAAGGGTGTCTGTAGGCTTCCTTCTGATTTATTCTCCTTATTTGTTCTTATTTTTGCTGGGATTGCGGAACTAAGTAGGCTTATTTTTAGGCATCGGACTCTCCGCCACAGAGAATGTCATCTAGTCCTATTTCAACGAGTTCTTTGTGTTCACCACGAGCGATGTCCAACGGGCGACTGTCTTACAGCGCAAACGGGGGCGTGGGGCTGCGCAGGTGCAAGGCTTTGTACGACTGCGCAGCGGACAACGACGACGAGCTCTCCTTTCAAGAGGGGGAGATCATCATCGTCATCAACGAGCACACGGACGATGATAATTGGATGGAGGGTATGGTGGAGAACGAGCCAGACAGGACTGGAATGTTCCCCATCAGTTTTGTGCATATGTTACCAGACTAGGAATAGTTTTTCGAAATAAATACGATTTATTTGTATAGAATTACTAAATGTATATTATTGATGTGTATATCTTGGAGGGATGTTGTACAGAATTGAGACGACAGACAGCGTTGGAGAAGGATTTCTTTTAAAAATCGAAATCGATTAAACTATCCCTTTTTCAGCTTCGTTTATATCTAATCAAGTCACGTACTATAAAAAATCTAAATATAGTACTCTTTGTGCTGTAATATTTTAATTATTTTCCTATCATTTATAGTTCTTTAGGAAAAATAGAAGTTTAGGTATTTTTACCATTTACCTAAGCTTTACCTCTTAAAAAAATGTCGATGTTTTAGTGTTTAAGTATATGGGAAATATCAAATCATATTTACGAAAAAAAATATTATGGCTAGCCCAAAATTAATATAGAATTATATAAAAACTGTATTGATTCGTGTGTTTTAGGCTTATATTGGAAAAAAGAAAACCATAGTATTAAAGAACGTGTATAAAACAGTCTTAATATGTTTTAACCCTTCAGCAATCAAATTTAACCGTAACTTCTTAAGGGACAGAGAGCAGTCCCTACAAAAAGGAAACAGTATTTTTTGTAGATTATTTTTAGCATTTAACAGCCAGTATGAAGTCGATATCTGGTAGTAGCCACCTAGTTTGCTTATCAAGTAGATATATTTTTATATTTTATGTAGACATCTTTATCATTGAGTCTTGATAATACAGGGTGGTGACCAGAACACCACTGAAATGCTCCAAAAATGTAATTATATTAGTTTGTAACCTCCGATGTATATATTTATTTAAGATATTTAAGTATCTATCACGTAAAGTTGGGATAACAAATAAAAAAAATGTATATCCACGTAAATAGGGCTTTTACGTTGCCCTGTGCCTATCCAAAATTATGAAATAGTACTGATTGTTTATTTTAAGAGAAATTTAGATATGTTACGTGAAAAGAGTTTATCGTCAGAAATTGTCACCGTTTCTTTAGTTGTTTTTATTTCACCAAATTTTGAACTTGAATGTGAACTTGAATATAATATATATCTGTAAAAAATATGTTTATTTATTTTTCATCTAATAATCCTCACAAGTCCCTTAATTTTCCTCCTTTTATATTTTAAGATAATGTGAACGGTTTGTTGCTTATGCCAATCACTCCAGCAAGATCGTTAGTTCTTTAACGATTGTTGGGACACACAATCATTCTATTAAAATTCAGCTTACTTAACGTCAGTTATATCATTAAATTATACGTAATAATGTCTAAAAATAAGAATGCCTCTATTTATAAACAAGAGATGACGGACAGATGTTATAAATATAGCTGGACGTTAAATTTGCCCTTTTAATACTTTACTTAAAATAATTTGAATTAATTAAAAATGCAGAGATATATGTTGTAAAGCTGTTCGTGATTTAGGTCATGTAGAGATAATAAAATTATCGTTTTAAAACTAGAATTATTTATTAAACAATGGCTTTTCATGAAGATATTTACTTTTGTTTTGATAATAAATAGAGAAATAAAAATAAAACAAGTGGAACGTGTTATATTTTAATTTATTACTTGCAATTATTAAGAAATGTGTAATCATATCTGAATAAGTACAAACATCTATGGCAGATTGATAACTGTTAAGAATGATTTTTAAATATTATATTGAACAACAACTTTCGACTCTATCATTACAACTTAATTTATACCACAGTTAAAAGAGCATTGTTAACCTAGACTACTACAAAATATAAATGCTTGCACATGCTCTACCTAAAAAGAAGTAACCAATTTTTGAAATATATATTATACAAACTGTAAAACTAAGTTTAAATTAAAATTATATTAAACTATATTTAAGTTTTGCAACGCGTATTTCCTTTGTTATATCAATATGTATTTAACTAGTCTAGTAATACTTAAGCGAATATATAAAGGAATGTATACGTATCAGTAGTTAGAATTAAATTAAATTGTGTGGACCGTTGGTGTGGCACCAAATTCGTAGCGACTACATTTAGGCGTGGGGGGTCCATTTAATTCCTCCGATAATTTCTGATAGACGGACCCGCTGTGTTTCTTTTGCCCCATCGGTGATTCCCAGCGAAGTATCTTGATTCTGGGCAGGTTCGCTTTGTGCATGTTGAAGTTGTTGTTACGTTTTAAGATGAAAAGCGTGAAAGTGACCGCTAGAATGAGTACAGCCAGGGCGGTGAGGACAAACACTGAAGTGACGGAAAGGATGTACGATGCTTTGGCCAGACTGCTGTTTTCGTCTTCAACAATTTCAGCGGTGATTCTGTCGTCACTGCTCTCATCTTCTGCGTCCTCAGTGTCATTTTCTTCGTCACTATCACTGTCACTGTCCTCCTCGTCCTCAACGTAGTGATAGTCGTAATCGTCGTTAATGAGCACGTCCTTTTTAAGCGTTTCGAAATCGTCTTGGACATCTTCGTAGCTATCGTTTTCCACATGGTAATCCATGGCATCGATATCGTTAGATATTTCTGGACATTTCTTTTCTTGAGATCCCAACCATTGGCTTTGTGTAAAGTTGTCTATGTCGTCCAACATTTCCTCTGGATTAGGACTAGGGTTCGAATATTCCACATGGTAAACGCCGTGCTTGTCGAAATACCTTAGAACCCTGCAGTAATTGTCGTCGAACTTCAAAGGGTTGTTGTGCAAATCCACAACCTGTAGATATGGTGTTATGGAGAAATTTTCAAGAGAGAGGGTAGTGAGTTGATTATCGGAAATGATAAATTTCCTTAGCGATTTTAGATACGTGGTGTTGCTACTCCACAATTTATACAATCTGCAGTGACTGGCATCGATTTTTTTAATAGCTTTGGTCGGCAGGAAGGCCTCAGGGTTCAGCGTTAACAGCGGATTTCCTGCAATATTCAGCGTTTCTAGGTTTGTAGTGTTTTGGAAAGCAACGGGAGATAATTTGCTGATGTTGTTGTAAGAAATATCCAACATTCTTAAGCTGATGATGAAATCAAACATGTCTGCAACATTGTTCAGTTTGTTGTTAGCCAGATTTAGCCTAATCAGTGCAGGCATGTGGGCAAATACGTTTTTATGGATAGCAGTTAGTCCGCAGTCCTTGCAGGATAACGTATAAATCTCAAAGTTCTTGTCATCTGGTAGAGTAAAGTTGGGAAGCTTACTGAACTTGTTGCCGTCTAATGTTAGCTTTTGCAGATTAGGGTTTCCTATAAATAAGTCATTATCTAAATCAGTCAAGCTGTTATTTGACAAATCCACAACGGTCAGTTTTTCCATATAAACCATATCTCTCGCCTTCAAACTGTTGATCTTATTGTTGCTTAATATAAGTTCGTTCAAAGAATCCAGTCTCGACGTAGATTTGTAGTCAAAACTTGTCAGATAACAGTTTTTCAACGAGAGCGTTTCTAGCTTATTGGACGTATTCAAAAAGAAGTACTTCAATGGGTTGTTATCCAGGTACAAACTATTGAGTTCCTCGTTGTTGACGAATACGTTGGCTGGAATCCTTGTAATCTCGTTATTGGACAAAATGAGAGTCTCCAAGTCGAAAAGTTCGGCAAAGCTCATGATGTCGATGTTGTTGATGTAGTTTCCTGAGAGGTTTAGGAATTTGAGTGAAAATAGATTATCCAAAGGCGGTATCTCGTCTAACTTGCATCTTCCGAAGTGGAGCTCTTGGAGCTTTTCCGATTTCAAGTCCGGACTGTCTTCAAAACCACAATCGGCGAACTTCACCTTCTTAACTTTGTCGAAGACTTTCGAATCAACATGTCCGATTTGACTGTTTTGAATAAGCACGTCTTCTAGAAGAGGGAACTTTTCAAAAGCGTCTTCTGTAATCTGTTCGACGATTACATTCGAAAAGCTAATCACTGTGATGATTTCTCGATGTAAATGACGGAACAAAGTTGAATTTATGGTCAAGGGACTATCACATGACGTTACCTTCAAGATATTTGGCAGCAGATTCTTGCAAGTGCAAGACGGCAAACAGTTTTCTGGAGCGACTTGTGGAAGTGTCCAGCACGAGGCCACTAAGGCCGATAGAAACCACAATGTCTTCATCGATCTGTAATAAAAGGTTCTTTATTAGTGTTCACTCGTTGAAAAATACTATCTGTTTTATGAATCTAAATTTTATCACTTACTGAACAAATAAATATGATTTTGCCTTAAATATTAAAAAAAATAACTTCGAAATCTAATCACGTATCTACACACAATTGTGAAGGCGTGATTATTTAAACAACTAATTGCTTGCGTTTAATTTCAGGTAGTACTTAACATAAACTATGCCATTTGTTATTTTTTTGCGTATTTTATTTACCTAAACATTTTGCTAAGTTATTTATCACTAATCGAATCATAAAATATAGTAATATAAAAAATTTAATATGCAATTTAGACGCTTTAAATTTCTAATTAGCCTAAACAAAGGTTAAACGAATGAACAAATTAAATGACATACAAATATCAGATACCAGTCGATCGTCGATATGAACAATAAACGACAGACATTAGCCTTCAAATTATTTAGACGTTTTATTGTTGCTTGTGAGCCATATTTTATGGAGGAAAATAGTGCAAAAATATCGAGACCACGTACTTACCCTATTTTGCGGATCCCTTCGTAAGGGGAAGTCTAAATAAAACTTCACTAAAATAAAATATCGATAGTACTGTGAAAATAAAGGAGTGTTAGTACCTCTACCTGCTCAGGTAGGATCCCCTCCAACACGTTTACGTCAGAACAGTACTCAGCCAATTCAGCGAAAGATGGTACTAAGCATGTCGCGTTAATAACAAGTACCCTGCAGGAAACTGTTTTTAATATGGTCGAATATAATGAGCGTTGGCTAATTACGATTTTCGATAACCATTTTAATTTAAAAAATGAACGTTTTAACGATATTTATAGGATATATCTAAAATTATACTTTAGTTTGGGAATTCCCAACAGGATGAGCGATTATTTATTTAATCTGCCGGTCTCAAATAGATATAAGTCGATTTTTCTAGAACTGCTTAGTTTCAAAGTAGGAAATGGTAAAATATTTATGTTTGGCAATGTTACACATCAGATTATCCTTTTTATTTTACCTTGTTGCGACCCAATAATACTTTCATTTTTTACAGTAAATGATAAATTTTTATTTTGTCAAATTCTTCTGGACTAGTGAATCTAGTATAATTTTACCAAAAATTATTAATCGAACAAGAAAGGTAAATTTTGTAATGTAATAAAGTCAAAATATATTATTAAAATATTAAGTAAAAGAATATATAAACAAGGGTAAAAGTTTAGATTACTATTTTTGAAATTATAAAGTATTTTTTATTTTTTGGCGAATTCGCCAGGCAAAGACAGTTTTCGCTGTCAGCACTTCTTTAACATCCATAAAATGATTAATTTAAATTTATAATCTTTTTGATATAGCAAATGTTTTTCAGAATAGATAAATTGGAAAATTATATAGATTAAGTCTTTCCATTGTAGGTACATAAATTTTTATGTGTACTAGTTATTTTTTTGTTTTTAATATTATCGTATATTATATATTTTTTAACATTTATGTTAAAACGTTCAGCATTGTTTAATTAAATTAGTATTAGCACTAGTAATAATAGAAAATATACAGATCAAGGATATGGAAGGTAAAATTGATCACATCCGATGAAAGGTTAAAAATGCATTGTTTTTTTTTCTGGAACGCTCCCAAGAGCCTAAAATTTTCTAAGTGCTTGATTTGTTTTTTAAACTATTATTAAAAACGACAAATAGCCTTAATACACGTTATAAAAAGACATTCAAACAAATTAGACTGTAGCAGAAAATAATTTTATATTTTATGCAGTTGCATCATTTAATTTCCTCAAGATTGCATTAAAAAAAATTACAGGCTGACGTAAAAGGTTTATGTATTAAAACACTTCAATTTTAGTTGTTTATATTTTTATTAGAAACAAAAAGAAAACAAGTAGTGGTAAATATTTTAATGAATTTACACATTAATTAAAAAACCTACCCTGTAAAATAAATTATAAAAAACACAAGATCTTATTCTAATAACTTAACATCGACACTTTCCAATGTAAAAATGTGATATATTGGGTGAGTTTTGCAAATTAAAGTCTACTAAGCTGTACTAAGCCAAGTTTGTATCAGTCGATTAACAATTTCTTACTCGTAATTTAGTTATTTTGCAAAACCCATTTAACGGTGGTAATATTAAATATACGCAAATTACAATTAAATTCACTTGTAGGAATTTCTATTAGATCTAATTAGTATATTTCTTGTTTATGTGGCTATTAAACAGTTCAGCACCATCAGTGGCGGATCCAGGACTTATTCTGGATGACTAAGAAATATTTGAAATTATTGTTACTGCCTATTTTATTATATATATGTAAATTATAAACTTCGGGGGCCTGAATCCGCCCCTGGGCATCACATCTACATGCCATGATAACGAAATAATATGTAGGTAATGCTTAGAACGTTTAATAATGAGGGGGAATATTTACATTGACATAGAATGTAAATATTATTTGGCAAAATGTTATCAGGAAATACAAATAAAATGTTACTTTTACATGCGTTTGACTGTGCGGTTACTATGGGCAACAATCTTAAAATTGCTACCAAAAGGGAATTTACGATATTCGAATGATTATATTTCTATACAGTAAATGTATATCAGTGCAATCACAAGTTAAAAATGCTCAAATTCATCGATTATTGAACATTTAAATTTGGACATCACTCATTTCCTTTATAAAGAGAAACTATTAGAGTATAAATATTTTTCTCGTTTTAAGTTTAAAGTTCAAATTAATTAAAAAAATGTTGTTTACTTGAGCCATTACGAACAACATTTCAATAAGTTATTTATAAATTTATCACATATCGTTTTTGAAAATACTGAGGTACAGCGTCATTTCACACTTACGGAGGTAACACCGTCGTAATGATTTCACCTTCGCTATTTTTCTGGCGGTGCACGAACACTGGCGTTTTTGGTATCGAATCTGGAAGTTCCGAGGCTCTGATCGTGACCCTTTCCCTAGGAGAAGGAGGTGCCAGCCTGTCTCTTAGCTCCGGCTCGTCTTCCTGGCTGTCTCCGGAGTGCTCCGGGTGTTCTAGCGGCGTGTAGGCTTTTAAAACTGGCTCGTCTTTGTGCTTGCCGTTCTGCCCACCGTTAATGAGAGGTATGTTTTCCGGAATATGGGAACTCTTCCCGTTTTTCTCGCTTATCGCCGTGATGGCTGTTTTTTCCAAGGGTCTCATTTCCTCCCCTCCCGCTGGATTAATTTCTCTTCTGTTTTTCCTGATTCTTTTCGCTTTTTGTTTCCGAATCAAACACACAATGAAGACGGCGGCTAAAATTAACCCGCACGCGACCACCACGTACACTGTATAGTTGTTTGGATTTAGAGCGGTAGCTTTTTCCATTTCTCCCGTGTTGGTCTGATTGGAAAACACTTCCACGTCGTCGTCCTTGTCTGATTGCCGAAATACCTCAATATTTTTCTCTTTTTCGAACGGTTCTTCGCGAATAGTCGAGGAAGCGATTGTCTGGGTGGTGGTGGTTGTTGTGGAAGGCGTTGGTTCCATTAAAATTGGGTTAAAAACATCTTCGGCGATGATCTTTAGCTGATCGGTCGGAGCAGGGACTGGAGCCGTGTCATTACCGTCGTGGGAACCTACGGGTTCTGGAGTAGAACAGTTAATATGACATACAGGGATCACATGGAGTTCTATAGGAGCAAACCCGCTGCCTTCTACATCTCCGCTACCTTCTTCTTGCGCTTCGCTAACATCGCTGACATTGAGCGTCTGTTCGTCTTTGGGTAGTTGATCTGCATCGTCGATAAACTCATTTTCTTCGACCAAATCGTCTTCTTGAAGATGGGGCGCAGCAGGGGTTGCCTCCAAAGTCTCGTTAAATATATCGTCCACCATTCCGGATCCTTCCTCTGGCTCATCGTACACCATTATATCATTTAACGTGCAATTTATCGTGTCGATGTTTTTTCCAGAAAATTGCACTGGATACTCGCAGGTCACGGCATTCGGCATATGAATGCGATCTTTCAGCAATTTCCTGTAAGTTAGCACGTTGTAATTGTAACAGTCGCAGTCAAACAAGTTCTTTGACAAATCCAGAACCTTCAGCGCTCTCAGAGCGGTGTAATCTTGAGGTATGCGAGAGAGCAAGTTATTTGAAAGGTCCAACTCCTCAATATTCTTTGGTAGCATCGAAAAACTCAAGCTCTTCAGGTTGTTGTTCTGCAACTTGAGTACTAGTAGCTTTGGCAGTGAGGGGATCGAGGTGATCTCGATATTGTTGTGCGATAAGTCTAAATATTTTAGCTCTTTGAAGTATTTTAGTTCTGGAGGTATCTTGTCCAACGAGGCATTTGATATGGTTAATCTAGTTACGTCACGGTAATATTTGGTATCTAGGTCGTTAAGAAAAGCAAATGATTTTGCTTCAATGCTTCCCTCTTCGCTGCAAGTCGTTTCTTCCGGGCAATGAACTATGGATGCACTCAGGACTGCCCTAAGCAGCGAAAGAACCAACGCACTCTGGGTCCACATTATTTTGGTACCTATAAAAAAAGAAATGTCAGTTGTCAGTTTTATAAAGCAATCCACACGGTAATAAAGACTTTTTTTTATCGGTAAGGCCAATAAGTATCAACGGATGTCGTTAAAAGGTGAATCAATAAAAATAAATATGCTAAACAATATCATTGTATTGTTTTCCTGGCGCTGGAAGCAGAATATTTATCAGTGATTTTCATTTAGTCATATCAAATATTTCGATTATAATAAAAGTTCAAGTTGCATTTAGACATTTCGATAACATATTAGTTTAAAGTATTTATCGTTGGAATATCTAGAACCTCGTATGACATTTTTAGCAAGATAAGATTAGAGATAAAACAATTATTCTTATCAAAAAAACTACTCATCTATGACCATATTATGAGCTTACATAGTATACCTTCACCGAAAGTACAAAATTTATTTTCAAGTACGTGACATAATTTATGAATTTAACTTTGAGAATGTAGTTACACGGAATGCAATAAGAATATATAAGTGCATTTTTACCTGTTGAATTTATAGACTAATTGGAATAGGCACAAGACACCACGAAAACAACCTCGAAAGTGTTTTAACATTATGAATCATTAACTTTCCGACCTGTATTTTATAAAAAATACTATGAGATATATCTTTTTTTTCTTTTATCTCAAAGACGAATTTAATCTCGAGATTACAGCGGCCTTCTAACTTTTCGAAGTTAGTTGAAAACTATAAATAAAATATTTCTTGGAAAAATAACTTTAATGTTAATGTTTGGTGGATTTTTGGGTGTCGCCCTAGGCTCAGAAAAACCAGATAAAAGACGAAAAAAGCGCGTCGCGTTCGCCGATTTCGCAGAAGCTAAAGTCCATTTTCGTCTATCTTGTTTTAGTTCAACTAAACTATATTTTTCCACTGAAGACTCAAGGTTCTGACCGAGTAAATAACTATCCTTTAAACTTGTTTCGGTACATCGGAGGTTACGCTGTTTGTTGAATTTTTAGTTTTATTGCTTCTTGAAATCTTGTGCAAATGTCATTTCTATTTGTGAGGAGGCCAATTTTTTTAACGAGTGTTCTCTAGAAGGAATTTCGCAACGTCAGTGACGCCGTTTTATTATTGTATGGCATAGTCGAAAAACCTTGCCTCTGGCTGGCTAGACAGTACACCCGTTCATTGAAGAAATAACGGTACTCCACTTTCTGCACACTGCCATTGTATCTCCTTTTCGTTTTTAATTTGTCTGACCACGCCAATTTCACTTTATGCAATAGCTGTGAGAAGTTGCATTGTTCTACATTTTAAAACGGTTTTTACAAACCTAAATTCAATATTTTTTTGCCACGAAAAAAATTACCCACTCCTCTAAAACATTTTGTCGGCAGATGATGACTTAATTAATTTTAAGATTGTAATATGACGAATAATTAAACTATTGTAGGTATTTTTAATATGAGTTCAGATATTAAACATTACTGCGAAAGCGCCTACAATTTTCAATAGTAATCAAAGCGTAATTTTAAAGAAAGTCATTAAGTAAATTGAGGTGTTTAGCGTAATGCATTGGGAATAGCGAGTTAATTTTACTTTTCTGAATATTATTAAATAAATACATGTTGAAACGTTGCGAGGCCAACTTGGTGACACAATAAATAAAGATGGGAGAAATACAAGGTTTAACAGTTAAAATAAATTGGTAATTTACTAAATCATTAAGCCTTTCTCAATATAGCTTAGGGGAATTGTATTGTAGCAATTACTTTCTAGTTTACGTTCTACTTTCTATACGAAAAAAGGCTTTCCAATAAGAAAACTACATAACGCCATAAACGGCCGAAGAAATGAATCTAGCTATTTATTTATTTCTTAATCAGGATACACTGTCGGCTTCTCGGAGAGCGATTAATTTCTATGTGACGAATCAAACGCACGTAACATACCTTATGAAAGTGACTTTGGCTAGTCAAAGTGAGGCGAGTTGCTGGTACACAATTAAAAAAGGCTTTGGCAAAATGTCCCATACCAAAAAATCATTAGAGAATAATTTAAATAATTGAATAATTACATTCTGAGACGTCCGTCGCCACCAAATCGACCTTGATACTTTTAAGACCTTTGCTCACCGATCCAAATTCGAAACAAATATAAATCGATTTAAAGTATATCTGATAATAATTCCTGAATGTTATTTTGAGGATAATTTTTCTACTTACTTTTTTCGGAGCTTGTGTATTTTCCTAACGGAGATGCGAAATAGTGCAGTTTTCTGAAAAAATCACTTGTCCGCGCACATGCTGCTAATGTGTTCGTCTTTTATCACTGGATTTCTCGTGCCAATGTCACTGTTATATGTTTTTTTGCCGGCAAAATAGATGCAAAAGTGATCGGGTTTTCGGTTTGAATCGAAATAGTGCGGCGCCGGCAGTTGGACGGACGCGATTGGCAGCGGTGCGTCGCGCGTTTTGCCCGCTCAGCCGCCAAGATAATACGAAAGGCGACGCGGACCACCGTTACATAATAATTTATAGCAGCGATGTTGCCCCACGGGGTGGGAGAACCCGTCTGGACACCCATCGGCCCTTATGCTGTCGGCCACTTCTTTAATAAGTCCAAAAGTGGCCAGCATTTCTCCGAAAGGTCCATTTCTCCATCTTTTGTCCAAATTAGTAGAGATGGCTAGATTCGGTATTTTAAAAGAGTCGGGTCTGGAGTTACATGAAGCTTCATGGACTACATCCAGGTTCTAGTTCTGCCGGATCCATATCATTTTAAGTAGTGTATTCCGTTAGGGAAATATGATGTTTGCGTTTTGCCAAATCCTTATCACCTGATCTTAGCTGTGTTCTATTTATTTGGTAGAAGTACCTTAAGCTTCAAATTTATGACTATGAGGCAAAGTATTACGAACTTAACATACTAATAAAGTATAGTCGGGACACAATTACAGCCTTCCATCAAAATTACCGCATAGGGATTACTTCATGCTAGGATTAATAATAAAACTAATTTGAACGTAGTCCTTGTCTGTGACGATTGCGCGAAAGTAAATTTAAAAAAAACAGCAAATGAAACTTAGCAGCAGTTACAGTTCCCTCTTTATTACAATACTTTTCAATAATGATTTATTTCGCCCGACGCGGTTGGCTGTCAGCAATGCAGTTCCGCGGATTGGGGTCGATATCCAGTAGGATCTTCATCCATCAGTACTGGCATCGGAGAGAGGTCTGTGGGTTAATATCCATCCGGACCTACCCATCTCTTATAGGGATTACTTCATGCTAGAATCAAAATGATTTTTGGTTCCACGGCATTTAACAGATAATATTTTTAAGAAATAAAATGGCATCTTTTTTTTATACAAAGAAACTAAAACTAAATTTGAACGTAGTCTTCGTCTGCTGATTTCTTTCACGACCCCTCTACAATCATAACATATTCCATAATTTCTTGAATTTACAAAAACAACACAAATTTTAAATAATAGAAAATAATTTAGAATATGGTTACGGTTTTGCGAAAGTAAATTAAAAAAAAACAGTAAATGCAACTCAGCAGCAGTTACAGTTCCCTCTTTATTCCAATACCCTCCAATACTGATTTATTTCGCTGCATCATGCTTTCATACTGTTTTCGTTAGCTGCCGACGACTTGATCGGTTGGCTCTCAGCAATGCAGTTCCGCTGATATTCAGTAGGATCTACATCCATCAGTACCTCATCATTATTCATCTCTACAGATTAGCGCTTCTGTTCAAGGCACTCGTTTCCACATAAGGGCTGTTTCGGTGTTAAAAGAATATACTATAATAATGTATAGGGAAAATTTTAACCTTCCCAAAAAATTGTTTCAAAAAAAAATCTTATAAAACCAAATTCTTTGAACTACTGATTATTTATATATTCGTATTTTTTTTCTACAAATACTGAATATTTCAAAAAACTAGATTTATGTTTACTATTTTTCTAAGAGCCCTCAATAAAAAACAAACGTACGTTTGTTTTACGTTACCAATTTGTAAAAGTACTGTTAATAGCTAACTAAAAGGCGTCTGACGAATATTGCGAATGGCAGTAGAGTATTTAGACTTTTTTTGGGGGTGGGGTGGCGCAAATTCGCACAAAATAGGCTTTTTTGGACCAAAATAATAATTTTATAGATTTTCAAAAACAGTTTGCCCTAGAAATATCCTACTCCCGTTAGAGCCGCCTATGGCGATTACAGTATAAGCTGCAAGCAGTGATGCCAACTGGTGGGAAATTTCTCGATTCGTGGGAAATTTTGAGATCTAGATGGAAAATGGAAATTTTAAACCTAAACACCATATTTGTGGGAAAATCGAAATTCATATATTATTCGTAAAAAATAGTTATCGTATACGCTTCTCTATAGCGAGTAAACTCAAACTAGTAGTACCGCAACTAAATACACATTTTTGGTTGGCATCAGATATTGTTGTACCTCCTCCCCTCGAATACATGGTGAATTTTAAGTAAGTGCAAATATTTCGTAGGTACTTCGATACCAGAAATACGCCTATGAGTTTTTTTGCGCGAAAAAAAATAAAAATATTTTCGAAATTTGTTTGGAAAATGTTTAACTTCTCAGTTAAAAAATATAATATCGGTATTATGTTGACGACACTATATTGAATTTGAGAATTCGTGGGAATTTTTAGAAAAAACGGGAAATTTTTACAGTATTTGTGGGAAATTCTATTTCAGAAAGTTGGCTGCAAGTAAATTTAGCAATCATGAGAAATCGTTCGAAAACAAGGGTTTGAAAAATCCAGTTCATTGAAATACCAAAACACTTAAGCTTTTAAACCATTATATATGCTAAAGCTACATAAAATTTTCTACAAATACTGTTATATGCCCATGTATACTATTCTTCTACGAGCCTTGAGAACTTGAAAAAAAAATAGCCAAAAACGGTCAATTTTTCGACTTTTTTCCATACATTACTGGTTTTTTTATTTTGATGAAACTACTCTAATTTACTAATTAAAAAGCATAGAACACGAAAATATACACCATTTTGGTTGTGCCTTACGGGTACAGTATGAGCTGTAAGTAAAATTTTAGCCATTATGAAAAATCGTTCAAAAACAATGGCTTGAAAAATCCAGTTTTTTGTAAGAATAAAACATTACGCTTTGAAATCATTATATATTCTAAAACTACGTCAAATTTTCTGGAAACACTGAAATATTCAGAATTTTTTGTCCATGTTTACTATACTTCTACGAACCTTGAAAACATGAAAAAAATACCTCAAAATGGTCAATTTTTCGAACTTTTTTCATACTCATGAAATTGTCGATTTTGGCCAAATGAGCGATTTTGATGAAACTACTCTAATTTACTAATTAAAAGGCATAGAATACGAAAATATAGACCATTTTGGCCTTACGGGTACAGTATGAGCTATAAGTAAAATTTTAACCCTTATGAAAAATCGTTCGAAAACAAGGGCTTGAAAAATCCAGTTTGTTGCAAACATAAAACATTTAAGGTTTTAAATCATTATATATTCTAAAACAACATAAAATTTTCTTCAAATACTGAAATATTCAGAATTTTATGTCCATGTTTACTATTTGGCCAGGTCATCGATTTTGATGCAACTACTGTTAATTATTAATTAAAAGGTGTAGAACATGAAAATGTAGACCAATTTGGCATTACGAGTACAGTATGAGTAATAGTTAAAATTTTAACCACCATGAAAACTCGTTCGAAAATCAGCGTTCGAAAAATCCAGTTTTTTGCAAAAACAAAACATTTTAGCTTTTAAACCATTACCACCATTACCTATATATTTTAAAACTACTTTCCTACAAATAATAAAGCTTTCAAAATTTTATGGCCATGTTTACTACTTTTCTAAGTACCTTGGAAACAAGTTAAGAACAGCCAAAAATGGTAAATTTTTCGATTTTTTTCCATACCATAATATTATTCTAAAACTTCATTTCTACTTATAACTTTCTAGGGAGACCATAATTTTATTATTTTTATAACATTTTAATATATTTCTGAGGCGTAGAAAAAAAAAATAAAGAAAACAGAAATATGGCGTGTAATTTATAGTTGATCTGTCGTCAATTTCATATGTAAATGATGCACTATGGCACCCGATAAAGTAAACTTAAATTGTGGCTGGTGCGTTAATCGAAAAGCCCTTTGTGCCGTTTACGTCTGCTAACAATAGTTTTTCTTTTTTATATTCTCTTTATTGTTTAGGGACATCCGATATCCGGGTGTCTCCAATGCGACAAAACAAAAAGCTACGTGTTGATAATCATTTAAATACGTAAGGAATGAATTTGAATTATTCATTCTGATGTCACATGTTTAACATACCACTTAGCACATTGTGTGGTCAATTTCATGTTCGCGATATTATATTTATAGTCTTCAGAGTGCAAAATGCGAACAAAGATCAATTTTTTCAATAGAAAATATAATATGAAGGGAAGGATTAGCTGCATATGACAAATTTTCGACCTAATCTTATAAATAAATATGTTTGTTCATTTTATTTAACTAGTTCTATTTTTAGAGGACGTTGATATAACGACAAAAGCAAAAGGGTTATCGTATAAACTAAACTAAAACGAACATTTCAGATAAAAGGACGTATAGAGTGTATGGTGTATGTAAAAAATTGTTTTATGCTACGTTATGGATTTCATAAAATCGAATTTCAAACTAGCCATTTAAAAATTTTCTCATGACAAGGCGAAAATTGAATATTCAGAAAAAATTAAAGGTTACTGACCGCCTGCATTTACTTGTCTCTTATTACAATTTGTCATAACGTACCTATTAGAGATGAGCAAAACTGCGATTTTCCAATCGCAGTTGAAACTGCGATTGTGATTTATAAATCGCTGCGACTGTAACCTGCGATTGCGATTTGGATATTTTTAAATTGGTACGCTGTAAACTGGGAAGCTCAATCCCAAAATTTCTAATAAAAAACAGAATAAATAGCGGAATAATTTTTTTTTAATAAAAACTTACAAAGAAACTGTTGGGTGTTTCGATGCCATGTGCCTTTTAAAATTTGTAGTGCGTGTTTTTTATGATTTTGAATTTTTGCTGCACACATATTACACTTAAAATTTTCATCAATTACCTACCAAAAAAAATCCACAGATAACTTAGTTTCCTTTTTTTGAACATTTTTGTTTAGAACAGACCGAATAAATTTAAAAGGGAAATTAAAAATACATAAAATGTTCAAAATATTCGAATGTGCTTTTAGACAGTAGGTATACTAACGAAAAATTTATTATAAAAAAGGTTGCCGCCAACCTTAATTCAGATAACTAGAAAAAAAAACTGTTTATTTTACCTTGTTTTCTTTTAAAAACATTTTCTTTATATGTAACTCAAAAGAAGCCGACGCCGACGGCTTTGATACGGCCCGTCCAGTGCAAGTGCAAACTTTCGAACTTTTAGATAAATAAAAGGACAATATCACATTTTATTATATTTGAAATTTCTCTAAAATGAAAAAACTGATTGTAAAGGATGTATTTAAATTAACAAAGCAGCCGATCCACAACTGTTAGTATATTCAGAAAATTATATTATATTATGGATTGTTATAAAAATGTTTATAATAATATAATATATAACAAAATATAATAAATAAAAAGGGCTGTTTTTTTTCCGTGCTCTATATCTTCTAGTAAATAAAGGATAAAAATAGATAATTTTTTATAATTTGAATCCAGAACTGTCCTTATGAATCATTTTACCTGAATCATTACCTGGGAGCAACTGTAACTATAATTAGTTATAACCAGGTTATAACCGAAAACAAGAATTTTTTAACCTTCTCAATCCATAATTATATTATAAATATAAAACTATTATCAAAATTTAAAACTAATAAATTATATATATTATGCGGTATATAAACATATACATATAAGCCTATTTTCCAACGCTTCATAAAAATTACGGGGCCCTGATTGCGAATGTGATTTTGCGATCTAGTCTAGGCCGATGTGTTGGGAGCTGCGAACGAAAATCGCAATCGCCGCTCTTGGTTGGCGTGCCCACTCCCGATGCCGCGCCGGTGCCAACGAAAATCGCAATCGCAATGCTGGGATGAGCTGCGATTTTCGTTCAGCTCCTCGTTCGCCTGTCCACTGCCGTGTTGAAGACACGCCGCCGCCAGCCGGGGCGTACGGGAATCGCAATATTGCGATTTTCATTCGCAGCTCATCGTTCGGCTTCTCAGTGCCGTGTCGAGGCAACGCCGGTGCGAACGAAAATCGCAATGCTGTGATTTTCGTTCGCAGCTCTTCGTTCGCGTGCCCACTGCGATTGCAAATCGCAACTGGTGTAATATTGGTTGCCTAAAAATCCAAAATCGGCAGATATATGTTTCAATCGCAAGTCGCAGTTTGCTATGGAAAGGAATCACAGGTTGCGATTGCGAATTTACAATCGCTGCGATTAAATCGCAGTTTGCGATTTTCTGCTCATCTCTAGTACCTATGGTGAACTCCCTGTAATAAAAAAAATACAGGGTGACGCCTCGTAGACGACGCGGAGGCTCCACGGAGTTATAATACAGGGTGTCCCAGAAATAAGTGCAAGTATTTTAAGGGGTGGTAGATCTTGATAAAATAAACATATTTTCTCTTTATCGTTTTCCAAATAAGTCGAAAATAACGGAGTTATTTTACTTTAAAAATTAAAAAAAAATGATTTTTTGCTCAAATTTTGGACAAACCACTGGATCTTTTCTGGATTTTCTTTCTTGTAAATTTAATATACACCTATGTTGCCATATTATCAAGAAATTATGTTTTTTGACTAAAAACTAAAAAAAATTTCAAAAAATTTTTCAAAAAATTCCGAATTTTCAAATTTTTTTTGGCGAAAAAAAAACTCATAGGTGTGTTTCTGGGGTTGTACTGTACTACCAGTTAAAATACTTGCACTTATTTCTGGGACACCTTGTATAGTTTGATATACAGTGTGGTCTGAAATATATTCGGGAAACTTCGACAGCATATTCTGCTGATAAAAATAAGTAAAAATGTTCGTATAAATGTATGGCCTAAAATGCTTCGTTTCGGAGATACAGGGTGTAGAAGTTTTTATTTTTATTTCCGTTTTTTTTTCAAGTAATTTCTGAACTAACGTTCATATTTGCATAAAAATTAGTGTCTCAGAGTTTTTTGACAAGAGTAGTTTGATTTTAATGTCAATATGACTCATACTTATAGGGGGCGCCACCTTTATGTTTTTTAACTGATTTGAAGAGTAATAACTTTTCGTCCGTACCTGTATAGAACCACTGAAAAATATACGTTTACGTAAAAAATGTCAGGAACAGTCAATACATGTAATTAATGACAACAAATAAACATGTTGACTAGATAGTTATTTGCTTGAAATGATAAATTTGGGAACTTTTGATTTTATTTCAGCTAATCATGATTTTTTCTAGAAAAAATATGATAAAAGAGTTTCTTTTGAATCTTTGGTATAAAACATTTCAAATTTATTATTTCAGACTAATAACTATCCAGCCAAACTAAAGCCCGCCATACTATCCAGTCAAGATGTCTGATTTTTATCAATAATTATGACATGTATTCACTATTTCGATTTCAAATATCTTGAGACTCATTACTCGTAGCGATTTTTACCAAGAAACCTTTATCGCGTGAAATATGAAGGAAATGTATATTTTTTCACTCGGTAGTATAATACCAGGTACGGACGAAAATTTATTACTCTTCAAAACAGCTAAAAAATATGTAGGTGGCGCCCCCTATAAGTAGGAGTCATACTAACATCGAAATCCCCCCCGAATTTATCTTGTCAAAAAACACCCAGACACCAATTTTCATCCAAATATCGGGGTTAGCTAAGAAATTATTTAGAAAAAAATTATACAAACTTTTTTACTTATTTCTATTTCCAGACTATACTGCTGAATTTTCCCGAACACAATTCGGGTCACCTTGTATAATAATATGTTTGAGAAGGATGGAAGTTTGATTGGCGAATGCAGTGATGCAGTGTGAATTAAAGGAATGCTTAAATGCCCCTGATTTATCTAGCCTGGACCTTTTTGTGGGGATATATTAAAAAGACAATGTTTTTACTTTTGACAACATGAGATGAAAGATTGTAGCTGTTTTTCGAAATATAACTCCACATATGCCTCTTAATGTGAAAGAAGATCTTTTGAAAAGAGTCATTTTATACAGTGAACAAAAAGGGAATCATTTTGATTTAATCTAGTTAATTTCTGTCGCATATTTATCCGTTTACATATTATCTAGTTCTAAATCTGCAATAATTAAAATATGCTTCAATTTCAAACATGTACCTTTGTATTACCGTTGAATATTTTATTATAGGCATATCACAGCCTCCTAGGTTTTATCAAATATTAAAAATCTATTGGCACTAAAAATCATAAAAATGAGTGTTAAAATAAAATACTAACTTTCTTTTAAATGTAACCGATGTTCAATATTAATTTTGTCTCACCCTTTATAACTTTTTGGGGGCAAGTTTTAGATTCCTTTAACATACAATGGTTATTTTAACTAATTATTAACAGGCTATAAAAGACAAATGGATTTAGATAGCTTTTATTGAAATTTGAAATTTATCCTTCATTTTCAGAAACCCTATAGAACTCATACATATAAAACTGTATGTTATATACCCTATATATTTTTATAAAATGCTTTCAATTAACCTACATATCCGTAAATTTCATTTCAATACAAACTACCGTTCTTTTTGAAGCTTTCGCGCCGTATGAGAGACGCCACCCTGTATATTTTATCAACGAATAAAGTAAATCTTCTTACATTTCCTCAACCCTCGCTTTTTAATGTTATTATCCCCTTTATCTAGTAATACTTATATATGAATCCCTAAGCAGGAAATCCCAAAAAAACGGTAAGCCATATTTATATGCGTATTTATATTTTTAACATTTAAATACCTACGTGTAAATAATTTGTGATGACATTTTTTTTTCTAACAAGCTTGAAATATTTTAGGGGATGAAGCAGATTATCATAAAAATGTGGTTTGAAATAAAAGAGTGTTTTTTAAGCTTAACAATTTAATAACGCAATAACTGTTAGACCCTGTATATTGTATACGTGACTAAAAAACGTTATTTTTCTAATATCAGAATCACGCGTATTTCAGCCTAAAGATTCCATCTTCTTATCATGACCGGACGACTTGTGTGATTGCTTTTCGCATATAACTAGTGCGAATATTTCTTAATTGAATTGATAACATTTATTTCTTTAACACTTCCTAGTACCATATGTCTGCATGCTAAAAGCAATTAAACCTATTATAAAAACTAATATTTTCGTTGACAACTCGTCATTCGATTTTGCGACACTTAGTAGCATACTTCGTACACCGTACACGTCTAACAGTTCTCTCTCTCTATCTCTCTCTCTCTTTCTTTTTCTTTCATTTTATTCTTTTAATATTTTATTTTTCAAAGTAAAACAAGTGTATTCAGTTTAAATATTTTATTTTAAATAAAATAATATTTTAAAAGTCTTACAAAGTGTTTACTTGGAAAATCCACAACCCTTCCGCTCAGGGTTACAACATAACAACAATATTAAAAATAACTTAAAAATAGAGGTACACTACAAAAACTTCTTTTAGATACATACAGAACACGCGTAATTAGTATTAGTTTTTTTTGGTTTAAAAATTGATTTGAACCATTCAGTCATACGTCTGGATGTTCCTGCAGAATAACAATTTGTGAGCATTCTAGAAATCGCTTTCCAAAGGCGCACCAGGAGGCGGCGGTCTTCTTCGTGGAGGTGCGTTATCCCCTGAAGAATCCGAGTCCAGGGTCATTCTGGAAGCTCGCCTTTCTTCTTCAGATTTTCTTCTCAGTCTTTTCCTTCTCTTTTTTGACAGTTCGGGATTGCTCCCCCCTAAGCTAGGCCTAGAGGCCAGGCTGTGCAAGCTTCCAGCCAAATTAGGCTGGGAAGCATTTATTGGGGGGAGAAGCATGGCTTCGGTGTACGATGGGGGCCTCTGAAGTTCCCTGGGATCGGGAGCATTCCTGTCTTCTTCTTCCTGCTGTTCGCGGGCCCGTTCCTGCATCATTCGCAAGGTTTCTCTCTCCTCGGTCCTACGTGCCTCGTTCTCAGCTCGAAGCCTTTCTTCCTTAATGTCTTTGATCTTTCGGAGAATGATCACACCGAACAAAGCGACAACCATCAAAGCGATGATTGTTACCGAATAGTACCACATGGTTTCTCTTGCTGCGTGACTGGGATACCACTGCTCTGTGCAGGCTTCCTGCCAACTCTTTCCCGCGTATTTTTCGGGGGAATCACAGATTAGATCGTCCCGCTGTTCGGATTCGTACACTGTTACCCACTCAAACATCCTCTTGAGGTTGGGACAGTCGCACCTCCAGGGGTTGTCGTTGATAATGACGTTGAATGCTCGAGGGAAGTATGAGGGGTCGACATGTGTCAAAGCGTTGTTTGCCAAGTTAATTTGTCGCAAGTAAAACATCTTGGCAAATGTTTTGTTGTTGAGGGATTTGATTCTGCAAGAGCTGACATCCAAAATGCCCAAATTGTCGGCTATAAGACCATCGGGCAGCGAGCTGATAAAGTTTCTCGACATAAACAATGTGACTAGGTTAGGAAGAGACATCAAGCTATATTTATTCATCTCATGTATCTCGCAATAATTTACTATGAGCATCTTCAAGGAGCCGCTGTTAATGTTGTCAAGAACCCGGATGTAATTATGAGACAAATTTAGATTGAGCAGCGCGGTGTTGTTGGAGAACAAATTCTCGCTCAGGGCAGTTAATTTGTTGAAGGACAAATCGATGCTTCTCACCTCGTTTAAGTCTTGGAAGGCTTTCTCGTCAATCGCCGTGATGGCATTCGTGGAGAGGTTCAGCACCTCTAAGCTGTCAAAGTTCTTGAATCCGTTGGCAGGAATCGTCTTGATGTAGTTCGTGGACAGGTCGAGGGTTTTAACTTTTCCCAAGCGACCCGTAGGAACTCGCTCTAAAATGCACTCGGATAAGTCCAAGTGAGTTATGTGTTCCGAGTGACACAAAACCCGTTTTAGGCGACTGTTTTGTCTCAAATTAAGCGCCTCTAAATTGACTAGGTTTGTGAACACGTTCTCGTCGATATGATTCAAAGAACACCGGCTCAAATCCACGAACCTTAAATCGTTTAACTGGAAACTTTCGTTTATACTGACGATAGGGTTGGCTGATAAATGCAGCTCTCTTAAATTGATCAGTCGATTAAATACCGGCACTGGTATTGTTATCATGGAACAGTTTGTTAATCGGAGTATTATTAATGACTTTATGTTCAAGTGGTTTGATTGATTATTAATACTTCGTAAAGGATTGCTCGAAAAATCCAACCATTTTAAATTGAGTGTGCTGCGAAAGCTGCTGGAATGAATATCTCTCCAGTCGTGGAACAAATTGAATGACAAATCCAAAGTTTCCAAATTTTTCAGGTTGGAAAAGTCCGTCGACATCAGCGTCGAAATCCTATTATGAGATAAATTCAAATATCTCAGGTATAAAAACGTCTTTATTTCCGATGGAACTCTTCGCAGATCGTTTATTGATAAATCTAAATCGGTCACCTAAAATATAAACACCCTCATTAATAATTGCAACAAATTTGAAATCGTTTTAAACATTTTATTTACGATAGACCTTTTGCCTTGCTAGTAGATTTAAAAGGTCGTCGTAATAAAAAATAACGTTGAAAATGCAGAGAACCTTCCCAATTTTAAACTTGACCAAGCGATTTTTTTGCCGCAGAAATCTATTAAGCTTTTTAATAGGCTGACCTTGCTGTGTTGGTTCACATAAGAGCTAATTCAAAAATAAAACATGGTCAATTTAACGTTAAATTAGTGATAGTACCTGATAATAAAAGGTAATGAAGCTTTGTTCGAACGCTTTGTACAAATATTACAAAGAAAGTCTAATGTATTAATCTGTATTGATGTATAATTAAGTTCAAATTGAATTCTGACGGAATATAAAAAAAACAGTCATTTTCTAGCGAACACAGATACAGTTGTTCGAAAGAAACAAAGACAAAATCATATTTCAATTAAATATAAATAAAAGTTGTTCTACTTATCCTGGCACATTCGCCAGAATATCGCATTGTCAAGAAAATTAAAAAAAAAATAGGTTAAAAACATTTTGTTTTATTAGTGTATACCTAAGTTATATCCTGTTATATATAATTCAGTATATTATATAAAAGTAGTTTTTATAAGAAAAAATAGTATTTTTCTATATAATATCTGTAATGAAACTTTATTTATTATCTTTTTCTGGTTATATTTGATGAGTGTTTGCTTATTTTAGGGAGTCCTAAGTCCTATATACTAAACGATAAAGTCAACAGTATAAAAATATATTACTCACATTTTTATCGATTTCCTCAGGTAACTCATTAAGATCCAGATCTTGACAGTTTATTATTCCACTATCGCATACACATATATTTGGGCATCTATTTATCCAATATGTAGAAGCAAAAGGAATAAGCAATAACGCCCACAGCATTATTGTATCTTTTTTGATGGTAGACTTAAAAAATAAAGCATTTTTCCTTAAGCATACAAGCATTTCAGATAGATTTCTGCTTACCTGTTGAACTTTTTCATATCTGACAAATTAGTTACATCCTTATCCGGTTAATTTCTGCTGTTGTCTATATATTATATCTATATGACACTTTTAGGTATACTGAGTCAACTGAGATCGGGCTGTGATAAAGTAAAGATAAGAAAGAACGAGCGACAATAAAATAAAATAGAGATACCACTGAAGGTTTATTACACGCTCGAATTTTATCGATAAAAATATGACACAATTTTTTATTTTCAAAAATATTATTCACCGAAAATAAAACAATTATAATCAAATGTAATATTCGAAAGAGATTTCCCAAATAATATAGCCTGAGAGGTACTTTAGTCAATTTGCAGTATATCAGCATCAGCAAATTTATATTCTCTAAATCCCATATTGACCGCAAAGGCTAAATCCGCTGGCCCTTTTCCCTAAGCGGAAGTCATCCAGTCAAGCGAACAAGAAAAATGATATTTTGATTATAAGAATACCGGATTTTACATTCGTATGGAGCTTCAAATAATAAGGTCAATTTTTTTATATCTCAAGGAAATTTGCCCGTCAAAATATACCTTATTAAATTTTTGCCGGATGCGCCAGGCTAATCAGATTAATATTTAATCACATATTAAAGTACGATAATATAGAAAAAAACTCTCATTAAGCCGGTTTGGCGTCCAAGTTAATAATGGGGTGTCGAGGAAATTTAAGAAAGATATACCTAACTGGCAAAATAAAAATCGCAAGTTTATCGCTGATAAGCGAATGGAAACGATAAAATATGCGAAAGAGAGCGTCAAATGCCCGAACGTCTAAAAAGCGGCGAGGAGCAGCAGTTTTATCTCCCAAATGTGTTGATTTTGTTCCTTTTGGACACATAATTTCATAGAAGGCGATTGCAGATGCTGACAATTTACTATTTAAAATGTTTTCTTAGGCACAGCCCCTCAGATAACACTCTGATAAATGCCAGAAGCATTGTGATTGAATTTTAATTAAATTCCCGCCACGCCGATATTTCCGATGTACATTTATACCGAAGGTTAGTGCCTTAAAAGACGCTTCGTCTACAAGGGTTGATAAAACTGTGGTTAGTAACTAAACTAATCTTGCGATCAGGTAACTAATTAGAAGGTGAAACAATATAGAACATGACAGAGATTGGTTTTTAAGCATATTCTTCTCGAATTATTTTTTTTGCCATGTGGCAGTTAGTTAGGCCAACAAATCTCTATACGCCAGGGCAGTTGGCAAAAATAGGGGAAGTTTTTGCAATCAAGCTGATTGTTTTACAGATGATAGTACTCATTAACAGTACTCTGTAAAAAAAAGTTACACCTCCTAGAGCGCTTGCTTCCTCCGCCATGTTGAATTAAAGATGGCGTCTGATCCTATTCTTTAAAAAATCGTAACTTTCTTATTTATTAACCGATTTTCGTCAAGTAAAAATCATTACCTTTGTTTTGGAAAAATACAAAATTATTTTGACAGGTTGTTTTTCTGTCAAAAATAAAAAAAGGGAAAATAAAAGACATCGACTTGCTTTTCTTCATTTTTTTTTGAACCGTACTCCGTAGCAAAAAAGGTTAAAGAATATGCGCTCTTTTGTTCTGATTTTGAAACAGTCCTTGAGTTTATGATAGGTTGAGTAGTGCGGGAAATATAGTGTAAGTGTATCCTTAAGGATACAAACAAAAATAACACTTATGCAGGATGTAAAAATACTTTATTTTTTGCTTGATTGACATAAAATAAAAACAGTTGCCTTTGGTTTTAGGTTAAACATATAAATTAAAAAAAAAACATTAAAAATAAATTTAAAAAAAAAGAAAACATTGTTATTCTTAATAATAGAAACACTGAAATTCTTTTTATTCCAACAGAAAAGTATAAATTCAACTTTTAATAGCTTTTAACTACAAATACATAATAATAACTTTTTCACATTTGTATTTACACGTCACCATCCTCTATTACCACTTCTTCATAATCGACTCTGCATTTAGACAGGCTTGATTGCATTTTTTACACAAAATGCTGCATTTCCGATTATAAGACGCACAAACACAGTTTGCTGTGCAAAGATCGTTGCATTATTGCAAAAAAAGTTGCCATTATAGGTGTTCGGGCCCTGGATGTTTAGTGTAAGTCACTGGGAAAAGCTCATTGCCACTGGAAAACCACCCCTACTCAAATGGATCTAACTGGTTTCCTCTCCTTGTACCTGTAAATATACTCTAAAAACGTGTTGATTAGTGGAGTTTTCTGTGGGAGGAAGATTTGCCAAATCAAAATTAGATCCCAAACCTTGTGATCTCAAAGTTCAATTATGGCCTCAAATTTTTTTGGAAATTTTCCTTTTTTGCCCTTTTTTATAATATCTCCCATATCCTTCATTTGTCTGTAATTAGTTATACATTATTGGATAGAGCGTAGGTGGTGCTCATTAACGCGAATTTTTTTACTTCTTAATATTGTACAGAGTGTTGTAGAAATCGATCCAAAGTCAAACATTTGCAAAATCTAAAAATCTCGAAAAGGATAAATTGTAAAATGATGGTTGACCCCTGTGTGGATAGAGCATTTAAATTGTAAATGAACCCATCTAAAACGAATAGTTTTTGAGATATTTCGAATAAAAGTTTTCAATTGTCGATTTCCTGATTCCCTTTGAAAAAAATCGATTTTTGAATTTTTCAATTTTTTGTACTTTTTTCACCTGAAACGTGTAAAGTGCGTTAAAATATGAATATTAATAGCATTTTTATCGTTTTTTTTGCATTATCATGTTTTTTAAAAAGTTCCCGAAAATTAAAAAATCGGTTTTTATTTTTTTTTCTCGCCCTGTATACGACTTTTTGACAAACTTTATTATAAAAATATCCATTTAAAAAAGTCATTTCGATCCTTTTTATTCTAAGCTCCCCTCTTGACTTGTTAATTAAAATGACAGGCACAACCGTCATAAATGGCACGTACTCATAACAAAATGGAGACAAAATAATTCACATCCACGAGAGCACCGAATCTACATATATAAAATGTTAATGTTTATCTGTGTCGTCTCTACTGAAGTAACGACTTGCTCTAGAAAGTTGCTTCTTTTAATAAAAGATAATTAATTTGATCTTCTAAAAACTACCGTCGCCATTGGCGTAAATACAGGGGTGCCCGGGGGTGCGGTGCCCCCCAGGTACTGCTGGGCACCCCCTAGAGAAATCCTGAATTATGACTATTGGCTACGTATTAATTTTTATTTGCTTGTGATGCAGTAAAAATGACGTTTCTAGTTTTGTTTAGTTAATATTATTTTGTTGTGTTCAAAAAATGTGTTAATTTTTATTTTTTCAGAAAATTTGTAGGTATTTAAGTAATCTACGGGAACACGGTTTGATAACCAAGTCTATGAAATTTATTGATAGAGAAATTCATGTAAAACGTTTTTTTCAAAAAATGTGTTTTTTAAAAGTATTTTTCATTTTTAAGAAAACCAAGGCCCTAGGCCCCCCTTGAGCTCAACCCCAGGCCTGCCCCTGGCCCACCCCAGGATAAATTGCTAGTTACGCTAATGGTCGCCGCCGGATTTTTTGTTTTTCATTTAATTAAAAAAAATATTTTATAATTTATAATATATAATATATATATATTTTTTTTCCTGATGTCGCTGTCGTGGCGGATGCGCCAGGCTTCGCTTCAACTAGTACGAAAATAATTGACTAGATAGATATGGTTACTTTCGAGCAATGTCGGTTTAGATATGTGACATCATAACGATTAAAATATTCAACAACGTTAAGTTGTTTTTTCCATTTACATTCCCCAGACATTTTTTCAAATTTCTACCGGACCACCCTGGACACTTTAAAAACTCGGACATGTCCTGGTACATTCGGACGTATGCGTCCGAATTCACATACATGACAAAATAAATCTGAATCTAATTTAAATGTAGCATTTAAAGTTAATTATATTTTTGGCATATATGTAAAGGAATCATCAATCATTTTTACAGGGAAATTATGAATCTTTAGATACCTAATAATATATTTCTAGCAGCGCGAGATGTAGAATTTAATTAAAATCGAATGCGATTTGGTTTCGTCTCCCCGGTATAAAATTTCAAAGGGCAGTTAAAGTTTTTCTTATTAGCTCCGAACCAAACAATGACGGTTAGCTCGGAATCACAAATGCACCGTGACTGCTCCCCTTTTTAAAGAATGCCAACAGGAAATTAATTCTCAAAAATGAAAGCTGCCAAAGTGGCCTCAATGCTTGCCACTGCCAAGCGATAACAACGTATTCGTCTTATTTCATTTAATAAAGCCCTCCAAGAATGGGTTATCAGTATCTCTGCTCTGTTCGCCAACCGCGATAACTTTCCCAACGAATAATCGGCCATATTTAGTCGATACTAAACGATTTTCTCTGCCTCCGTTGATTTCCTCTTCTCCCAAACAAATGTCGCCATATTTTTTTGTTTATTTACGTCAGTTTTTCACTCAACATTTTATATTTTACATAAACATTTGTAAATATTTTGGAGACGTCTCATCTCAGAACTTGTCAATTTCTAGTCCGAAAAAGTAGCAAAATAAAGCGTTCGGCATTTAACGTTTTATGTAACACTGGCTAGGTATTTTTACACAAATGAAGAAGAAAATTAAAGATAAAGGATTATACTATGTCTAACGACAGGACAAGTAAAAAAAAAGAAAGAGCAAATAAAAACTATTTAAAATATCTAAATACTAGTATTCAAAAACACTTTAGTTTTTAGCATATACGTCTATTATAAACCGTTGACGTTCTTGTTCTTGGTTGACGACGGGAGGAGATATACCTCCCGAAACGTTAAGCATTTTTTTCGGTTAGGCAAATTCGTTAGGCAAAATGGTTTATTATGGAGCTCACCTTCCGGTAATAAAAGAAAAAAGTTCCAGTATCTTATTTTTTTACTCCAAATAGGTATTATTCCCCGCAGGGGGTAGTATGATTTAAGTCATACTACTTTGGGGAGTGACGCCCCCACGGACCTGAGTTACCTGGGTCACCCAGGTGCTATAATGGTGCAATGAAATTTTTACATAAATATAGAGATATTGTTGTGAAAATCTCTCATCCTAGAACTTATTGTTAATGTCTA